AATGTTTTTTAATGGTGGTCGACTAAAATCTGATTTTTTATAGTTTCAGAAAATGAATTAGATACATGATAAAAAAAATTACAGATGCTTGTGTTTCAAACATAAATTAAAAATCGGCTTTTTAATCTTTAATTTGTATGTAGACATTAAAAAAAAAATTATTTTAAAATTTCTTCAAGGTAGACAGTTTGAACATTTTTACTCTCCTTTTCTTTTAAATAAAAATTGTAATCAAATTTAATTAAAAATATTGTAAGTCCACAAAGTGCAACGCTGAAAAAATAAATAATTAAAATGATTACAATTTGTAGAAATTAATTAAGTTATTTTCTTTTAATTTAAACTTGAGTTTGAAATGTTCAACAATTTTTTTTAAATTTGAATATGTATCCAAAAAGTATTGTAAGAATTTGGCTAGTTAAAACTTTAATTCCACGGAATTTGAATGTGTTAATTTTAAAATAGAAAAATAAAAATCAATCAATATTATCGTATAGCTATTTTTACTATTATGATTTACTACAATATATTGGTCTATTGATACGTACCTACCTATTCGTTTTCGAACAATATAAAGAGAAGTATTTTTTCTTGTAAAAAAAAAATCGCTAATAATAAAATGGATACATTTAAAGGAATGTCAAAATTGGAAAAAAATGTTAACAATTGCAAGAAAAACAGCCGTATCTCATACGACTTAGTCCTGTAGATTGACAGATGGAGATTGAAGACGAAACATTCAATCACTCCAAAAAACTGAACACAATAGGCGGGCCACCTACGTATTTACAAATCAACGGGTTTTTCTAGTATTTCCAATTTTTATTTTTTACTTTAGCCGCTTCCATTTAACTCTAACCACCTTTAATTAGTTACGGTATCATAAATACATGACGAGTGACTAGTGGCTACACAACAAAAGTATTGCTATTATGACGTTAGGTACATCAAAGCATCAAACAACAAGTTTTTTCGACAGAGCAGATTTCCTAAAGTATGATTCCGACACACAACACTGGATGTTATCTGATATTATCCTCGTAAAATGGTAATAATCATATATCATGTTCAAGCAGTAAATTGAATAACAACTGTCGAGACATTTTACGCTTCGAGAGAACCGTTTTTTTCTATTAAAACGCCTATTATTCCTTAGACTGTTTTTTTTTCTGTGTAAAGCGACATATTTATGAATCGTTTTCTTTTATTATTTATGATATGTATTATTATTAAGAATAAAATAATTACGACGGATGGGACAAGACTCGTGGCGAGATTAAACGTCATAAAACATATTTTAACAAAAAAATGTAGGTAAAGCAACATTTTCAAATTACTTTTTGGTCTCGACTAAAAATTATTTTTAAGCTCTAACGGTTATTAGATTCAACGGGCGTCAAGATAAACGAGCGATTTCTTCCATCCTGTAGCTTTTTTCCAATATCGATTATGATTAGGTACCTATTCCGGTCCTTGTGACAATTATTAATTATATTGTTATTATTGTAAACGACCAAGAATCGCCTACTTATTTTAATATGGAAACCCGAAATTCCGGTAGAAAGTGTGCTGCAACGACGGAGGCGATGAGTCGGTTTTTTACTGAAATATTCGAAACACATTCGTTTCACGCGCACCGCAGAGACTGCAGTTTGAGCAATAATTTATACTTATATATTAAGATATTTTTTATTTTCGCGGAAACGAGTCTGACTAGTATGGAAACAGCCTGACCCAACTCTTGACCGTCGCACATCCGATGGAAAAGATAAACGATGCAAATTGACCCCGATTTCGGTTTCGGTTTGGTAACGATATTCGATAATTACACAATGATTATCCTGTTAACCTTGGTATGAAAATCTATTAATTGCACAGCCATACGTTATTACACTATCTGCTGGAATTCGTTGGTGGTTAAAAAATAAAAACATAACAGACTCGAATAATTTAAAATCTGTTATCGTGAATAACAATGATGAATTATTTCAACAAACAAAAAACCTTCAATAAATAACAACTTCCGGACATTAACTGTCCTCAAACAAACCATCGAAGTCACAGATTGCACATATTATTTGAACAACAATTGTTGAGGAGATTTTATTACAAAATAGTTCTCTTAGTTTATGAAAGGGTTTAAAATAAAGACTTATCAATGTAATATGTGTAAAATACGAACTTAAAAAAAAAAAAATTATCTACTACCTCGTACGAACAAACGTTTACAAAATTCAATTGAAACATTTTGTATTAAATAAAAAGACTTGGGTCTATACGTTTCGACTTCGAATGTCTTAGCTCTTCGGTTTTCGACGAGATACCGGTGCATCTAACTAATGAGAGCCAACATAATGAATTGCATGTAAATAATACTAGAAAACACATAAATTTATAAAAAATTTCCAAAAAAATAAATAAGTGTAAAATAATTTTTTTTTAAGAGATTGGTAAACATTTTGAGATAACAAATAAAATAATTCTACACGACTTCGTAAGACATTTACACTACTAGCATCAAAATTAATAATACATAATAGCCATAAAATAACTTACAGTATAATACTTATGATATTATTATTATATTATTATTATATATTATTATTAGTAGTAGTAGTAGTAGTATAACATATAATTACAAATAATAAAGTGCAATTCGTAATTACTAATGTAATTACACAGTTACATATATTTTATCAAGCCGATAAAAGGTTAACACCACTTTAAAAATTTAATAAGTAAAACGTTTTTAAAATAGCATTACAACATAATATAAAATAATTTATACCTACTAAAAACTAAAAAACTCGATATATTTTTATCAACTAGACATTTTATTCCGTACAAGTTTGGTGGTTTGTAAATAGTGTTTATTCCCAGTTGACGCAGGTTAAATTTATTTTAGAATAATGATTTCAATCAGCCTAATTTTAAGTTGTTGAATTTTGGAATAAACCATCAATATTTTGACATAGAATTTACAATTTTTGTCTACTATTGTTCAGAAATTTTACGATTTTTTTTAAGATTTCAATCACTAAATTATACCTTTGTTATTACAAGGTATTAAATATGTGTTATCATATATTTTAACGATTAACATGACAAATAACGAATAAACGTGCATGAAATAAATTAAAATATAATATTTGAACATCATGTGTTGATGATGAACTTTAATCTTCGTTACACGAAAAAAAAATGAGGTAACAAAAACAAAATAGTTTATTGTTTTAGTCGACTGTTATAAGACGACGAACAATTTAGATAGGTATTATTACAAAACAATTTGTATAAAATAATCCAAAAATTAATTACTTATCGTCGGTGTCGCTGGGTCAAATAAACACACAACATGGTATGTTAAAAAAAACAAATCATGATTTATCGAAAACCGTTAAGTGAGTCAAGGAAGCGATAATCGATTGTTAAAAAGAGTATTTTAGCTTGAAGCGATTATGCAAATTTCAATCGTTAATAAATAAAACTCTTTTTTAATAGTGGACGATACAACGATAGGTATAACATTACACAGTGAGAGTGATTTGAGAGATAGACATACCAATTTTGAGTAGTTCAAAACTATTACTAAGTATTATATGACCAAGTAGCTAGAGTAAAAATTTCTCTAGAAACTCATATTATCGGCCTAGCCAGAAGCAAATAAGTAATATTTATATACATTTTTTTTTGTGTACCTAATTAAAACAAACGCATTACCTACTCTCTTGCTCTTGTTCATTAAAATCAGTTAGAGTTTAAAATTTCGATTATTTTTCCAGATAGCAAAATGTAGAATTAGTACTACCTATAAAAAAATCGTGAAAACGTTACAAAAACTACAACTTTTTTTGTGCTTTATGTAAACTTTTAAATTACAACATTTAGAGATTTATTACATACATATTAGATAAACATACAATTATATTAATAGTTAATAAATATGAAATATTTATTAACTTGTTTTTATTAATAAACAATACTAAAAACAAAAAATTCGAATTTTTTTTAATTTTTATGATTTGTTTTTTAGATTGGTCCTAAACAAATTGTTTTCGAAAAAAATCGACAAATTTCAGTACGATACATATAGTGGAATACATAATTTTATGAAAATCCTGATTTTCAGTATCCCACTCGAAACTCCTAAAGTTAAGTACTTGGGCCACAACCGACCTGGGCATTATTTAAATACAAATAATTATTTTAAATTAAAATAAAAAACAAATAAGAATTACAAATTTAATTTGTATTCAAACAGTACTGCAAATAATAGTTTGAAACTTAAATTTAGACCAATTAAAAAAACAAATAAAAAGTAATTTCTTATTATTTTTCAATTTTAACTAAATCGATTTTCTATTAAATAAAAACTTAAATATTAAATAATTTTTTAAGAAAATGATGCGCTAAATAAAAATGTATTTTAAAAAACTTTATTTTCAAATATTTACTTGTTATTTAAATTTAAAAAAAACCACTTTTGGGTCATAGTCACGTTAATAGGGATCAACAACCCTGTTCCAGTACCCAAAATATATGTATACCAAAATAATAGCGATCCTAACACTTACACTTTCTTTTGTTCAGAAAGATTTGTTTTTACTTTTTTTGCTCAAAATATATAGTTGAACATTTCTTTAGTTTAGGATTAACTTGCGATACATCAATAGTAAAAATTGTAGTTTTTCGGTTCTTACAAGACACAATAGACGGGTTTTTTTTCATTACTTAGGAATTAATTATACTCGAGTCATACCTATTTACCAAGCGTTTATAATATCATAATATACTTGAGATTAATCTGTGTCATTTCATAATGAAGTCGATACGATTTTCGATTACACCTAACCCACTAAATGTCACATCCAAAGGCAATATCCAAAGGACTTGAGACCTATTCGAAACTTACACCGGTGCACCGATGATTCACAATTGGTCAGTCCAATAGCGATATGATATGCGTTACTCATATAATACAACAATGTATGATGACTCACCTCGTCGGGTCTGGGGTGCAAGTGATTGCAATGCCTTTGGACGAAAATGCCTGCGGTCAGTTCGACGGCCAACACCAAAAGAGCCGCGCATACGGTTTTCCATTTTACTTTGACCGGCATGTTGATAATTGTAACGTTCGACACAATTGTTATCTACGACGGGCCACACTCATTTATTTTTCAAAATAAAATCAAAAAACCTTACAAGACGTGCAAGTACTTGGGAAATATCTATTATACTACTATTATTATTATACTTAAATGAAAATATAACGATTGCACGTCGACACGGCACACCGGATGGCGGATGTGAACGGGCGATACAGCTCACACCGGAGACACCTGATAAGACACTGAACCTGTGCTGTGCGTCGTGTGCGTGCCATCGATACCAGATGGACGCCGGACCTTGTTGTGTACGCCGCGCCGCTTGGTAGGGAGTGAAGTGCGGGACGAAATTCTCCCACTCCACCACGGTGTCACGTGCGGAACCTAGAGCCGGTGGCCGCGCGGTCCAACATTGATAATATAAATTATTGTTATCACCCGTCTAGGAGACCGTGATCATTATTGTTGATGATTTAATAGTTGATTTTGTTGCTGATAACATATTTTCATCGAAATAAACAAGTTTCTAAACGTTTTCGAACGCCAATCCTTTTGAGAGGAAGGCTATGGACTTTGACAGTCCCGACGTGGAAAAAGATTTCCCCGGTCTGTACGCGTCTTCTGACATTGGTCTCAAGGACAGCGACGGTAAGTCGAGATTTTGATTACGAGACGCGGCCATTATGTCGTATTAAGCTAACAACTTATCATTCTGTGGTTTGCAGGCAAACGCAAAGATAAGAAGGACCGCGGCTACGCAGCGTTGGAAGGAGAGAGTTCGCCGGAGGAAGAACCCGACGCCAAGTAAGTCTTTCCTTGATTGTAACAGTTAAAGGAGCGCCCAAGGAGATCAGAAAGCATCTTCCCGGTGTGTCGACCGATTGTTGGACCTAGGGCTGATTTAGTTTTATTGCCTGTCAGCGGCCTGAAGCTGTATTGTGAATCGGTACTAAACATATGGTATAAATTTACTATACTTGCACACTTTTGTTTTTGCTATATTTCTTTTACGAAACGATATGTTGATTATGAAGCTCTAACCAACTACCATTAATTATAAAAAAACTATAGTGTTTAATTTTGATACAAATTTGGAAAAAAATCACTTAACAATGCTCTATTTACTGAGATTTTCACAAGCTTACAAAAAAAAAAAAAATTAGACTGATAGATGAAATATCCAAGACTAGATTCAAATACTGCGTGAAAAATCAATATCTTTTTTTCCTTGTTATAGTGTTTTAATGTCTATCTTTTAAAACTTTATATTATTGGAAAAATAATTTAGTGGCACTTATTGAAATTTCCAAAAAAACAAATGATTTATTTTTAAATTTCTCATTTAGTAATGATAAACTATGGGCTGGACTTACCATATTTTCTTAGGCCGATTTAATTGACAGTGTGCCACTCAATGGAGATCGGCTAACATAATTATTGATAAACAAAGATATTTATATTGTATGCCTCACTAAGAAAGTTTTATATATTATTTTGTTTAGAAGCCCGTCAAAAATTAAAAAAATTAAACCATTTAAATTTCCATCAAAAAAAGAGAAACATGAAAAACTTAAAGACAGAGACTCAAAGGATGTACAGAAAGAAAAGAAAAAAGATGAAGTAAAAGGAAAAAAGAAAGATAAATCTAAAGTAAAAATAAAAGACAAAAAGAAACAGAAAAATGTCGATGGAAAAGATATTATCGATATCGGAACCTTATACGGTGATTTGAAATATGTAGTAAATAAAAATGTACAAAGCATAAACATACAATTTTCATTTTAATATTTATTTGTAGAGAATCAACCGATTTTTGGAGTTCCATTAGAAATATCATTTGAGCGAAATCCATGCCATGATGATATTCACTTGCCATTGATTCTGCGGAATTGCATTGACTATGTACAAATAAATGGTAATATATAAAAAAAAAAACAAGTATACATGTGTATTAGGGTGGTTCTTAAATTGTTTTTTTTTTTAATTCCTGATTGGATAGCTATCAACCAGCTGCAATTGTCAAAAAACAATTTCTCTAATTTTTTCAGATTTTTATTTCATTCCCAGTTTACACGTCAAATATATGTATAGTGTATACAGCGCTGACTGTTGCAGAGTGATAGTATTCATTTGTTGTGCAGGGAGACTAAGGGAATGAAATAAAAATCTGAACAAAATTAGAGAAGTATTTTTTCAATATTTGGAGCCAAATGATAGCCATCCAACGTCATGTCACATTTAAGGACCACCCTAAAGTATATAAATAAATTTTTTTTTTATTCAAATTATTAATATGGAATCTGTATGTACTAGGTTTGTGTACTGATGGTGTGTATAAAGTACCGGGAGTTAAGTCTAAAGTTCAAAATTTAAAAGTTCAATACAATAAACGTCAACCTGTTAATTTGTCAGAATACGATCTAGCTGTAGTGACTAGTTTACTTAAACAGTATTTAAGGTGAATATTTCTTTTGTTGATTTCTATAATTTATAAAATAAATAAAACAATTTACTTAAAAAATGCATTTCATATTTAGAGAATTACCTGATCCAATCCTAACGTCAAGTCTTTTATCAAAATTCGAAGATTCCGCTGAAACTAAAAATGTAGAAACTACTAAATTATTGATTGATGAACTTCCCCTGTGTAATAAACACACTCTTATATGGTTAATAGTTCATTTCACTAATATTGTTGAGAACGTAAGTGCTCGTTCTGTAATAATAAAACATAGTCTTTTCCACAACAATACTATATTTTTAATTTTCAGGAAAAGTATACTAAGATGAACACTATAAATTTCGGCAGCGTTCTTTGTCCGGTGCTTCAAATGTCTCAAACTTTATTTACGTTTTTTGTTACTAAAAAAAACGAACTTTTTCCTGACGCAGTGTTGGGCAAGTACGTACCACCGTTGAGATGTGCTAGTCCGTACCTACCGTCTAGCAAACACGAAATATCAGTTGAATTGAAAAAACAAGAATCATTGCTCGGATACATTCATCGAGAAATGAATGCCGGTTTTGTGTGCAAAACCAAAGAGGAGGAATTGTGGGATGTTCAGAGAATCATTACACAGTTGAAAAGAAAGCTGAAAGTTTTAGAAAAAGACATTAATAAAGCTAAGAAGAAAGAACAACTATCGACAGAAATCGGAAAGTACGAAGAAGTGGGTACTCAAACGGCGTTGGATAGGCAATGTTCTGATATAAGTACATCAGGTCAAGCCGAAATTACTTCTATTGCTAGCGATACAATGAACACGTCTAACAACGATGAGTCGCTAGTCGATGAAGAAATACAAACCATAAGTTCGGGTAATCATATGTTCATAGGATATATATCTACTTCTTCTTCTTAACAGCTTAACGGTCCATTAAGGACCTGCGCTGCCACTAGTAAGCCTCTCCATTTTTCTCTGTCCAAAGTCCAGTCTGTCGCGTTTCAAATCTGTCCATCTCATATCCTTTTTCTACAGTGTCTTTCCATCTTATTCTTAGTCTACCAAGTGGTCATTTATTATTTATTTTTCCTATTAGAACATTCTTTAGTACATCTCTTGTCATTACACATTTCTACTAATTTTACATATGTTTGTGGGATTCCAAAATGTGTCGTAACTTTCCATAATTCACGCTGTCATAAGCTTGTTTATAGTCAACAAATACCATGTGCAGTTCCTTATCGAGCTCATAATATCTCATGATTGTTTGTCTTAAGGTAAATATGTGGTCGACGGTGGATTTTCTCTTTATAAAGCCACATTGATATCTTCCTACGATTTCCTCTTCGTACGTTGTTATTCATTCCAAAAGGAACACCAACAATAGCTTATAACATGTATCCATTAAGGAAATTCCTCCATAGTTTTTTGGGTCTAATGTTCCCCTATTTTAAATATCATACATGTACTCATAATTTATCCTAGGATAGAGTACACAATTCCTGTTTTGAGTACATGCATGCATAACAAAATTAATTTAAACAGTTCTACCGTGCGATTGAAAAAAAAAATGTATAAACTATTTTTTTTATTTTTTTAGATAGTGATGGTGATGAATTAATTCTACTATATGAATCTGAAGAACTAATGTCTCTCATTGCGAACCTAAAGGATAGTATAATTCAAGAGAAATGCGAAATCAGTAAACTCAGTGAGAAGTTAATGTCTGCTGGAAAGTTTGTCAATGTTAGGTTAGTATTAATGGGTTTTTAGAATAGATACACAAAAAACTTCTTAGTAAAAAAAAAATATACAACATAAAAATGTCACAAGACTTATTGATTTTTTACATTGTTATAAACAATTTCCGTATTATATTATTAATTTTTTTATTATTGAATTTTGGTATGTTTTATATTTTAACGTTGTCTGCCTAACATAATGCTGATCATAAATATAAAAATTAAACAAAATTATGACTTACTATCAACATCTTAATAAAGACACGTTGATGCTTCTAAGGCAGACGGACAACTATTGGGCTTAAATTCCTAATAATTGTTAGCCACATTGAAAATTTTATACAATTATACAAAAAAATTGTTTTAATTATTCTAATTATTTCTAAGACTGTACATATTTTTTTACCGAGCCCTCCTACATTTACCTGTAATTCATTGGTATATTAAATTATTAACTCTTCTATTTTAATAGGGACTACTTCATGCAACCTTTAAACGAAGCGACAGTGTCAAACCAAAACTTGTTGAACGAGTATAAAAAGTTAGAAGTAAGACTTGGGTTTTGATACAAATTGATAATTATATATTCTATGTGCATATTAATCAATAATTGTTTTTTTAGTTACAGAAATTGAATTTACTAAAAAGCATAGTAGAAGAACGAGAAGCTATATTGGGTTTAAAAATACAAATAAAACTAGCTCAACGAAATCAGATGGCAGCCACATAATGTGCATAGTTGAATTTCAATCAAAATTTGTACTTTTATTCATGTTAGCAACAAAAGCAAAGACTATAAGTGCATAGTAGCTACTTAAGTACAACTACTATATGGCTTTTAGTGATATGAAAGGATATTTAGATGGTTGCAATCCAAGGAATATTCTTGTTTTTTACTGTAATTAACGTAGAATATTATGTTTGTAAAAGTATTTTTCTTTTATAAAAAGCGTTTATCCAATAATTATAAATACCATCAATATTGATTACGGAATTGTGTATGTTCCCATAATGGTGTTTATAACCTTAAACTAAATAATTTGATTGAATTAACTTTTATTTATATATTTAAGTATAAGTAGCATAGTAACATTATTATAACAACCTATTTATTTAAAACATCATCATTGCATTATTTATTGTTACGATCTTCAGTTTAGCATTTGTGAATTATAGCTTATATCATAAAATTAGTTTAGTTACATATTTATTTGTTTACTAAATTTACATGTTAATTTATTATTTTTCTCATACCATAGATTAAATGTACTATTTAATCTATGCTCATACCAATCAATGAAACTTATGTGAGAATTCAAAATTATTGTGATAAGACAAATATTTTTGTTTATTCTAATTTACATATCTTAAGATTAACTATTTTATCATTATTATTATTATAATTTCTATTATTATTATTAATTGAGAATGTATAGATACTTGTTGTTTATATGAAAACTGAACTATTTATAACTAACAAATGTGTGTAATGTATACAAATTACTAAAAGTTATTATCCGTAGAAATAATCTGACCAAAAATTTGTGAAATAAATAAATTATAAATGTGTTAAAGTCAATGATTGAAATATAACGTAGATAGTTTTCGGAAGTATCCATGATTTATTTTGTAGACTCATTGCAAAGTGACTATAGTCTATACTGTATAGTCACGACAGCCCAACAATGACTATTGCTCTGAAAATAGACTTTGCAACGAGTCCAAAACGTCGGCTAATAACTGAAGACATCCGAAAATTATTCCTATAATAAGCAAGTTATTATTTTTGTTAATATTTCTTATTCATCTGTAAATAATAGACACAAAAACAAAATTTTGGCTTCGTTTCTTATTTAATAGTTACAGACCTAAACGAGAAACCCTTAATAATATTAATATTAATTTGTAATTTTTTACAAATTGTATTTTATTAATTAAACTTAAACAATAAATATATCTTTTGAAAAACATTTATCAAAATCCGATCATTCCCTATGTCGTCTTAATTCCTTTAAAGCGAACCTGGGCATTTTATTTAGATAAGAAACAAAATTAATTATTTGAAAATAATGAGCTATTTAAAATGCATTTCTAATTAACGTATCAAATTTTTTTTTTTAATTCCTCATTCATTTCAAATTATTTGGAATAATTGATCATTTGTAATTATAAATAATATTTTAATTAAATATATTTTTATCCAAAATGTTATTAAGAGGAAATTGAAAATTTGTTGTTTAAGTATATTTTTAATTGTTCAAATTTTTTCAAAAAAATTGTATTATTATTTAAAGTTGATTTAAATTAGTCCAGATCTACCTTAGGCGTTTTTACCACTAAAATTCTACCCTAAAAGTTAGGTTAGCTTATTTAAATTAACCTAAAAATAAGTAGACATATTCGTAACTGGTTAAAATATATTTATATTTTATTTATTATCAAATATTGCCTAAATACATTTTTGGGACTCTTAACACATAAATATAACAATAGTGTAAACTTATTATAGTACATTGACAACAATAAGCTGTTTGACGTGGAAGAAGAAGCCACCGAAAAAAAAAACTTTTCTAGTTTATTTAAGTCATTCATTTTCATTTTATAAATTATATAATACTAGCACTCTCAAAAAATGTTACCGGTGCTTTTAAACTTTCATTAAAAACGTATTAACTCACTCCAATGGCTAATCTGTGGAAATAGTGTCGGACCTCACGGCAAAAAAAAAATTAATGAAAAAATAATATATATTAAAAATTCAACTCTTCACCCAAAGCCTTAACAGATCGATAGACACTGATATAACCTACTCAATTTATGGTTTTTTTTTTTTATCAAATAGGTATTAAAAAAAATAATAATTTGCAGGTATATTATATTATAATCTATGTTATTTCAACGTTTATATTGTATTATGCATAACATCATTATGCTGGTGCACGTTGTAATAATAATAAATAACAACGTATGTTTTGAACAACACACATTGAAAATGAGATCGATCACAAAATATAATATAATACAATTATATTATTTTTTTTTTTTTTTTACACACGTTCATACATTTTTTTCTTGAATTACAAAAAAAACGTAAATTATAAATATAGTAGTCGTGTTTAGTGTCATGGTCCGCATGGCAACAACACCGCAGCAATAAAATATGAGTAAGTATTGATTATAATTCATTACACGCGGTGTTTTCTTTAGACAATAATTGAATGTCTGTCACTTCTTCTCTTCGGCGAATAAGTGTCTCTTGTTTCGACGGTGGAGTTCATGGCGGAATAATCGATGGGAAAGAATTCGGCCGTTGGTCCACATTTGCCAAAAAGCCATTGCCCCGATCCATTAGGTTTGGTTCCCAGCAACCAGTTGGCAAAACACAGTCCCCAGCAATCATGGTCTAAAGGGAAATCGCCATTCTGTAAAAGTCCATAAAAAAATGTATACAACGTTGATAAGAAAATAACACACATAAACATGTTCTCGCCGGGAAAAAAGGTTGTACTCGAGAGCCAAAACATAATAAGTGTAAATCTGGACATGAATATTTCTGGCAATGGATTAGCACACCTAGCCGCATTTAAGATATCCAAAAAGTTATTCAATTCGTCTACACAACTGAAATTTCAAACCTAACCTGTATTCTGTTTACGCTTTATTGCCTCGTATGGTGTATATTCTGTGTTAGTGATCTATTAACTTATAATACCTATTGTAAAAAGTATTTTTCATTATTGCATCTATGTAATTTAAATGTAATGTAACCATGCGAGTTGTGACCCAACACATGATGTGATAAATAAGTGCAAAACGATTATGAGGCGTTGAAATAATATGCGATAATTAGAATTGTGGATTTTATTACAATTTTTTTTCGTCAAAACAATATGATTAGTAATAATTGATTACTGTCGGTCGGCTACGTCATAAGTTATAGTAGATAACAAATTTGAAAGGAATAAAAAAATACTAAAAAATTGTAATTGTGTCCACGAATTGTCCGGCAAATAAATGTTGATTCTTTCACCTTTATTTTGGTCTATGTGTATACAAATTTGGTTAAATAAAACTTTATTCGTTCCACAAAAGGATAAACCACGTGCAAAGAGAGTACATACGCAAAATAACAGACAATATGGTAAAGGTTAATTTAGATTTACTGGGTTTATAGTCTCATAGAAATAGATTATAATATTAATAGAATATTATACTATATTAGAAATTCATCAGTTAGTACAATAATTAATATTAAATGCAACTCACTGAAGTTAGTGATTTGTATAGAGTGTCGATAACGGTTTCCTTGGCTTCTTCGCAGTTCGACTCCAAAAATGTACAAAAAAACCTTCGTAAATTATCTTTTTCGATTATACCATTACCTATGTGAATATAGAAACAAAATCATTCGTTAAGTCTGCTCGATAGGTGATATTATGTCATTTTTAATTGCAGTTAACACCCAGACTTTACACTGTTAAATACAACATTGCAAAATATCTTGGGGAGTATAGGCATATTACTACTGCTAGGAACCACTTGACTGAGTAGTAATATCGTTTTTTTGAAAGAGAAACCCCCACAAAAATAATTTATTTTATTATTACCATTACCCATAACGGAACTTACCAAATTTAAAAATTCAACCACAATTTTTTTTTTAATTTTAAATATGTTCTCATAAATATGGTATTCAGAGGATGGAAAGTTTATGAATTCCGTGCATGGATTATGCAAAAGGATTAACACGAAGCTCAAACGCATATAGTGAAACATTTAAAAGCACATTACCGCGTCATACATTTTGAATGGGGCAAAAGGTTAACTTTAGACAGCGTGTTGTAATTGCACGGGACCCTCGGGCTCACATGACCCAGATCGACGGCCATACCACTAGATTGTTACTATTTGCTTCAATTATTCAACAGGGTGCAACAACTCACCGGAATCTAACGATTTGAACAGTATGTTTTGCAAATACTTGAGCCACAGAGGTAGTGTTGATGTTCCTGTACAACGGTTCAAGGTACTTTGCCACGTTTTCAACCAGTCCTCCGTCGACAGACTGACGAAAGCGACGTCTGCGCTAAACAAAATTCCAGTATAAATGTCTTATGGATAAAGTGCGGCCATACAAACTGACTTTGGCCCTCTTCGCAGGGAAAAAATACTCGAACCAACTCTTCCAAAACTTGTTTTAAAATTATGTATTCATCGCTGCTTGGCGACCAATCTGCAAACCGCCTCAGCTTCTACACAATCAATAGTTATTATAACATTAGCCCATTCAATAGTAATAGTAATTTTTATATTATTCACTACTATTATACTGTGACATCACCTAACTAACAGTAGCGCAACTAGCTAATAATTTGGGCAAGTTAGACATGGGAGCCTCCGAGGAACAGTACGCCTGGGTTAACTAATATAGTATAGAACTTTTAGGTAACCTAAGTATAAATTATAAATAATTAGCTTGATCTTAACTAGGCATCTACTTATAGAGCAAAGCTAGATATTGAAAGTCTCCACGTTTTTCAAGATTATTAAAATTTAGGGTTCTGAAGTTCTAGTTGCGCCTCTGATGTTTAATCCACGTTTTAAAATAAACTAAATACTTCGTAAATTGTAATAGTGCCTTAAAATAATAATAACTTTCAACTAGTACGACTAACTGAGGTGACACCAAGGAATAGAGCATATTATAGAAAGACAATTTTTTTAAACTTAAAATCGTCAACAACCTGGAATTTTAGTTTAACTGTTTTAAATTCATATTTTGTTAATAAAATTGTGTAACGACGTTGTTTTTAAAAAAAGAAAAAATCAACAATTTTTGTTTACTTCTATAAATTAATTCGACATATTTATTTACAACCGGCCCACCTAACCTTCTTTAGTGTAATAAATCTTATTTATAGTGTAGAAAGGTTAGGTTAATTATTTTGGTTATCTAACAAATGATATTTAATCGATTTTTTTTTAATGGTATTGAAATTGTTTAGCTTAATTTCCGTTCCACAATTGTTGAACTTGCTCCATTATTTTATTTAACATCTAGTCTCTAAATGCATGTTTTATTTCAACAATAGAGGTGATATAGAAAAAGCAAAGATTTAGAGATTATAAAAAAACATTAGACGTGATGCAATAACAGCTATAAGTGTGTATAAATATAAAACAATGTAGATACTGTGTACAAACTATAGCTGAACGTAATGTAGGTGTACAGCTGTAATACTGTAGCGTGAGAATAAAATGAAATATGCAATAACGAAGAAAACATATTTGGTTTTTTTTAAATTTCTAGTGAATATATTTTATTTTATACCTCGACGAACTGGTGAAAATCGTGTTCGAATACGAACCCGTCACAATCTCCATCTAAATAATACTTGAAAAAATGCAATAACTTATCCTCCTGTATAGGAGACAATTCAAATACGGGATCCACCGTTTTCGATTGACCCCTGTCCGCACAACGCTTGACCCAAGTAGCTGTAACCAATAGTTATGGGTGTTTTACATAATCATGTACTTAACATTATGTGAGTAGGTATATAAACGTAAGTAAGTAAGTATTCATTTTGTAAATGTTAAGAATTACGATTGTTGTCTATTTAAAATAAGTTCTCAAGGCCTAACCACTCCTCTTTCTGACTTCCTTCCAGGTTCAAATAAAACTATATTTCAAGCTTGGCAGCACAAATGGTCCTCCCTACCTCCTAACTTTTCCACTTGGCATCGCTCAATCTGCCCTATCATCCCTCGCAGGCCTTGGTTTCATGGCCTCAATCTCACACGTAAAGAAATTTCTTCCTTTTCCCGTTTAACATTTGGACACAACCTTCTTCCCGCTTTCTCTTTTCTCATCTCTTTGACTCCTCTCCTCATTGTACCTTGCATGATTTACCAGCCATTTGTGATTTTTCTCATTTCCTTTTTCATCGTCCCACTCTCTCTCCCCATAGAGATATCCTTTTTAACCTCCTATCCTCTTTGGGTATTAATGACCCTAACTCCTATAACATTCTTAACTCTCGCTCTGTTCCTATCATCCAATCTATACTCAAATTCATCCTTGATGCTGGGTTTCATATCTAATTGTAAGTAAAGCTATTTTAACAATGTGTAATTTTTGTATACATATTTTTTTTCCATTATTATTTTAGTTTGTATATACTATCTTTAATCTGTGTAATTATTGAGCTGTTAAATTTATAATAAAGGCTATTAAAAAATAAAAAAATAAAAAATAAGTTTATCCTAGGCCACTTGATATGATTGGATGCTCTGAAAATGTATACGATTTCGGACAGGGGCAAATACAAGAGGAAGGGGTATGGGGACTGAAGCCCCTCTCTTATACATGCTTAAATTGTATGCATAAAAAGTGTATTTTTTTGTTAATTTTTTTATAATATAATATATTAGAATAATTTTTTTTTCCTATATAGGTAAACTTTTACTCTATAATTATTACTTATATATGTGTTTGAAGTGAATTTTATTTCTAGCCCCCCTACCCTTTTCATTTCTAGATCTGCCCCTGATTTTGGATGTACATATGGAGATAAATAGTTATGATAAGTACATTTAAATAGCAAAATCAACTTCTTAGTTATACATTTAAAATTGTATTCCATATATATTTTAATTATTTTATGAGTACTTAACGTTTTTGTGTGACGTGTGTACCAAGTATAAAATATTATTGTAATTTCATCATACTTGGTCATTCATCCATGTATCTATCACTTGTAGATAATTAATTATTTTGTGTTAAAATCCATCAATGTGTTAAAGTAATATCTAATAAAGTCAAAATTTGTAGTTAGAAATAATGAACGATTTGATTTTTATTTATTTAAATCTCGAACAGAATTGATCACAATTTGGACCATATTACCAGTCAGGCCACGGTAATGATAATAATTAAATTTACTTAGATAACCACAAAATTGTTCAAATTAGATGTAGAATAAATCTAGAAAATTTGAGACACATACAAAATATGATTGAAAATTATTGAGTCGATTTCAAGTGTCAATCCACCTCTATAGGAATGATAGTTGTATTGAACTGACAATATTGACATTTTCATACTGACCTGTATGACTGGCCAAGTAATAAATGTAGCAGTAAGCTAACGCGTATTAACTTTGCTTGTTTTAAAGTACCAAGATAAATTGTAGCCAGTACTATGATAAATGAACGAGCAAACCAATGGTCGAAGGCTCTTATTGGTTATGTTAAGACTGAGTGTTGGTGTAAAGCAGACATTTCTGATGGGATGTTATCTACAGACTAATGTAGACAAATGACCAGTAATAATAACATAATATAGCACACACAAAAAAAAAAGATTTGGTTCATATTTTAAATTAGTTATTTAATATATATCGACAAATACTTTTTTCAAAATAAACAGCCAACAAACGTACCAAACACGTGTACTTCCAACGTTGGAGACGTGTACTCGCACTCTGATTTTTGTTCATCAGCTTGAGGAACAGCTGCAGCATTCTTCCATGACATTGTTCTTCGTAACAGTTGCTTTGTTCGATCTTTGGTTCTATCACATGCCTTCAGCATAATGTAAATCATAAACAAATTTTAATTTGTATTTATTAACACAACAGTGAGGATTCCTTATTGGTAGTTATTTTTACATATCTACATGTTCCCTTTGAAATAATCCAAAGTATACATAAAAATAATCACTCAATTAACACATAGCGCCAGAAAAGCTTAACCCACAAATTCATTATTTCAAGAAGTAGCGTATTTACAGGGGAGTGATTAGTGTGGTATATCACCCCTAGAGTCTTAAATTTATAAATATATTATCAATAATCTATTTGTTAAAAATGGATAAAAAATTAATTTTGTCGACGACTAAACAAACCGTAACCAGTAAACAGACTGTATGCTATGCTTAAAGCAAAAAACATGGTTGAAATTTTTCAGTCCGGCCGCGAGGTCAAGACTTCCACAAAGATGAGAGGGGGGGGGGAGCTGACTTACCTGTTTCCATGTGGAAGTGAATTTGACCGCGCCATGTACGTTCTGCGGGTCGCTACTCGCGCAAGTGCTTTGCGTCTTCGGCTTGTCCGTCACCACCGTGGCCACTTCCGGTAAACTTCTCAAGCTGTGTGACCGGACGTGCTTGCCGTTGACCGGGGTCTGTGCTTTCTTGTTGCCGCCGCTGGCGGCCATGCCCGCCCTCTGGCAAAAACACAGGAATCCTGTGACGGGATAAGCCTGGTAACGCCAGGCGACCGACTCGACCGACGCCTCGAAAGTGTACTGCAACGTTTTTTTCACTTAAGCGCGCTCTGAACCTACACAAAGTCAATATATACATAGTGCCCATGTAATTGTACTTACATAATAATGTATACTAGTGTGTGTGTAAGTGTTTGTGTATAACGCACGCAGCGGAAGAACAAAATAATTTAATCGTTGGTTAGCTGCGGAGGGCAGGGGGGAGTGACTGTATAGAAAAGGTGCATGATAAAGAAAGGCGCAGTATTATTCAAATTTGGATGTTTTTTATTTTATTTTTATTTCCACTGACATGCAATGTCGTTTACACGCGATCGGCAGGTACGGACAACTAACATTATCGCAGTGCATAATAATATACATGTTGTGCCCTGGCCTAGTATACCTTGCAGTAGTTGGTACAGGTGTGGCAGTAATAATATACATTAACAACAATCAACAAACATCAATAAAGTTAATAATATTTTACGAAAATAGAAAATTTAGAATATTATGCAGAACAACTAGAATAGTTTAGTCAGAGCTTCTGATGTAAATGTGTGTTATTAAATAATTATTATCAATTGAACATTATAAATTAGAACTTAGAAGTGTTATTAATTTTGTCACAAACTACATAAATTTTCCACAAATTATTATGTTTCTAGCCTCCTCTCAATCTAGTTTTTTTGATAGCAACTTTTAAAACTTAAATGTTAACGTATATATTTTTTTAAATGTTTGATTGGTCAAAAACTGGTTATCGACCAGTCAAAAATGTTAGTAATTTAATTTCGCAAGATGGCATTGAAGATATGAGTAAGATGGATGATTGCCTTCTTAGGCAGCTCTTTAAGGATGCGTGGGCTGATCAGATCTTGATAACGGAATTGGACGCAACAAGTACAATAACAATAACTTGTTGTAAAGGTTATAATTTTAATTAAGGGTTTCGTTCAAAATATTAGGGTTGCCTAAATAATATAAGGCGTAGTCCAAGTATAGATACCGGTTGGGGTCATGCGAACTACTGAAAAATTTAATTTTCCATAGGAGTTACTAACTAATGGGTGGGGTATAGTTGCCTAGTGACCGGTGTTCATAACTTCTGATAACATAAAGACTGATAAAGACAATACCTTATACCATTGCAAAATAAAAAAACATTTCAAAATATTAACGAATGTCGAATAGGTACATATTATTATTAACGTTAAACTTCTAATTTAAAATTTAAATATACTCCTTCATTCACCCCACACAAATTATTTAAAGGGTAAAATAACTATTAAAATTTTATATCTAACAAAACATGACGTACATTTTAAATTATTTAAAACTAACAATCGGTTATCAACTATCAGCAAAATAATGAACTAAATGGAAACCAACGGGGAAGAAAATGAACGTGAGTACAATTTTATTTCTATTTGAAAATAATCAATCATATTATCATACCTATATAATCATTTGTAGAAATTGTTGAAACTCGATTGTCCCCGGGGCACCGGTCAATTACGTGTAGCATGGCAAAAAGGCAGCGGTACATATCTAGCAATAGCTGGCGCCGATCAATTTGTCGGTATTTACAATCGTTATGGCAAATTGATTGAGAAAATCAAAATCACCGGGTAAAATTTAAATTTGTTATTGGTAAATAAGTAATTTTTTTTCTTATTATTTCTCTTGTTTTATAGATATTGCATTGACTTGGCCTGGGACCGAGATGGTGACTTATTAGGCATCATATGTGACGGTTTGACCTCGATCATTTTATGGGAGGCCAATTCCTCTAAAACCGAACAAATAAATCCTGTTTTCAATGATAGTTTAACATGTATACTATGGTCAAAAGTTAGTCAAACAGTCGCAGTGACATCGTCCAAAGGAAATTTAATTATATACGATTATACAACTACAAAGTAGGACACTTGTCATATTTTACTAGATACTTTTTAGATTGAATCTATAGTTTTTGTTTTACTAGTTTTAAATATCCAATATTTAAGAGAGTAATAGGGTGGTAATAGTAACTACCAATTAAAAAAAATTGTACTAAAAAAAGGTGTGTCTGGGCAGGCAATGTGTCAGATTTATACCCAAGCACAAAAAATTGAAATGTTCGAAAAATAAAATTATAAAAAATAATGATTTGATGTTAAATATTTTTTTAAGACGAATACCTGTACTTGGCAAGCACTCCAAAAGCATAACATGTGGACAATGGAATCGGAACAATATATTAGCTCTAGGCTCTAAAGATCAGACTGTATCTATAAACAATATTGAAGGAGATACATTAAAAATCATAACGCTCAGAGGCGAACCATCTAATATTAGATTTTCTACAATGAAATCTGATCGAAAAAAACAATCGGAAGAAACTGTAAGTGACGTTTGTTTGTTAATAATGTTTAAATTGTTATTTATTTGATTGGTTGATTTAGGTGAGTGTTTTGGTTAGTAATAAAACATTATATCTCATCGATCTTCAAGATACTGACAACCCGTTCGAGTTAGCATTTAATATAAAATACGGATCAATCATAACTTACCATTGGTACGGGGATGGCTACATTTTAATCGGTTTCAGCGAAGGTTATTTAATTTCAATATCAACACATCCAAAAGAAGTAGGCAAAGAACTTTTCCAAGTACGAAATCATAAAGACATGTTGTCTGATGTGGGTCTATCTAAAATTGCTGGAAAAGTTGCCACCTGTGGCGAGTATACGTATGTATCAATGGTGCAAAATAGACTGCATTCTCAATAATAATAATTAATTTCCAATTTTTAGCATCAAAGTACATGAAATTGGCAAATTGCAAGAAACAACTGCTGTTTTAAGTGTAGAAGAGACTAGTGTACTGGACCATGTCACATGGAGTGAAGATGGACGACTGTTGGCTGCAACAACGTCCGATGGTTGTGTTCATCTCTACTTGGGTGCTTTACCTATGTTGTCGGCGTCATTTAATAATTGCGTGGCATTTTTAACGTCGTTAAATAAAATTACCATTCACTATTCTTATCCGGACAAAGTAAGATTTTCGTGTACTACAAACTATGAAAAAAAAACCAAGTAAATGATCGTCACCTTTCTAATATTATAGAACCAACCGACAGATATAATTTCCGTAATGGCTGAAATGGAACCTACTATCTTGGGCATTGGACCATTTAATTTAGCAGTTGGTATGAACAATACTGTTTGGTATTACCAAATAAATACAAATGAACCTAACAAGTTGTCGACTACATTAATCGGTGATCAAGAATATTTGAAAAGCGTTAAAAGTATATGCTTGAATGCGGAATTTGTATCTGTTCTTTTCGAAGGAAGGCTTCAACTTCACACGGTAATTGGATATTTACTAGTTATAGCATTAAAGCTATACATTTTTAATTTAGAATTACAATTTTTTTTATGGTTTATATTTTATTATGTATGCCAAATACGTAAGACGCATATTGTTTAGCACTCAATGGCACTGGTTCAACACTCTGTATAGTCCGTGACACGAAAAATTGCGGGTGGCCGCCGTCTTATTCCGGGGCTTACCCAGTCTGTAAACAGTGGTTCTCATTTTACAGCGACCATCTGCCGCAGCGCGTGCAGCTGTACAGTGAATAATACTTATAGTGCGCTATTGTACAACTTCAAATTTTTTCATCCCCCCGTTTTACTTTGTGACCATGCTTTCTTTGAAAAATTATTTTGAAAATATTTGAAAAAGCGTGGCAATTGATTTGGTAGCAACTATTGGGAAAAATCCGGTTAGCGTGTGGTGGTCATCCGCCACTTTTCGTGTTGCGGTGTATAGCGAATGGTTCCATTTTCTGTGTTATAAACCATCTAGTTTAAAGGAGCCGACAAATCCCTCCTGATTTATATAGGTATTCCGTATTACACAAGGCTTTTAACTGACATATTTATAATTTAGGTTATTTAAAATGACTGTTGGATGTTCTTTAGCAACAAATCATTCATTCATTGAACTATTTAATAAATTTAAAAAATTGCAATAAAAACCAAGAAACATTAAAACCTTTTGGTATTTTAAAGTGTTTTCGGTTCAAAGTGTTGGTATTATTTATGAATTAAAAATCTATTAACAAATATTCTGAAATACATTTATTATAAACTGGTTGGATTATTTGTTTGAATTTAGTAACTTTATTTTCAGATTGATTCTGTGGTATCTAAAGAAGTCAACGATAACGTATCCAAAATATTTCCAATGGAAAAGAGTAAAATCATTAATAATCATTATTTAACTAGTGATTTTCTTATCTATAGCACCGATGTAAGTCATTGACATTTTGTGTAATATTATAATTAATAGTTGTTATACTTTAAAAGAACATTATAATATTAAAAATAAAATCATTTTAGACAGGTATCATCTACTATTTTTATCTGGAAGATTGGACTGAATGTTTTACTTACAAACACGAGTGCGGCATTGTGAAATTATTTCCAAACCCAGATGGGATAAAGTGTCTGATTATTGATGCCAAAAACGAAGCATACTTATATAACCCTGTGAGTTTTATATATATTATTGTTATTATTATTACTAATATGAATCTATAACTGACACAAACTTATTTAGGTATTTGAAGAGATGTTACCTATAAAAGACTTTCCAACATCAATTACTTCTGTTTTCTGGGAATGTTGGCCATCGGAAAATTATGTATTTGTTGGCTGTGGCGACAAATGTGCTTTTACTTTTATATATTTAAGGGAATCTATTAATGGTACTACCAAAATAATTATGTTTTTTCCGTGATAATTAATTATTGATTTTTTTTTTTTTTTTTGTGCACACTACTAGGTAGTGTAGTACGTTATATTGGTTCCACTAAATTGCCTGACAGACAGATACCGCTCTTCTTATACCATGGTGAACTTACCTTAGAAACTTCCACTGGTAAATTAAACACCATTACGCTGTCTACACACACAGCGTTGTTATTGCGACCGGCAGCTGCTACGCTTAGTCATCCGACCGAACGACTGGAACAGGATTTAGACAAACAATTAGCGTTGATGCGTTATAAAGATGCATGGAAGACTTGTCAACTATTAAACAAAAAGGAATATTGGGAGAAACTGGGAATGAGCTGTTTAGAAAATTTTGATCTAGAAACTGGTATGACTTAGGCTTGAACTTTGTGTGCTTGCTTATTGTCCTAGTATATTAATGTTAACGTTTACAGCTATTCGAGTGTACACTGTTTGTGGTGATGTTTCCATGGTCTGGTCCTTGGAACTCATAAAAGATATAGAAGACAAACATCTGTTTGCCGGTCATGTGGCAATGTACTTGAAAGAATTTGACAAAGCTCAAGTAAATAAATATAAAAATGATTACGTTGACATTGTTAATTTTAGCTTTTAATTTATAATCTAGAAATTATTTTTGGATTCATCAAATCCAATACAAGCATTAAAAATGCGTCAAGATTTATTGCAATGGGACTTGGCTTTGGACTTGGCGAAAATATTGGCACCCGAAAGATTGCCTTTTATATCTTGTAAATATGGTCAACAGCTCGAGTTAATGTGAGTACACGTTACTTGTGAAACGATATTGCTTCACAGTGTAACTACTCCCGTTTTTATTTACTTGCATTTTACAGAGGTAAAGCTTCTGAAGCAATGCAGCAATATGAAGAAGGCCTCAATGCTGGAAAGGACAGTAACCAATTAATACTTTGCCGTGAAGGCATGGCTAGATGTTTAATTAAGTGTGGAAACGCGAACAAGGGTATTAGTTTAGCTTTGCAAGTCGAATCTAAGAAATTACTTAACGAATGCGCTGAAATATTGGAAAATGTTAAGGTTTAAAAAATAAATAATTTACTTAGCGTTTTTAAAAAGTATATTTAGCTTATTATACTTTCAGAGACTAAGCGATGCGGCTGAACTATACGAACGTATTGAAAACTGGGATCGAGCCGCTTCTTGTTATATTCGATTAAAGAATTGGGCAAAAGTCGGTGAATACGCTAACCGAATTACTTCTAACAAAATTCACGCTCAATATGCTAAAGTAAAGTTTATTGTGATATTAATTTCAAAATAATCTAATATTTACTCGAAACAGGCGATGGAAGCAATGGGAAATTACAAACAAGCGTATTTTGGATACACTGCGGCTCAAGATTACAACAATGCTATTCGTATAGATTTGGATAAACTAGATGATCCTCAAGATGCCATTAGAGTCGTTCATGAACATCACAGTACTGAAGGGTCTAAAATGATTGCCAGGTAATTTTTACAGAGTTGGCAATTATTTTGTTTTTATTTAAACCGCCCGACCATGCCATGTTTATTTGCGTATGTGTAAACCCTATAAAATGGATTATATTTTTGGTTAACTACCAAATATTTGCTAGGCTTTAATAAAAAAAAAACCAATAGGTTTATTTGGGTTTGGGTTTTTTTACCATCTCTGAATTTTCATTTTCAATTAATTTTAGCTTGGATGCAAAGCTAAAAGTATTAATTGTTTGTTTAAAATAATTTTTTTGTTTTTAGATATTTTCAAAAAAACAATGAAGTCTTGTTAGCTATTCGCTTTTTGACAATGTCCCATTGTTTTACTGACGCATTTAGATTGGCTTGCGACCATGGTCACTTGGAATTATACGGAGATGTATTGATTGACGAAGATGAACAAGTATCAATTCCTGAATTTATCAGCCTTGCCAAATACTATGAAACCCAAAACGAACCAGCATTAGCTGGCAAATACTATTACCATGCTAAAAATTATCAAAAAGTTTGTAAAATTATAGTTTTTTTGTAATTTAATGAGTTCAATATATTGCTTATTATTTATTTAATTTATATACTTTAGGCGCTTAATTATTTGCTTGAAGCGAGTAAAAAGAATTCTGAAAATGACGATATATTATTATTGGCCATAGAAGTTGTTGCTGCCGCTAAGGATAATATGATGGATGAGCAACTAATACAATTATTGTTAGGTGATATCGATGGATACCCAAAAGTATGTGACTTATTTATGTATTATAAGTTTTGTTATTATTAAGCTTTGCAAAATCTAAAATATATTGGGTTGTGAGAATTATTGCTTGATCGGATTCGGGTTGAGGTCGATAACCCTCAAAGTAACCAACAAATCCTGAAAATATTTGTTTTGCCTTAAGGCAAAATTAATTTTCAAAAAAACTATTATTATTTGTTATTAATTTTTTAGAATCCAAAGTTTTTATTTAAACTGCATATGGCCAGAAGACGATACCACGATGCTGCCAAAGTTGCCATAATATTAGCTAACAACGAACAAGTTAAAGGTTACTTTAATAATTTACAATTATAACAGTTTTTTTCTTTTTAAAAAGAGCTTTAAAGTTAAGAAATTGGTTACATAATAGTAGTGGTGTAGTCACAGAATATACTATTACAACTGCACCTCATCAGACCAAACCTACAATTATTTAATTTATTATTAATTTATTTATACAGTAGAATGTATTTTTGTTAAATAATATATTATATATTTGAACAGGTAACTATAGACAAGCGCACGACGTGCTGTATAGTACTGTTTGTGAATTGCGTAATAATCAACTGAAAGTAAGCAATGAGATGATGGCCAATTTAGCTCTACTTCATTCTTACATTCTAGTTAGAATTCATGTAAGACTAGATAATCATGACAAAGCCGCAACACTACTGATTAGAGTATCCGAAAATATAGATAAATTTCCATCACGTAAGACTTTAAAATATTTAACTTGTTACTATTATTGTTGTCGACACAATAAACAGTTTAATAAATAAATTTCAAACAAAATGATTATAGACGCTGTTCAAATACTAACGTCGACCGTCATTGAATGTTATCGATCAAACATGAAAGAAGACGCTTTTAAATTTGCGACCATTTTAATGAAATCAAATTATAGAAATCAGGTTATTTACAGTATATATATAGAGTTCTTCAAAAAAATAATTTTAAAAATGTACCATTTTGTAGACATTAACAAGTAACAATATATGTTGTTGTTTTAGATTGACGAGAAGTATAAAAAAAAAATTGAAAGCGTTATTAGAAAATCCCCTAGAGGAGCTCTCCAATCAGATATGGATACAATTAGTGTACAACCATGTCCATACTGTGGAATCGACTTAGCCATGACAAGTTTAATGTGTACCAATTGTAAAAGTACAATACCTTTTTGTATAGCATCGGTAAGCAAAAAACAAATAATAACGTGTAATTTAAAAGTTTCTGAACAGTGAATTTAAAAAATAAACAGATACTAATAACTTGAGTTAGGGTAGAATGTTTTTTAAATCTTTTTATAATTTTTCTTTTAGGGGTGGCATATTACTAAAGAAAACTTGACAATTTGTCCAAACTGTCAATTCCCTGCTATATACAGTGAATTTGTCAGGTAAGTAATTGGAAATGTTAAAATAAAAGAATTTAAGTCTATACTCAATATATTTTCTCAACAAACAATTTAGCACGATTTATGTTATCGCAAATCCACCTATTAGGTTTTTCCAAAGTAATTAAGAATAAAGTTGTGAGAGATATTCATATTTTACTGTCTTACTAAAAAAACAATTAATTTTATTTCTATAATAAAATATGTTTATCTCAATTGAACAATCATTTTACACTAAAAATAAAAAATAATTAAAAAAATTTCTGTTGAATAAAAATGATTGTCCAATTCAGAAAAATATCATTCATTTTAGAAAAAGAAAACTTTTTTTTATTAAGAGAATCAAATGTGCGTTTTAATTTTAAATCCACAATTTTGACTTATCTGCATCTGACCAAAGCTGAAGAAATATTACATTTAGTATACATACCCTGTCCAAAAAGTTTGCGAAATGATGCCATCATTTTTTTATTTTCGATAAATCAGCTAAATAAATTGCATCTCCTTCAAAATACTCTCCTCTTGTTGTATTGCACTTGTTCCAACATCATCGACACAGCATGTGAAGAGCATAGCTTCTTAGAAGACTTCTTGTGATGTCTTGAGCAATGAAATCAGAGCTGGGACAACTGCATTGCAACAAATTAATGGTATTTTGAAGAAAATGAAATGAAATTAGCATGATTTATCTAAAATAAAAAAAATTATGGCATAGTTGCGTACTTTTTGGACAGATTTTAAATTTTATGTAAAAGTAAATACCATTTATCCATGTTATTATTCTAGGTTACTGGAATCTGGTGAAAACTGTCCAATGTGTTCCAATCCAGTTAAAGTGAATTACCTACAAACGATAGAAGATCCCAGATCACTTTTATTTGCCGATGATAACGAATAGACTAAATTATTTTTAATTTTTACTGCACAACAAATCTTTTCTGTAAGAATGTGTTATTTATTTTTATACATAATATGCCATTACTACATAAGATCTCTTGCACTTATTCTTTACTCAATTTTTGGAAATCCTATCAATTTTTAATTTTGTTTAATTTACAATTAAGATGTATTTAAGCAATTTAAATGTTAGCATTCATGTAATTTTAGTTATGGATAAAAAATAATATAGTTGGCACTTCGTGAAGCAATTGTAACTTAATAAATTAACTGCATGAATTTTTATATATTTATAGTTTTATAAAACTTAAGTCACCTTAACTTTAGTCATTTCAGAGGAAAAGTATGACTTCAAAAATTAAATTTTTTGACAGTATTAGGCATTGAACTTATTCAACTATCCAAGTTTAAAATCGATTTTAATATAAAACAAATTAAATCTTAATAATAAAAATATTTTTTTAATTATTATTGTATACGTATATAATAAGTTCATTATAAAACAAAATGACAAACAATTTTAATTCCAAAAATAGAAATTTTTAAGATTTGAAAAGTTTTACAACATATAAAAATGAATTACCATTCAAATTTAATAACAACAAAAAAAAATCTATATTTAAATTTTTCACACCAACAAAAAATATAAACTTATGAACAAAACATGGTAAAAAGCGTATTTTGTGTTACCTTCAATTTAAACTGTGGAAATTAATTTTGATATTTAAAATTATTATTGCACATATAAATTATACAAAAATAATTATTTATTACCTCAACATATTGTTTTTTTTAATTTACATTTAAAAACGACAAAAACAATTTTTTTAACAACACTAGATGTAATAAAGTTTTTAATAAATATTACATAAATGAAAAAAATAAAATATTTTTAGAAAACAAATCTATAGTAGATACTTGATATGTTTACTCAACATATTGATAGTTATACATTTAGAAAAATGTAAAAAAAAAAATTACCCATTAGTAACATTTTTAACAATGTTACTCAAAATTAATTATTTTCCTTTTGGTTTAAAATATTTTTTATTTTTGCATAATTAAAACACTAATACACTTATATAAAATAAAAAGGGTAAATGCTTAAGACTCATAACTCTCATAAAGTTATTAGTTTTCAATTTATAAAACAAATAACTAAAAAAAAATTAGTTTTTTAAATGATAAAAATTTTAAAAACAAATTTGCCTACTTGAACACTCACATTTTATCAATTGAGGAACTGTAAGTCAATATAGTATGATTTTAGTAACTTATAAAGTCTATGAATAAATTTGTTATTGATTAATTTATTAATATAGAATGCATTACCTACATGAAACTAATAGAAGCACATATTACAATTTTTCTTGGTACTTCTTTTTATACATAAAAAATAATTCGTTTATAGGTTTTCATTTTTTTTTAAACATCCAAAATGAATATCTAAAACTATGGAAGACCTTCAAATGTGTAAAACAAGGCCATCAATTTAAACTTTATTATTAACGTTACGCACCTTGAAAATATTTTTAATTTTTGGAATTAAATATTTTTTAGTAAATTAATGAACTAACATTACTGCAAAAGTTTTTATTTTAGATAAATTAAAAAAAATATAATTATTTTATTAAACTAATGTAATTATTATTTTAAATTTGAATTGGTTTAATCAAGTTAAAAAATAATAGTAATAAACAAGTATAATATAAAATATATTATTATTTACAAAGACTTTGGCAAAATGTGTTTTTATAAAACGCGCAGCATAACTTTAATTATATTTTATTGCAACACGCTAACATGTTTATAAATGGACTAGTATAATATTTCATTATGTCTAGTAAAATATGAACCAAACTAGTAACAAGAAATATGTCTGTTTAATATGCATTATAGACGTTTTTTTTCTGTCCATACAAGCTAATACAGTGGTGTAGGTTTTAGTGAATATACTGTGTGTACCCACTTTTCTGAGTACATGATTCTCGTTACAACTACATGCAAAGTGGCAGTTGGGTTATACACAGCATACGCCTTTGCTTCGACTACACCACTGTTATACAATAATAATTTATGAATGCTTGGCTCTCAAAAGAGTGTAAAAGTATTTTGAAAAACTGTCTCTAACATATTGTGAATCAGTATCACAGTTATTGAAATGCGGAACAACCGTGGTGTTAGGACCCCACACGATTGGCGCCATGTCGGCCTTGATAACTGCTTCCATGTTGCTATCAATATAATGGAAACTTTCACGCTTGAAGAAATTATGTAAGTAACAACATGCCTTGACGATGGTCTGTACTTTTTTTGCTTCTAGGTTGACAGGGGTCTGTAGAACCCCAAACCTCCAAGCCATAATTGCCAGTGTCTTGGCTGCCCGCTGGTTTGCTCTGACTAGTTGACGATTATATAACTTGTTGGCTTCGCCTCCTTTTTCATTCACTGCTCTATAAGGTACCATGAAATTCTCCTGTAACTTAAAAGAGTCATCGCCCACAAACACATAAGGTAACTGATTAGGATCTGTGCGACATGGTAATGTTGCAGAACATATTTTGCGTTCTAGTATTCGATTTGGTGGGTTGGTTTCAGATAAATGTCCACTGGGACATGTATCTGCCAAAAGAAACTCGTAGTTAGCATCTACCATGGCTGATAACAATACACTAGGTCGACGTCGTTCATTCAGGTAATCAGAGTCTGCTTTAGAAACTTTTCGCAGTTCAATGTGACGAGCACAAGCAGCACCGAGACATGATGGAAATCTTGTAGTGCGTTCAAAAGTCATCGACACACGCAACCATTCTTCTTCACTTTGGGGGCACTGTAGGAAAATACCACAAAATATATATTAAGTATGGCTAATTAATTAGTTATTAAGTAAAAAATATTTGGTACCTATTAAAAGATTTCAATTTCCTATTCAAATAATGTATTATTTAATTATTAAAAATTTAAATCCCTAGGAAATTCAACCAAAAAGAAACATTTAAACACAGTGCAGTAACTAAAAACTATAAATTCACTTATGTACCAAATACCTAATATATTGATTTTGAATCATATCTACCTTAATATAATCTGCAAGTGCTTCAATAATACATTCACAAGTTTCTACAATAATTTTGGCCAACATTTGTGGTGATATGTGAGTATCAATTTTAATTTCTTGCAACGTTGAACTGGTGGCCAGGAATCTAAGCGTTGCAGTTAGTCGTCTGGCAGAACTTATCTTTTGTCCATTTTTAGCGTTTGTCATAAACGGGTGCAACTTAAACAACAGCTTGTGGAATGTCTGTCGGTCCACGCGCAATCTCCGGCCACGATCTTCTTTTCCCAGCCAGTCGAGCTCCTTTTCCAGTAACGCATCCCTTGTATGACCATCACGCTGGCCAACATGTAATTTTTGTTCCATCGACTGGATAGACGGCTGTGATGAGTATGATGACGAGCTACATTCAGATAACTCTTGTCTACACTTGATTAATATTAGAACAAGAATTGCAGCTAATACAGTTGGGTCACACCAACCGTTGTTAGTGGCCGTTTCGAGAAGATTCAAAAGCTCGGTAGCAGTTACCATGTCATTATTGGGCTAAAGAGCAGTTGATATACTATCATAAATATGTACCAGCACTCTGTTGAGTTTAAAACATTTTAATTCACTAACAAATATAATAATATGTGTATCATTCAGTAGCACACTATAACAAGAATAAAACAATACTTTAAAATCAACTGTATAAATATTACATAAATGTATATGTATATGTATATATATTTATAAGTACACTATATATAAGCATATACAAAATTATACTTATTGGGAAATTATAAAAATAACAAAAATTATTTGTCGAAAATTGTTATTCCAAGCATATTATTTCATAAAATAAAATAGTAAATACCGAATTACTGATAAAGTTTATTCGGTTATCAAGCATGATTCAACATATTCACAGTGTAGGTCTTTATAACATAAAAAAAAGTATTGTTTTATTATAATTTATAGCATGAAGAGTGAGGACCCTTAGTTAGGGAGTAATCAGTCAAGAATTTCGAAATAGAAAATATCGTACACTTAATATTATATAGTAGGTATTATACGGTTATATTACATTATTAATTATTATACGACAAAGTGATTAGGTTAGATGAAATATGAAAGTTGGGAAGGTGTGTTTGTCAAATGAATTAGAGAAAAACCGAAGGGTTGAATTTTTTTTACCTTGATTGTTAAAAAGTACCTTCGATAGACGATTTTTAATCTATATGATAAGACAGACTTAAATGAAACCTGTTTAGTCGCTAAAAACTATCTTGAATCTAAACCTCCCACCCTCCCAAAAAACATTTTGTAAGACCAATCTAATCTTCTCATGTAATATCATTTTGATATTTAATATCATTTTAATACCTTTTTAGTTCTTACAACCCTGAAGCTGTTAAGTTTTGAAAACTGCTTAAAATATTGTAACGGTTACATTTTACTTTAGATTAACCAATTTAACTTTAGAATAATTATGTACCAATACATCATTATGAGTTAGATTCAGTCTAGTGTTTTTAAATGCTTCTGAAAATATTGAAAAAGTTAATCATAGACATTTTTGGCACTATTACATTATACTAAACTGTATTTTCAAGGAACTCAAGTTTTCAGAGAAGTGGAGCTGGAATGGTCTGAGTGAATACTAAGTGTCGTCGTTTATCCCAAAAAAATCCTGTTTAAAAATTTCAATTTCATTATTTTATACCTAAATTCAGATAAGAAAACTCCGGACTCCCTGTTTCATTAAAAATACTGCATTATGAGCATGGTATTATATTATTATGTGATTAAAACCATAAAAAACCTTCCATGTTTATGTTATTATCAGATTTAAAAAAACTCTTCTATGTGCCAGTAAAATATAATTTGTACAAATGAGTAGTTTTGTCGAAACTATACTCATATTATTTTCTTACGTTGTTATTGGTATTATGTTTATAAACAAAAAACTACACAGTTTATAATAATTTGCAAAAATTTTAACTCTTACCTAAGTAAATCAATAACTAAGATAACTGATAAGATATATTTTTTGGACGATATTTTATACAAGCAGCCCAATAATTGACCAATTGAATTTTGAAAAAATCATTATTTTATTGATATAATAACTTATTCTAAGAGAAAAGAACAACCAAAAAAGCCGGATTTTTTTGTTTAGCTTCAATGCGAAACTGAGTATTTTTTTTTTATGGTTTACTGCAATACAAACGGTTACGGGTATTTCTTATAGTTATTAAGTGTTATTAGTTATTATGTTATACTTACTTACAATTTATAAATTCTTATGCTAATAATAGTAATAATTTTCAACGATGCGAAAAACAAGAGGGACCTCTAATCAGTAAAGCTTTTTAAGAGAAAATGCCAAAAGATACGCAAAGTATTACTGTTCGCAAACTTCAAAGTGCAATAATTAAGTAATTTTTTTTTTTTTGCTATAAATATGTACCTGGTCTCAAATTGTTCAAAAATCAACCAAGATTCAGAAAATGCTACTAACTTAATTTTAAAAAATGTCGCTTTTCAATTTTCGCATCACAACGGGTATTATTATTATTATTATTATTGGTTTTATGAAAAATAATAATTTGTGTATGTGTAATTATTGCATATATGGACACACTGCAGACGTTATAATATACTACCTTTAGGAAAATCAAGAAAACCCACCCACACATTTAACCGTACTTAAAGGGCTGAAGTGGAAAATCGATTTTCATGGTGGCGCCAGCTGATAATTCCATATTATGGTTATCACCGTGTAGTATTATACTATTGCAAAAACTAGAACAATTATTAAAAATCGTACAACGTATATTATATTATTCAAATATACCTACTTTCATTAGTAGTGTTTATAGTAACACATTAATTGTTTTTTACAAGGCAAAGGCGGTGTATCATTTTTCAATAATCCAAGGTAAGTAAGTATACCAATATAAGTAGTACCACTACCAATGATTCCTATGTAGTACAAAGTGCAACAAACTGTTTATTGTTCATATCGTAAATCGTAATTATTATAAGTAATACATGTATAAATATATCAGTCCTGTATGATTTATTGTACAATTGTATAGACACTTAAAAACTACAAATAGATTTATGTAAAATAAGTTTAACTGCAATAAGGTATTATAGTATTACAAATGTAGATGGACCTATATTATATTGATCACGTATTACTTTTTATACTGATTATAAGTGACTAACTAAAGCTAGTTATACTATCAAACATAGGCAAGTACCATTCCAGCCAATTAGTCAATTATGAAAATATGATAAAAATGAAATAAATATTAATTTATTTCATCACTATTATTTGCTTATATTTATAAAAAGTATATACAAATGTATTGATTAATATGATTATTACTGTTTAAAAATGTATACGCGCAAGGAAATGGAGATACGAATGGAACGAGGGGTCAAGGGATTAATATATTATTTTCTTTTAATATTAGAACATAGGGGTTCTAACCCCGGAATCCGGATACGTATATTAACATAAAAGTGTTAAAACAAAATCATACACCTGATACATATCACCTATGTTGCTCATTCAATAAAATTAAAAAAAAAACAATTCATTGACCTTTTGTCTTTTTAGCACAGTAGGTTTACCTATATACAGAGTGAACAATATAATGTAGGTCACTAAATTGAATTTAAAATTATATATTTATTATTTTCTGTTTTTTTTACAAAAATGTTATTTAAAACTACATTTTTTTGTTAATTATTCGGATTAAAATGTAGAAATTGAGTTTTCCAACATCAAATAGTGCCACTTGATAATGAATAATTATTACTTGAAAAATTATTAGAAAATCCATCTAAATCTAATGTAATATAAAAAAAAAAATTAGTCATTCCGGACAGTATTGCCATTTTTAAAATGGTTATTTTCATTGTAATAAATCAACAAGTTTGTTTTTCGTTTATTTCCTTAACGAATTCGACTACAAAATTATAGCTTTAATAATACAATAATTACTCTAAAATGCTACTCTATATATTTTTAATATAAATAGTACACGTTAAGTATTGGCTCGTTTTTTTTTTAACGTTTATAGAGTTTACTTAGATAGTTTTATCGATTTCTCTTAGCGTTTTTATTATAAATACACCGACGTAAAGCTCGTTAAAAAATAAACTTCATTTGCGTCGATTACGGAAGTTTACACAAAAAACGCAGATCACTTGACGTGTGAATGTGATGATAGAGACTAAAACCAGAGGTATCTCTGCCAACGTTGAAATTTTATTATAAACATAACGAATATATTCGAGTGGTGTGTGTATGTGTTGGATTCACTTAACAGACACACGTTATGCTAAGAAGAGCGATTTTTAAGGACACTTAAGTGTATAGGTATATGTGTATAGGTAGGTATATAGGAAAATACACAAATAATATATTATGTAATTTACGTGCTAAATGTTTTATTAGTTTTTACATTTAAATAATGCCGACCGATTCGAACGTGTGTTTTTCTCGACATCAACTGTACGCGTTTAAAACGGTACTTAACCAATCCACCTACAAAGATACCTATGTTTTACCTATGCTTGTATGTTAATTGTTATCTTATCAAACGCATTAGTTTAATATTAATTTTACAAGTGTGTGTGTCACCAGGCGTGTTATCATTAAAATTTGCAAACCTTTCAAAGCAGCGTCCACACTGCCGGGCAAAACATTTAGCGCGAGTTAAACTTAAAAACCCAAGTAATACTGACAAACGTTTGCGAACGTTTTGCGCGGTAATGTAGACCCGGCTTAATATAAAATAATATGTATAACAAAAAAAAATATGTATGTATAAATTTATACTTATGTAATTTATTTATAATATATACTGTGGTCAGATAACGCCAGCCGTCGCCGCTCTTGTATTCGCGTATGTAATGCGGCTGCTCGTCGGCAATGCCTCATGTATCGACGGCCAGGGAGAACAGTCACAGCGATAGTCGTCTTAAGTTGTTCAACGGTCTATTCCGATGGAAGAAAACGGAAAAAGAAAAACAAAAAGGTACCCAACGGTCAACACAGACTTGTACAATATACTCAGAATTTTGTTTAGTATGCATAGAACTATTAGACTGTGTGGTAACTGGTACCGAACTATCATATTTTGTTACCGACTACATATTTGAACCGCTAGGGTTTGTTGTACAAAGATTTGACAAATGAAACATATTTTGTTCTAGTGAATATTTTTAAGATTTTTGTTTAAAATTAATTTATACTCAATTGCGCTTTAAACATCACCAAATGTAAAACAGTTAGTGCAATTAAAAACATGGTGTTTGTAGCGCAAATGAGTATAAATTAATTTTAAACAAAAATCTTAAAAATATTCACTAGAGCAAAAGTTATTTCATTTGTCAAATCTTTGTGGGACACGCTGTATGTTTAACATATTACTGTATCTTCGGTGCTTAGTCGAATGGTGTTAAGTGAAAAACATCGACTTTCAAGAAGAATATCTAAATAAATAAATCATCAATTCTTGTAAATACATATATTTTTTTCAAGTAAGTCAACTTATCGTTTTCAGTTTTTATGGTAGAAGTATTTAATAAAAAAAAATACTTATATGATTTTCGTGTACTTACTCATTTTGATTTGCTAAACAAATTACTTGATTTTTTGGAAAAAATTCGACTCGACTAATTTTGACCAAACACCGAAAATACATATACAATATACACCTACCTATATACGAGCAACGTGCTTATACTATTGCAGCCAGGCAACTGAGCAAAAGTGAAGTGTGCATTGCCACGAAAATGTCGGTAAAAACGAGAAACTCGTGCCCGGCGTCTCCAGCTCTGTCCATACCCAGGTCCAAAGACGTTTTCCAGGACATGGAGGCGTTGCGGATTTCCAGGCACGACAATCCCTACTTACAGGTGAATAACACACGATAATTTATTTTTTATTTGTTACCATGGAAATAAGACCTTTAGCTGTAAGCTGGACATATTTACGGTGCGCTGTTTTTAAAAGTAATTCCAGTTTGATTAGATTGACTCTAGTTTTAGAGGTGAAACTTATTGTATACATACAATTACGGCTAACACATTCAGTAATTAACATTTTCAAATAATTTTTTAAAAAATAGTGTAATTTTATATAATTTATCTATAGTTGTCTTCACGTATAGTTCTCTGATAATCGGACTTCTTGTTTCAAAAATATAAATAAATACTCAGAAGTCAACATTTTCTAATTCAACAATGAATACGCACATAACCGTTAAACCACAATTTTTTTTTTTCAGAAAAAAATTTTAGCTAGTAGAGAAAGCTTGTTGGACGATAATAGTATTGATCATGTATCAGTAGCCGATGACATCGACATTATGGCTCAGGTAACAATTTTTTTTTTTTTTAAATATCGCGAGTGGAATTGATTATGACCTTGTGTATATTTTTATGACACATAAGTTAGATCAAAATAAAAAAAAAAATTCATGCAATATCTTTACAGATATAAATGCACTCGCATATTAAACGATATTTTAATTTATCATTTGTTATTTTCAAGGAATATTTGGCCGATATGGCTCCAGGTGCTCTGGTTGAACTTCATCAGCATATGGTGAGGAGCCCTCCTCCGACCACGTGGCCACGTATACCTGCTATACTAAAAAACAATGAAAAAGATCAAGTTCAAGTAGTAAACATTAAAATAAACATGTGTACTTTCCTACTAAACATTGTTGCTATTTTTCAGGATCCTTTTGCAGATAGGTGTTTAAGTCCTCACGGTGTTCGGTCACTCTACCATAGTCCCTGTTCAAGTAAGTCAATATTTTGTATTATTGTTATTTATCTTGCACCATCTCACATGTACATTATACCGTAATAACTAATAATTTTAATCAAAGTTTAACTTAAAACTTGCCTACAAAATACGAGTATAGATATTTGTTTTTTAGTTTAATAAAAAAATGTAATGTTGACATCGTCTACTATACTAGCTAATAGACGTTTTTATTTGGAAAGCATGCTAATGCTCTTAAAAAAAAATGTAAAAATCTCCCCTCTAAAAAATAGTGGCCTCTCTAAATGTTGGATTGGTCATAATTCAACAAAAATTATTTATACAGAAATGTTAGACCTAACGGATTTTTTTTTCCAGGCGGTTCTTCGAGTTGTGTTGTCTCGCCACGTTACAACCACCAAACTCGGTGCAGCCGATCGGCAAGTGAATCTCGAGGTAAACTTTAAAGTTCAACGGTTAATACTTAAGTCAATTATCTTTGAAATACCATTTGTATAATATAATGTTGTGTGACCGATACAATGAACGTTGGGTCTGATGTGTAGACCGAGAAAGGGGCAGCATAAGTTCACTGTTCAACCCGTCGTCGTTGCTGTCTTTGACCGACATGAGCCGTTTCCATCATCATAGTCGTACTGCCACCGAAGAAAATCAAAAACTCGTTTAAAAAATATAATTTATGTTCTCCATAAGGTGTAAGGTGTATATTATATTAATTATTAATTACCGATTAGGGGTTGTGCTCACAGGCCACTAAGTCTTATACCGTATACGATCCAGTCTATCTGGAAAATTTCTATTTCCTAACCGGCAATTTAGCCTATTATAAGAACCACTGTATTACATTGTGTGTTTTACGTTTTTATTCACTCACAAATTTTATGGATTTCCAAAAAAAATGTTTTTATAAGTATTTCAGACATTTTTAATTAAATATACTTTACCCAATTTTTCCTAAAAAAAATTACGGGCTTTTCGGAAAATATATTTTTTAGCAAATTTTGAACCTTGACTTAAATAATATAAGTATATATATTTTTTTTAATTGCCTAAGAGCATTTTTATTTAAACGATTAAAAATCTTTATAAATATAAATCAAAGAAGTATTAATACATACATACGAGTAAGATATATATATATATATATATACAAAACGTGTGTGGTTCTACTTCCAGTGAAAGTAGTCCCATTAACTAAATAATATAATAATATTATGATGGACGACTAAACGTATTTCAACTAATTGAGGAGCTCCCGTGAAAAATCACCAAGTCCAAAATCCCTTTTTTTTTGTTTTTCTACAGACCTGCAAGTAAAACGCAACGCCTTAGAGCTGGTGTCATCAAGAGGCCTTGCAAGGAACTAATCTAAAAAACGTACGGACATGGCGTTTTATTAAGCCATTGGCGTTGCATTTTACTATAGGTCTATTAAAAAACAAAAACAAATAATTTTAGACTTAAATGCTTTTCCACCGGAGCTCCTCGATTGTTCAGCTAATTTTTATTTTACAGAGTGTATCATTTAAAGTTATAAACAGGAACAAACATTAATCATATCCACTCAAAATTTGTTCAGTAATTGAATAGTAATATTGTTGAAATTATATTTGTCGTTACTTGTTTCTCTAACACGTCAAAGTGTACGAACAATATGCATTTATTGGCTGGTACTGAACACTTAGAGATCACTTAGAGATAGTCTTTTATTATAAAAAATATCGTGCACGTGTTAGGACTGACGTCAGAAATCGCGTAAGTATAATCCACATCTTCCAGGTGTTTTATTCATTATGCTGTAAATAGTTTTCAGTGAATAGCTATTTTAAGTTTTCGACCGTCACTCGATAATCGATATTCAATCTCGGTCTCGCTAATGATTCGCATTTCGCACATGGAAAAAAACATTGGTAAAACAATACCCAGAACCTTTTATTTACGAAAATAACATAAATCGGTTGCCTATTTTATGTTGTAATAATATTTTGTTGAAAATAAAATATTAATTATGTTGTTATTTTTGTTTTAAATTTGCAATTACCTACACAATACAAGACTTAACGCATATAATAAATCGTGCATAGACTTCCAAATGTAACTTTGCGACAAAATCAAATTTCATGACGACACAAATTTTAACTGTTAAATCGTTGAGAAATTGCCAACTAAATTTTTTTTTAACATTGGGAAGTTAAAATGTATAGATAACCTAGAACTAGAACGCATTATATTCGGCTTAGCATTGGTCGATGGAAACAATGCAGATGTTAAAATAACTTTGAAGTGTTTTTATGAAATAGCTATTAAGAAATACAAAATATTATGAAACAACTATTGTAAATTATGTTAGCAAAACACATTTAACAGCTGGTTGTTTAATTTTTGAATTAATTAACGTTATTACTTATTAAAAACGTATATTCTATTTAAAAAAAGGTACTTAGATTATTTTCTATAATAAATGAAACTGATCAAATAAAAATAAACACAATATTTTGTTTAGTAGATAATCGTTTTATGTTTTGTATTGTATTATGTTCAATGTTCAATGTTTAAAACGTTTATTGTTTTTAAATTTGTTATATCAATTTTAAATATTAATTTGTTTTACTGTTTTAAATTACTATTATGTTAACTCGATACCTAAGTTAGAGTTTTATTAATTAAAAATATAAGCTTCGTTTTCCTTAAGACTGCTGACAATGTATTAGATAAACCTATTGCAAATACCATACACCATTATTTAATTATTTACAAATATATTATAACTTATATTATAAAACTAAATGATATCTAAATTCAATTTTTTTTTTATTAATATATATTCTATATATTATTTTTTCTTTTGGCTTTGGCAACTATTAGGCTATTAACTGTTGGTTGATTCTTACTTTAAAAAAAATGTTGTTAATATTACTTTGGAGTTATAAAATGTAAAAACTTTTTAAAAAAAACTAACATAACTACACTGAATTTTTATTAGAAACATATGCAAAATTGTAATGACCGCATCGTCCAAAAGTAATATATTATTAATTATTATATATATTTGTTAATCCTCATTTGTGTAAGTATCTAGACGTTTAGCAAAATTATTGTTGTGATATATAGGTATATATAATATTGTTTTATTATAAAAACTTAATGTAATGCGTGTTAATACCATTCGTAAAACAATGTACGCAATGTATAAAAAAACACCAAATTATAACTTACAAAAAACTTGTATAAATCATTTTAAATATTTAAAAAAAAAAACCATTGAATCTGCTTATTATTTATTATTGATTTGTTAATTTGGTTCTGCTTGTGATTTTACGTTACCGTTGTTTTCAATTTACTGTTTTATAGTATAAATGTGTTTATTGTATAAACTATGTTATTTGTTGTCCATTTTAATTTAAAAATGTATTATACATTTAGGTATGTTTGTTTATTGTGTTATATATTTGATAATCTGTACATTTCTATTTAATAATCGTTTCTTAGTTAAACAAAATGTAATTGTTTTTTTATTTGCTAATACGCCAAATAAAGCCAAAAAATTAGAGAAAAAAAAAGAGTAAAGAATTCGATGGCGATTGGATTTTATTTTGTCGGAAATTTTTCATTTATCTCCTGAACTTAGATGTCTGAAATTTAAACAGTTCATGTGGGTGTGTGAACTGAAATGTTGTAAAGGTTAGATTGAAAATTGTGTTACCAATTACGACCACGTGGATTAACTAGATTTTATTAATTATGACTATTTTTTATGTTATCAGTCAACTTACCTTATACTTTTTGATCTAATAAATTATTATTTTTTGTTATGCTAGCATCATATTTCAAAAAACCAATTCTATATTAATAATTTCTATTATTTTCTTTAATAACCAATTTTAGAAAATCATTAATTATTTTGTGTACACATTGAGTATTATTCTGAAAAATGTAAATTTTATTTGGGTAAATGAATTTAAAAATTGTAAAAGAGAATTTTTTTTAATAATCGCGATGCCAATTTTATAAAAATTCATCGAAATAGATTCGATTTTTAGAAAACATTGCGCTACTGATTTGGCAGCAACTTTTTTGAAGTTTTTTAAATAAAAAAGGCTGATTTAAAAAAAAATAATAATTTAAATTAATAGATTTATCCTTAGTCTATTTCCGGACCAAAATCATGCCAAAAAAAAGTGTATTAAAAAAAAGTTTCCACTCTTTCATCTTGTACTAAATCTAAAAAAAATTCTTTACAAATTTTGATTTAGTTTGGACTATTTAAGAAAATATAATTTTGCGCCGTGTAATATTAAGTTGAAAAATATGTACCTACAAATTTCAGAGATGAACTACATTTTGGTGAACTTTCTAAATTTTTGCTCCGTTAAAGTATTTTTCGTGAACGATTTCTGATCTAAAGACTTGGTACATGAATAAATTGGTTTAGCAGTTTGAAATATATTTATAATTACCAATAAATTATTGTCGCTGCGTTCTGTTGATTCAAATGGTGTAAACGTTCGATTTTTAATAACTGCCACAGAATAACGTTATTGAGAAACTGTGTTGAATAACAATAAAAATTATTTTAACAAATTTTAACTAACAATTTGGTCCACAGATAGAAACATTATTTGAATGAAGACAATTAATATTTATTAATTATTAATACCTATAGTATTTGCCATTATGTCGTTACTTAGTAGCTTTGAACAACAGTATTATTACTATATAAATTGTATATTGTACGATACCATTTTTGATTCTTATTAAGCACCCAACTCCCCCCCCCCCCCAAAAAAAAAGCGTCCTAATAGATTATAAGTTAACCAGGGTAGGTAACATACAATTAAAACTTACAATAATAGCGTGTCATCGTAATATTTTATCCAAAAACAGTTTAGTAATATTAAATAATCAAAAACAAATTCCACGCGATTAAATTGCTGTACTTATGAATGATAAAAACTTGATTATCAACTATAATTGCAGCTTTTATAAGTACTAACTAATATGGTTTCGTATTTTTAATAAATTCTTTGGAATACTCAAGATAAATTGTATACCGTAAATAATTTGTTACAATTAAAAAAAATAAAATATGTAAACTAGTAAAACCGTTACAAAGTTTACATCTACTTCTACACATATAAATTCGCCTATAATAAATATTTATATAAAAAGGTAAAAACACTAGACAAAAATACTTTCAACCGCCTGCACAGTTCAAAAGCAAAATAACAACACAAACAAGTATTTGTAGGTAACCTAAAAAAACAAATTTTAAATATTGAGAAAAAATATTGTCATACATTTAAATATATAATATATAAAACGAGTGGAGGATAAGGCCAAGGATAATGAAGATTTATATTTATATAAATAAAAAAGTGAATATGTATATATGTATATATATATAAATGTATATAACTGAAATAAAATTGTTATTTGTAATTTAAACAACATTTATCCATAGTAGTTAAAAAAGACTTACCAAAGGAACTTAGTATTACCTAATAATCTTAAAAAAAAAAAAAATTGTATGAATAAATAATTTTTTCCAGCTTAGTGCCACTTCTGATTTTACAATAGTTAATAATAAATAATAATAATAATCATTTTTACAGCAAATCTTACAGTCGTAATTTAATCGATGGTCAAATTCAAAATACTTTGGTAAGTTTACCTCGGGTTACAATTTATAATCATTAATTAATTTTGATTTTTTTAATAGTTTCATATTTATTATTTGTAAATTGACATACAAATTTAGTTTACAATAGACAATAGTTTGTAATGAACTGTAGGGTTTAAAACAAGTACTATCTTATACAGCGGAAAAATGTAGTTAAGCCAATTAAGACACAAAACTGACAAGATAGGTTTGATCCAATGTAATTTAATTAATAAACTTTTAACACAGACAATAACTTCTCTGGTTAACAAGATAAACAATAATTGAATATTTACTGATTCCTTAGGGTTATATACTTATATACTAAAAAGAGTACAAACTAAGCATTTCTTAATAGTTGTGGAAAACAAGTATCAACGTCATATAACAAAAATTGTTAAATGCTTAAATACTAAATAAGATATAATACTAATTAAGTATTATATCTTAATTATAAGTTGCCCAAAATATTAGTAAGCATAAAACATGCTCCACGTGCCATGGTCATTACAATATCTGAAAGAGACCTGACCATTACAGTTTACACCCACCCCCCCCCCCCCCCCCGATAAAATGAAAAACATAAGAGAACAAAGTAAACAGTGTTTTTCGTACTGACAAATAGCTGAGAACAGACGAATTTATTGTTTTGTACATTTAATATACATATATTTAATAGTATTATTTCTGTTCTAGACGTTATTGTAATATAATGTACTATAATACGTATATAATGTGGTTAGAAATATGTGTTAAATTAATTACTTTATCATAATACGTATTTCCTACAAGTATATTTTTTTCGTCGTCGGTCATAGCATGTGCATAAAAAACATGTTAAATAAAAAAAAATTACACCCATTCGTTCGTATCATAATTATTAATAGTTTGTCAACAGCTGCAATAAAAAATGTTTTTTTTTATTATTGTTCCATTCCCAATCATAGAAATCATATTTATTTATTATCGTAAAATAGTGTTGAAACGCTCTGTACGATAACCGAATACATAATTCCTACTGTACATTTTGCTACATTATAAACATGTCATTGTGAGGTTATTTTATATTTTATTTTACATTCAATCTCTTCCTTAATATGCTCAGACAGTAATAACATTTCAAAAATATCGTTAAGAAGCATAGGTTAAGATTACTGTACTTACAAAATATAATATTGTTTTTGTGCTGTTTTGGGGGTTGAACATCATGGTTTCAAAGTCGTTAAATAAACAAAAATATTATTTACCCTTTCCTCTAAATGTGTTTAAATATTTCTGTTTATTTTCATTTTTTTTTTGGCTGAAGTCACGTGGCTGTAGTTTTTGGGCTTCATAACTGATAATTGAATCGATAGTAAATGGAGATGTATAAAAAATACATTTTTGGTATCCTGAAATTTATTATGTAACAAAAACAAAAGATAGATTATAATATTTTTATTTTATGGCTCATAAATACATTTTTTGTATGGAATTCGTTTTTAATGGCGTAAACAATAACGCCAAGTAAATATTGACGGAATCGCTAAAATCCGTTGTTAAAAATTGAAGGCAAAAAACTTTTGGAAAATAAAGTATTCAAAACACCTGTTGTCTGTAACCCCTCCACTGTAAAGAAACCCAAGGGCGCCCACAGGGGGGGCAAGGGACAACTCCCCCATGGCGTCTAAAAACTTCCAATTAGCTAGTGAGTGTAAAAATGTATATAATATAAAATACATAGACAATTTGTTTATAATAATATTTTTTTTTGAAAATACGCATTAATAATAATGTTTTTGTTTTTAATGAAAATTAACGCGGTTAGCGCCCTTGAATAAACCACTAAACCCATTCCATTGCCTGTGTAGTTACTAGTTTATACAGTTTGTTATTCGGTGGAGTAAATAAAAATAAATTCGATTTAAGGAATTATGCTAAGGAAGTATTTTAATGCTGTTTTCTAAACCAATTTGATATCCTTCTTGCTACCATAATGTAAAACAATTTTTTTGGTATTTTTCCCAACATTTTATATTTGTAATTTAAAATTTGTGAACAGCCGCTTCACTACATTAATTCTGAATGCAATAGACAAATCGAATATGTATTTTGCCATTTTACTTTTAAGGTAACCCTTTATACCTTATAACTACCCTTTTAAATAATTTATTTAATTTAAGCAAGTATTTTAAGGGGACTTTAGAAATAATCGTAAAAACGAGGTTAGTTTCTCTCGTCGTTTTTATAGAAAATTTAAATTTTACTTTAAATACAAGCATTTGAATATGTAAAAAACGTCAGAATTAAAATATTAAGTGTGAATGTAGGGTAAATAATAAAAAAAAAGCCGACGAGAGATAGTTCTAGATAGTTCTCATTATTTTAAAGATGTAAAAAAAATTGTCTACGATTATTATTTAGCCAATAATAAAGAATATGCGTAGCTATGCATAGATGAAAAAAAAAATTTTCATTTGCTGCCAAGAATGCTGTGAAAGTCCGAAAAATAAATTAAGTACCAAAAAAGTGTTCTATTACTGAACTAGTAATTACAAATCAGTTTTACTGTTAAATTAAGTTTTTGTTAAAAAAGTGCCTATTCCTAACTGCTTAATAAATGGCGGTAAGACGTGCTCTTAATAATTTACAACAATGATTTTATTTTAAAAATATTTTGCTTAAACAGTTAAAAATTATAAATTATGTATAAAATGTCTGTAACATGATATTGGGAAAACATATTGTATTCTCATAGTCAAATTGTTTTTTTTTGCAGCAGCAGCAGCAGTAGCATAAAGATATAGTATAGTCATATTATGGTATTATAACAGTCGTTGCTACAATACGGTGTGCTGCCGGTAAAATGATAACGATAGTGTTCATAAATATTAACATGGACCGTTTTATAATGTTTTGTGTGTTACCCATGTTATTTTTCATAGGAAGAAACTGCCGGCCGGTCGGTCGACTTACACCGGCCAAAACGTACAGCGGAGATGGCGGTTTCAAGGTTAAAATCGTACACAACCACTCGTGTACTGTTTTTTTGACGATGCGGGACTAGCCGGCATATTATATTATACGGTATATACATATTGTTGTTGTTGTCTACACTCTACACAAGATACCAACGCGAAACCATAGACCTGTTACTTTGTATTTATAGACCTAATGATCGAGACAAATTTAATATTGTCTGGGTCTATGCTAGCCGCTAGGGAGTAGGGTGCTGGATGTGTGTGTGCGCGCGATGAAACGAAGACAATATGTATACATTTAAAGAAAAAACTGAAACTAGCCGTTTTGTGAAATTAATAAAAACACCTTATCCTCGAGGAAAAAATAAATATAATGTCACGACCATAGTAAACATGAATATTCGATTTGTTTGGGGTCTTCTGTTTGTAGAACTATAGCTGTTATTATTCCATAAAAAATGATACAAAAACGTGATTTTTTTGTTTAATATTTCTATTGATATTTGATCGTAATACATGGAAGCGAGTAAGAAAGGTAATTTTAAATAGCCGTTCAAATTGCTGTTACAAAAGGTTGTCGAGCCAGCTTGAAAGGTATTTATGTAGACAACACAATACCATGTTATTCCTATGTGAAATAACTATCGTGTTAAAATACTAATAAGTAGAGTATAGAAAAAGTATTTATAGTTTTAATGAAAAACTAACTATAAAATGTTATTGCTCAAATGTTAATTCGGTATAACAATAATAAATTAAATAATATTAAAATGTGTAACAATTCGAAAGCGTTAAAAAAATATTACCATTCAACCGCAGTATGAGTTAATACATTTTATTTTTAATCTTGCAGTTTAGAACAGTATTAAAATCTAATACTTGGTAAAATTCGACTTATTTAAAAAATAAAAATTGGTTAAAACTGCCCAACTAATAATTACCACACTAGGGGACCAATACAATTATTGAACGACAAAAATAAGACAATAGTCCATTATTGAGTAAAAACATACAATGACAAAATGTGTGTTCAGTATTTGAAATATTCCTACTTCCTAGTTTATTTTAAATATTATTAGTTGGATAAAAAATATATAAATCGCGTTATTAACAAACAAATATGAAATATAGGTTAGGTTAGGTTAAATACGTATTAATATATGTATTGTATACAATGAATAACAAATTATTAAAAAAATATATTTTTTTATGAAGGCTATACATTTTAAATAAAAAAATAACTACAAAAAACGCTTGTCGTTTCAATTTAAACAGTAATATTTAAAAAGTTGCGTTAATATTATCAACTTGCACTGAAATATTGTTGCCATCTGGCCGCGCATCGAAAAGTGGAGGCGAGGGGTGGATTAGCAGTAGCCGGTGGGTGCCGTTGGGGTGGTTATTGTAGGGGTGGAAGAGGGCTGCCGGCCTCCGGGATAGAAATTTCTAGAACGCAATTGAAATCGCGGCAGCGGGCAGTTAGTTGGAACCTCCTTGTTCCAGCGCACCGGCATGGAGCACCGCGCTGACCTTGATATTTATTATTGTTTACATCGCCGCTCAGCTGTGGCCAATCGCAGCGGCCCGTCGGCTTACTGCGCAGTTTGTCTGGAAGCGGTTTTGCGTATCGAGCATATTGAAAAAATATAGTAACGCATTCGGCGTATTACACCTCTCCCGTCACGTATACCGTCATCGCTGCACCTAACCAAAATCGTTTGAAACACTTACAGAGTTGCCATTGTCGATTGCAATATATGTACTATAGACAATTATAATATTTCAATTCCATTGGATTCGTTTTGCGCACGCTCTGGCCCGACAATCTAGTCAAAACCCGCCGTTGTCCGGGACATCGTCGTTGCCGCATAACCCGCTGGAAGTAATTACCGTTTGCCGGACACCGTGTGTGTTGTGCGTGCGAGCGCGTGCTGCGTCAAAGCTCTTCACAGCAACCGGCACCAGCAGTTCGAAGCCGGCACGCAATGGCCGAAGTAGACGACGCGGTGATCGACGTTGTGGCGTCCGAGGTGATCAACGGGTGCACCATCACCGGCGACAGCGATTATTCGGACAAGACCGGCGACGTCTCGTCGGTGGAACTGCGCGTCAAGCGCAAAGCCAAGAGACTGGCCAAGTCTCTATCCCGGGACAGCGGCATCGTCAACGGTCACGGGGGCACGGCCACCGTGGTGCAGTTGAAAAGGCGCTGGAAGAACAACAGGAAGTCTCGAAACGGTTTCAACAAAGCCCGTGGAGACGCCAAGAAAGGTAAGAAACGCAACTCGACAACGCTTGGTCACTTTGGTGCCGCATTTTCGCTCAGATAAAACAACACTAGTTTTTTAAACCGTTTATGTGATTTTTGCATTTGGTTCTTTCTCGGTAAAGTCGTTTCTTCCACATAACACTTTTTTTTAATTTTTAATGTAAACATTAAATATAGCTTGGTATTTTACACAACAAATCTAAATGTAGTTCATACTTTACCCATATATAAATGTGAAATGGACATAATAAATGTATGCATGTTAAAAAATTAATAGAAATCTTAATTAGATTAATAAGAAATATATCTTGATTGTTACATGATATTTAATACATTTTATACCTTATTTGAGTTCAGTATTTTAGAACAAACGCATACTCGGCAATTTCGTAATGTTCGTCATATGTAGAACTGTTTTTGTTTGATTTCAATTAACTTGGCTCTTTTGATTAAATTATATTCTTGATCAATATACTCACCTATTCACCTTTAAAAGATAATTTCCTATTTTCGTAATAATCGTAAAACTGAATTGATTTTAGTTGATCATAATTTTATTTAAAAGTAGTTGAATAGTATTATATTATAATATAATATTTTGTGTACTGATATTAACATTTTAATATATAAACAGTCCTGTTAACCATTTTATCCATGCAATCCGTCGTTGTTGTGTAATGTTATTATTATATTATATTCTGTCAGATAAATAATAAACTATTTATAACTTTTATCTCTGATTGCAACATTCATGTATTACAAAATATGAATTACAAGTATATGTTATATTCATTGGCATTTAAGAAATAATTTTATCTTGTGATTTAGGTGGTGCTGGAGGTAAAGGCGTTTGGGGAAAATTGGGCGAAGAAAGTGATATCGATCCTGCTATTGACGTTAAGGACCCTAACTATGATAGCGATTTATTGGATGATGACAATATCGTTCTACGTGAAATAACACCGGAGGCTTCTGATGAAGAACTCAAGGTAACTTTTTCAGTATCTACTTTTAGATGTTTTACAAATGTTTTCAAATTGTTTTGAAATTACAGAATTCTATTACCTTCAATATTCTTGAATATTATGAACACGGTGATACTGAAGAAGCTGCAATGGTGTTGAGCGAGCTTAACATTATAAGCAAATGGCATTTGGTAAGTCAAATGTGAACAAATTTATGAGATAATATAAATGCCGAGATATCTTAATAAATAATATTGATAATTTTTGCTAGATCACTCAAGTTGCCATTGAAGTAGCACTTGAGCATAAACCGTCGCAAAGGGAGATGACATCCATATTGATATCTGATCTATATGGACGTCTGATCAAGCAAAAAGAAATCGCCCAAGGTTTTGACGTAATACTGTCCAACCTTCCTGATCTCATTCTCGACACACCGGATGCTCCAATTGTCGTTGGCTGTTTTATAGCCAGGGCTATAGCAGACGATTGTCTTCCTCCAAAGATTATAGATTTTTTCAAAGAGAAAAACTATAGTGATCTGGCAAAGTAATTTTATTTTAAATTTGAATGTAACGAATTTGAATACTTAAATTGTTTTTTTTTCTCTTAGTCAAGCGTTGATTAAGGCTTATAACTTGCTAAATATTAAACACGGATTAACTAGACTGGATAACGTGTGGGGCGTTGGCGGTAGTCTTAGACCAGTGCAGTACCTCGTAAGGCAAATGAATATGCTGTTAGACGAGTATTTGTGTTCTGGCGATCTTCAAGAAGCTATCAGATGTATTCTAGAGTTGGAAGTACCGCATTTCCATCACGAACTTGTGTACGAGGTAACTCGACTTTTATTATTGCATACGAGTGGAATTGCCCAATTCCAAATACAGATTTTAGACATAATTTCCTTCCGCCCTGTCTCTTTGTTTCACATTCGTGTTTTTTCATTATCTTTTAGGCTGTTGTTGATGTAATCGAGGCTATGAATGCTCATACGGAAGTAGCCATGTGCAAGTTGCTGAAGGCATTGTATGATGCAATCATTATAACTCCGGAAATGATGAACCAGGTATGAAACTGAATACAAAATATTTATGGTCTGTATTTTAATGCCTACTATCTTTAGCTATATGACACTCTAGTTAGTCGATAACAAAAAAATGAATATACAAAGTAAAGTTTTAAGAGTTTTAATGACTTAAATAGATTATTTGTACATCTCTAATATGAAAATGTGTTAAGTTTGATATTGCTAACACAAAAGCCAATAAAAACATCTAAAATAATATTTTATCACAGGGCTTTGACAGAGTGTTTGACGTTCTCGATGATGTAACTATTGATGTGCCATTAGCGCCGGCTGTTCTTGAACGCTTTTTGGACAAGTGTGTCAATGCTGGCTTTTTACCTAAAGAGATAATTCAAAAGATACCAACAAGGTATGATGATAATTTTATCCTTCAATTTTATAGTAGAGTTGGCAAAGAATTGAATAAAAAAAACCCAACGTTTTAGCTCGGCAAATGTAATTGATATGTACCAAATATTTGGGTTTAAGTATATTCAAAAGAACTATTGAGTTGAGATTTTTTTTAAAGAAACGGGGTATTGCCAACTCTGTTAGTGCCTAGTAGAAACTTAAATCATTTTGTTTTATTTTGCAGAACGTCTCGCAAGAGATATGTGTCTGAAGGTGACGGCGGTCGTCTCAAGGAAGCATAAAACACAAAATATAACATCCTAAAAGCATTGTACCCTTCTGCAATTTCTTTTTCTTGAGTACAGTATTTTTTTTCAACAAATTCTATTTTTTTTTTTTACTCGTTCAACATTTGTTTATTATTATTATAATAATTTATTTTCTAGTATTAATAATTTATAGATTTTTTATTAAGTTGTGTAATGAGTTCAATCTAACATTGATCATGTTAAGTCCATTAATATGTTGCGGAAATACAATAAAACGTACTAGAAATTCTTTAAATAAAAGATTAACTAAATATTAAGATTTAATATCTAGTTTATTTTTCACTATACTAACATGGGAAAATATTTTGTAGTAATTATATAATAATAATAATAATATTTGACGTTTTATTATGTATACTGTACTCGTTGCTTAATACATTCTAGTGAATGAATTAGATTGTTTAACTATTGTAGGGTAAAATTGCTTATCAAACAAAAATATTTTATTGCAAAATGCGTATTGGCTTTGTAAAGTAGTGATTTTTTCAACTACTTTTGTTTAATGTAAATTTTTATGAAATTTTAAAATTTACTATTGTATTCACAATAAGTGTTTTCTAACTAGAACAAGAGAAAATTGTCGGTAACATTTGTAATGAAATATTATATTCTGTTAGTACAAAATTTTGTAATTGTCATCGTAAGCAATAAAAGATGCCTTTGTTTTTTCCTATTAAAAAATAATTTAATATTTTTGAAATGGTTCACGTTTAACATTTAGTTTAACAACAACTATATTTACCTCATTTATTTTGTAGTAATTTTGTGAAAACCATATTTCCATGTTACTAAATTGCAAATTGTGAAAAATGTTTTATGTTATAAAAATTTTATTTCTTATTTTTTCTGATATTTCTATGTTTTCTCAACATAAAAATTATTGGTTTAATATTTTTTTGTTTTTTTCTTTAAGTTGTTATTCTTTTGTACCTCTAATGATTATTGCATTGACCATGCATAAATAGAATGATGAATACTAAAAAATTATAATTGAATAATTAACGACGGGATTAAAGATGACATTTCCTATGGTTCTTATAAAAACCATACTGGTGAGATTTATATAAAAGGACGTGTTCTAGAAACCTGTTAAAAATTTTTGTTTAATCCTCAAAATATAACAACAAAAAGTGTGTCTCAATCCGACTGTTGTCCAAAAGTCCTAAGTTGTGTTTGTAAAAAAAAAAACCTACTGAAGATCAGCAGGTTAACAATTTTTAAAAGTAATAGATAACATAATGATAATAGAACTAACATATTCATCCTTGAGATGTTTCTTCATAGCAAGAATAAATCTAGCATGCTGTCAATTGCTAAACTTATTGTTAGTTATTTCACTTTTGTGGTTTATTTAAGAAAATAAAGGAACATTTTTTTTTAGTGTGGTTCGTAATGTGTATTTATTTTCAATCTAACTTTCTAACTGTAGTATTGGATACATAATTCGTTTGAAATGTGTTTTTTAAAAATAAAAATTGCAACGAACTTCCATTTAAATGCTGAAAATAATCAGTATTTGGTCTTTCGAGGGGTAAAGGCTAATTTATCTCGGAAACGCCAATATATGTATTATTATATTGGAAATACGATAATAAATTTATTAAGTTGTAAAGTACCTATGGACGATTTTTTAAAACAAGTTAATCATCTAACATTTCAGTAAAAAAAAATCTACATTGTTATTCTGAATCGACGCAGTTGTTTAAGCCATTATTGTAGAAAGATAAGTCGAGAGTGATGCGTTTTGTTGTTATGAACTGAGCGATTTTAGCGTAGAAATACACCTATACAATTATAATAACCGACCTAACCTTTACAGCAGAATTATTGAGACTGTATATTTTGACACGGCCGAGTTTGAAGTTATTTGGATTCGACTTTTAGGAAATTGTAAAATGTATACACAGAACAGGTTAAATCTACCTTTTAACTGTTAATTAGCTCTTAGTGTACTGCTTAAATTGATTAGTTGCTAAAAAAAACACATCTTCCTAAACACGTTTTACACGCAATATCTGGCGGCGGAGGGGTCCGAATAGTCGGGGAGAAGTACATAATAATAATAATTATTTAGCTCACGGTAGATTAATCAATTGTGTGATTACAGCAGTTTCGTTTGTCATTACAATTTATATCGTTGACCGTACTGCGCAATAAAAAGGGAAAAATTAAAATGACGCCGGTACGGTTAGCCGTGGCATCCCCAAAACGTTTTTTGTCCACTGTGATTGGCTGTAATGGCAGTTGTGAACGCTATCATTGGTCGGGCCGGCGAACAGCTGACGGTTGTAAACAAACTGATAAAAGGCAGGTGAGATAGTGTGCGACTTTCCCGCGCTTAAACGTTGGTGTTCTTTGTATTTGGCTACGTTACGAACCTATAAATTATGTTATTCGACTGTGAGCTGACGGAGTAACTGTGTGTGTGTGTGTGTTTTTTTATGTAGTGTTGTCATTTGTATTTTGTTTCGGCATTAACCGTTTTGACTCCAGGAGAAAATAGATCAAGAATAATCTCCAAACCGTTTTATAATATTGTCTTGTTTTTCTGCTCAACCGTCAAGTACCTTCTTATTCCCGCGTTCTACCGCACAAGTATCAATCATGAATGCTGCTGTCAACAAAGAAAATGTTAATGGCTCGCTTCAAAGTCAGGTAATTTCAGATCAAGTTTTTATACATACTATAGTTTTCTTATTATAAAGTTTAAAATCGATGTGCTTTTCGTTTGCTCCATCGTCTTCGAAATTAAGAACACATTAATGGGTATATGTTAAAAATCACATTTTAGCAATAAGTAAAATACGGTAAATTATTTATCCGTTTGTTTGAAAAATATATTATCATTTTGTTGGAACAAAGTGAACGTCATATTTGGTTGGGGAATGTATATTAAGTTGTACTTATAATTTTATTTGTATTTTGCAGCACTCTATACTCAAAGGAAAAATAGTAAAACCGCCTACACAAGTATTGAATGAAGTCCACCAAAATGTATTGTCCCAACTGAAATCTCATGAAAATGGCCAGGTAATGTGTACATGACCGTGTTTTTACCATTTCCTAATGTTAATAAAAAAAATTATAACTTATTATTTTTGTGTAGGTTTTTGATTACTTGGAGTCGTTGGCTAAGTACAGAGTTAATTTTGATAGTACAATTGAGCCCTTGCTGAAAGAAAATCCGAGACGATTTGTCATATTTCCCATTATATATGATGATATTTGGGCAATGTATAAAAAACAGGAAGCTTCTTTTTGGAATGTCGAAGAAGTCAATTTAAAAAATGTATTTTATTTTACATTTTGTTCTTATTTTTTTTTCGGCTTTATTTAAGTTACTTTACCACCAAAATTATTTCCCCTTGTTTCTCTTTGTTCTATCTTCTTGGGATAGAATTATAAATTACATAATATTTATATTACACCATTTTTTATATAGGATCTGGACGATTGGGTTCAATTAACTGATGATGAACGCCATTTTATTTCTCATGTATTAGCATTCTTTGCTGCTTCTGATGGTATTGTAAATGAAAATCTGGTCGAGAGATTTTCTCAAGAGGTTCAAATTACTGAAGCCAGATGCTTTTATGGGTTCCAAATAATGATGGAGAATATTCATTCAGAAATGTATAGTCTCTTAATTGATACTTACATTAAAGATCCAAAACAAAAGTAAAACTATATATAATGGTTTTTATTTATAATTAATTTACTAATGATAAAACTATAAACTTACTTTGTTTAGAGACTTTTTGTTCAATGCTATTGAAACTTTACCTTGCGTAAAAAAGAAGGCTGACTGGGCCCTAAAATGGATTTGTGATAAGAAAGCAACATTTGGAGAACGACTAGTTGCATTTGCCGCCGTAGAAGGAATATTTTTTTCTGGAAGTTTTGCAGCAGTGTTTTGGTTAAAAAAGAGAGGATTAATGCCCGGTTTAACATTTAGCAATGAATTAATTTCTAGGGACGAGGTAAATACTCTATATATATTATGTCTTTATTAGTTCCTTTTAAATTATTTTTGTTTAAAAAAACCTATATCTATGTGTTTTAGGGCTTACACACAGATTTTGCTTGTCTATTATTTAAACACTTAACCCAGAAACCACCTCAAGATATTATTATTCACATCATTCGAGAGGCTGTCGGTATTGAACAAGACTTTTTGACAAATGCTTTACCGGTTAAGATGGTTGGCATGAACTGTGAAAAAATGGCAACATACATTGAATTTGTGGCTGATAGATTATTGGTAGAATTGGGATGTCCTAAGGTTATAAATTGATTTAGTTCTCATTGTGTACATTTTTTATTTAATAACAATTTTTAAATTAATTTTCATGATTTTTTAGATCTTCAAATCGTCAAATCCATTCCCGTTTATGGACTTAATATCTCAACAAGGAAAAACCAACTTCTTTGAAAAGAGAGTCGGTGATTATCAAAAAGCATCGGTCGCAATTCCTGATATTCCTAACATAACTACTATGAATATTACAAATGAAGACTTTTAAATTCCTTATATTATGTTGAACTTAACAAGACAATTACCATAAAAATCGAGTTTTATGAGATGTAAATTGCTATTTGGAAAACCATTAAGCATATAAAAATGTATATTATAGAAACAAAGAATTTTATATTGTAGTTGTGATTAGTTTTATGATTTTTTTTTTTTGAAAAATCGCACAATGCATTTGACTATTATATGTTTATATAGAACATTAATTATACGTACAAGTTGTTTTAACAACTAAATTAATATCACGGTAGTATTCTTGGTAATTACAAACATATTTATTTTTTTTTAGTTTTGCATAACTCGTTATCTTATTGATGTATAGTTTTAATGACAACATGATGATAACCAATAGTTCCAAAATATGTATTAAGAATATAGTATACTCGTATAATTACTTTCTAATTTAAAATGATAAACCATTTAGAAAAGGTGTCTACAAGGATTTTTGTGGTGTACAAACGGAGATTGATAAATAAAAGTTAGTAATTTTTGTAGTTGTGTTATTTCATTGATCTTTTTTTATTTTTTTTATAGTCAAAATTATGACCAACTGTATAAGTATGTCAAAAACTTGTGTAATGTATTTTTTACAATATGTTTGCTGATTTTCTCTCATAATAAATATATGATCGCCTGAAATACTGGCAGCCATTTTGCTGATATCGCAAGTTGCTGATTTACCTGTTAATTTTATTTTGTCATAGCTAAATTAATATTCCCAATACGATTTATGAATAATAATTGAGTTATTAACTTGATCCACGTTCACTGTAACCATGGTTGTTATTTGGATTCGAATACTTGGTTTTTGAATATTCGAATAATTATAAAATTATATACATTTCTAATTGGATTGTAATTCCAGATAGATTTCAAAATATTTTCAGGCCTATTCTACCCATCCCGGACTGATCTAGTCTAATAATATAAATGTAACTGTCTGGATTGACCTGAACTTAGTAGAACTGAGTTAAAACTATTTTTTGAAACATCAAATCGAGTTGGGTAATATTTTTTATTGTTACGCTATCTTAAATCTCTAGTTTTGCCTGATTTTTTTTTATCTATTTGGTTCAGATCATGTGAAAATTAGACTTGTATTATAGAATTTATAAATTCAAGAGGACGTCATAACCCAATTTGTTAACGTTAAACCATACCTACGCAGAATACGTTTTACTCGCTCCATGATGATTTAGAGCAAAAATATCTATAACAAAAACGAAAGATGACAAGACTTTTATTGCATCATTTTTGAACATAATTTCATTTCAATTTTCCTCTTTCCTCTTTAAGTTCTATTAAGGATTCTGATTTCTGGCTTTATTGTGGTTAATTATGTTTCGGATAGTAATAACTTAATACTATTTATTATTGCCATAATGGCTACACTGGGCTTCGGCATCAACCATCATAACCATTTTAACGACGGTCATAACCATAGTGGTAACTTGAACAATATATATCATCAACCGATGACCGAACAACAACAAAATTGTTGAATTCAAAATGTTTGTCCGTTAAGGCTTATCACTAAACATGTTATAGAGGGAAAAATAGTAATACAATGCAACGCCAATAAAATTATTTTAATTGATGCGCCGTGTAAAATTTATTGTGTTTACTATTCCATTTAATTTTACTTTTTAGTGTCACAAAACTGATTGCCATTACAGAAATATAATAATATAGGAGCCGGATGAGTGTTCTTGTTTATGGAAGTGAGTTAAAGAAAGTTAACAATATAATCTACCAATAATAACATTTTATTTATTTAAAAAGTAGTTTTTTTTTCTTTATACGCTTGGTTTTCTAATTATTATATTAATATAATGTTTAATGAATAATTTGTTGGTTATTCCAGTTAATTTAAGATCTGAAGCATGGAAGTCGAAGATGACACATCTAACATGTCTGATGATTTAAGTAAGTACACGCCTACTTATTAATAATTAGGTATTTTTCTTGCACTTACATTTTAGTGAGTTTATATTAACTTGAATAACATGACAAGTTTAATGTAAACAGGTTATTAATTGAAATGTTGTGAATTAAAATATGGAAAAAGCATAAGCTCTGGCTAATAATACTATTAAATAAATACCTACCATAACAAATTGTTTTTTTTTTTTAAATATTTTATTTAAAATATAAGTATTTTTGTTTGTAGGTTATTGATGATGCATTTCACTTAAAAAAATAATAACTATACTATAAGATTCGTAGGTTTAAAGAAACAATCATGTCTATTTTTTAATTCTTTAGATTACTTCAATTATGATGATATTGATGACATTATTTTAAAAGACAATAATGACAATATTACTGTTACAAACTGTCAAAATGACCACAATTAGAATAGTATTTATCTTAAATTTTTTTATCAACGTTAATTTTTTGTTATTCGTTTTTGCAAGCCTATAGCCAAAAATCTAAACAACCTTTTGCATCATGCTAATTATTTAAGGAGGAAATTTTAATACAATTTTTTTTTTAAAGGAAATTAAGTGTAATTAGAAAATTGTGTAGGTGTACATTTTTTGACAAGTTGATGTTTGTTGAGATAAAAGCAAAAAACCTATTCTTCTCATATTGAGCAGAGTAAGCATACACTTAAACAATGATGAATTTTAGTTTGGTAATAAGTACCCTAAAAAGAACAGCTGAATATAATAAACAATTACTTATCTAACATATTATGATTTGTCATTTTAATAGTGATTTATGTATTTACTGTTTTTAGATCATCAAGTTTTGCAGGAAGCTGGTGAGAATAAAAAATTTAATGCAGAATCGTCGGTAGGAAGATTTACGAAGGATTCTTTAACTGCAAAATCGAGTGATTCTTCAATCACTACTAATATGTTGATGGATACTGATAGCTCGATTGACACTATCGGTAAGTCTAATGGTTTTGTTAATTTTATTTGTTTAAATAGATAGTGGTAAAACGTAAAAAATTACTTCATGTTTATAAACAAATTTTATTTAACAGCGGTTGTCATGATGAATTATATTTAGGTAAATTTCATTCAAAAAGTTGAATGGTAAATACTTGGGTTTATTTATGAGTAAAACAAAAATATTGCGATTTTATGGTAGAGTAAACAGTTGAAAATAATAAACAACTACTTATCTAATCTATATGCCTGTATCTAACATCTATTATTTTTTTGAAATTTGAATAGTGATTAATATGTTCATTGTTTTTAGATCATCAAGTTTTGCAGGAAGCTGGTAATAATAAAACATTTAATGCAGAATGGTCGGTAGAAAGGCTCTACGTTGGAATCTTTAACTACAAAATCAAACAATTCTTCAATCACTACCAATGTATTGATGGAATGCTGTGGAAATCCATCAGACACACTTGCTGGTAAAGAACAATTTATGGTTGTTGGGAATATTACAAAAACTGACTTAAATGAATCAAGTTTTCAACTAGATGACACTAGACATCAATCAATCCTTAAAACTACAGCTTTTCAAAAAAAATTTAAACTGTCATCTCATAACTTTAGCAATATGTTTGATAATATTTTTGATGATGACAGCCAAATGGAAATGACACAAAATAGCACAAGTATAAAACCATTTCATAAACGTAAGCGTTTGCTACCACCAAGCGATAATAATGACTTCAGTATTTCGAGCAAATGTGACACTACTGGACAAGATAGTTTAGAGCTTAGTATCGCTTCTCCTCGGTTGCGCTTCTCTCATAGAAATAAAAATAATAGTAAGGCCGACATGTTAAATTATAGTATGTCCTCTGTAGAAAATGGCTCTGCTAATGACGATCGGGAAGTTAGTGTCGAGCAAAGAAATAAAAACCTTCATTCAGATTTCAAAAAACCCATTGATATATCGTCACTGGTCGTTGATATCAATACAAATGATAATTCCAGTGTTTTAGACAAAACTAACTTGAGTACTACTCAAACGATCACTGATAACTCAAACAAAGTATCTGATTCAAGTTTAAATAACACTACTAGTGGTACATCTGATATGGAATTAAACTCTGAAAAGACAATGTTTAATAATTCTTTAGTGTCTAATATTAATCAAATTTCGATGTGTAGTTCTATAGATATTCCTAGCCTGAATCATACATACGATATTCAAGATAATTGCAATTCAACTCGTATCAACTCGCTACACGTATCCAAGAGCAACAAAACAATGAACATAAACTCTCAAGAAACACTGAATAATGAAACTTATGTTTTAGAAAATACTAATAATAAATCTATACATAATACTGAAAAATCAATTTCCGATTCATCTGTAACAAGCAAAAAAAATGTTCTATCTGACACTTACACTGTTGAAAATAATAAAAATGAAACTTATAGTGTTCCGAAGTCTGAAGACAAATCTTCCAATAACTCAACAAAAATGTTGCATGATATGTCTAACATTTATGACCAGCCAAAATTGTCCGAACGGAAACCAAATTTTATCCGAAAACTCCAATTAGGCACCGAAGTCATGGATTATAATATTGAGAGTACCGATGTTGATAATAGAAATAATACTATGTGTGATAGCGTAAATGAAACAGGACACCAATCAAGAAAGTTTAAGCCAAAGAAAAACCTCCGTAACGCATATTCTGCTGCTTTCGATAACATTATTAATAAAACGCAAGATGACAATGATCAAACTATGAACGAAAGTGTTAAAATGTCTGAATCGTTAAGTGGTCAGCAACAATTATCCGATTCGATTCTGATAACTTCTGTCAATAAAAGTATGGTAAATGATGTAACAAATTCATCCTTCATAAAAGATTCTAATGTACTATTGGATGCAGCTATTGAAAAAGAAATAACAATACCGGAAAGTTCTATTTTGTTGAATTACAATATCAAAGGTCATAGTAGTTTACGCAAATCATCAAGTAAATTTAACTTCAGTAGAGTAAAGGATAAAGACTTGACCAGTACACTAAATTTCTCAAATGTATCTTCTAACTCACCGAAGAGGTTAACTAGCAAATTTGATTTTATTAGTAAAAAAAATAGTACTCTGGTAATAGAAGAAGCACAAGACAATGACATTTTTACAATTTCAGTACATTCTGCATCAGACCTAATGTCTAACACAAGTAATAACGAGACAAAATTAAATACTCATAATTTAACTGCCGTCCAGAGTAATGAAAGTCTTATGAATGGCTTATCGCAAACACCAGCTCATCGTTTTACTAACAAACATAATATAGAACCACAGTCTGAAGTATTCAACAATTTGATTGACGATAGCTTACCGTGTGACGTTTCTCAAGATATGTCTAAGCGTATGAAGTTTAATCGGAAAGAGGTGTTAGACAGTAACTCGTTTATGTTTGATGGAATAATTACTGACAGTGAAGAAACCAAATCGGTATTGCAAAATGAACCAATTATAAAACAAGATTCACCAGTAGATGAAACTGCAATGGCTGAATCTAATATTTGTGATACTAGCAGAAATAGAAGTAAATCTTGTATGGAAACCGAGGAGAATAGCGAATCTCAGTATCAGTTGTCTTCGCCTGGTTTGTCTCAGACACCTAAAAATCGTTTTGTTAATAAACCTAGTATTGGCCAACAGTCGGGAGTATTTAGTAATTTGATCGATGACAGTTTAGATAGTAACGATTTAACTCAAGATATGTCTAAACATATCAAATTTAATCGTAGAAATGTGCCAGATAATTCATTTATGTTTGATGGGATAATTACTAATAGTCAGGAGTCGAATACCACAAAATCAGCATCTTTAATTGAATCAAATTCTATACATGAAAAGAGTGACTCTTATGCATGTGAAACTGATGAACATTTTTCAAATGAAAGTACATCTGGCAAAGAAGCAAGGGATTGTTTTGAAAACCAATGTCCAATGTCTTTAGCTAATTTATCAGAAACAATGAATACGAGTAGTAAATTCCCAGAGCCAAAAAATACAACTATTAACGATGGAGAAGTATCTCAAAGAGTTCGAAAAAAAAGATCATTGTCAAAGAGTTTTTCAGAGGAAAATAAAACAATAACTAATGATAAATCTGATAATGATGTATTACATTTGATGAATAATACATCCACGTTTCCTTTTGACGGGCCTAAAGATGTTTCTTTTGGAAGTGATCAATCAATTAGAAATGATGTAACAGGTATTTCATTAGATTATGAGTACTCAGTGACCAGTCGGAAACAGAGATCTGCTTCCAAAAGTTTTTCAAAAATACACCACAGGAGTATGTCTCGTGTATCTAATAGAACTATACTTAATAAGACTGAACCTGATATGCTCAGTTTGAATAACACTTCAATGTTTTCTACAGATAGTTCTAATACAAATTCAGATACAAATGTTTCTGTAAATGATAGCGCTTCGGTGACTAGCCGTAAAACCAGATCGGCTTCCAGAAGTTTTACTAAAGATAACAATATTACTATGTCTGGTGTATCTAATAAAACTATAAATAATAAGAGTGAACCTGATATGCTCAGTTTGAATATCTCTTCAATGTTGTCTACAAATAATTCCAATATAAATTCAGATACAAATAATGTAACAAATGTTTCTGTAAATGATAGCGCTTCGGTGACTGGCCGTAAAACAAGATCGGCTTCCAGAAGTTTTACTAAAGATAACAATATTACTATGTCTGGTGTATCTAATAAAACTATAAATAATAAGAGTGAACCTGATATGCTCAGTTTGAATAACACTTCAATGTTGTCTACAAATAATTCTAATATAAATTCAGATACAAATAATGTAACAAATGTTTCTGTAAATGATGGCGCTTCGGTGACTGGCCGTAAAACCAGATCGGCTTCCAGAAGTTTTACTAAAGATAACAATATTACTATGTCTGGTGTATCTAATAAAACTATAAATAATAAGACTGAACCTGATATGCTCAGTTTGAATAACACTTCAATGTTGTCTACAAATAATTCTAATATAAATTCAGATACAAATAATGTAACAAATGTTTCTGTAAATGATGGCGCTTCGGTGACTGGCCGTAAATCCAGATCGGCTTCCAGAAGTTTTACTAAAGATAACAATATTACTATGTCTGGTGTATCTAATAAAACTATAAATAATAAGAGTGAACCTGATATGCTCAGTTTGAATAACACTTCAATGTTGTCTACAAATAATTCCAATATAAATTCAGATACAAATAATGTAACAAATGTTTCTGTAAATGATAGTGCTTCGGTGACTAGTCGTAAAACCATATCGGCTTCCAGAAGTTTTACTAAAGATAACAATATTACTATGTCTCATGTATCTAATAATACTGCAAATCATAACAAGTCTGAATATGATTTACTTACTTTAAATAACACTTCAATGTTGTCTATGGATAGTTCTAAATCTTTGACAAATAAAAGATCTATTCCAGCTGATGTTGATGAAGATAAAGACATATCACCTAGTATTGGAAAAACAAGATCATCATCCAAAAGTTTTTCAGAGGAAATTAATATTTCACCTATGTCCAATAAAACAATAACCAATGATCGATCGGAATATGAATTATTGAATTCAATAGTAAATGAAAAGTCAACTGGTTCAAATGTAACTCAAGACCTTTCTCTTAAGAATAACCAGTCTTTAAATTTGACAACTAATAACACTATTGTTTCGAAAAGATTAAGTAGAAAAAATCGATCTGTTAATTCAATTTTAAATAAAAACAGTTTACCTACTAATACCCGAGACGTTGCCTCTGATGATAATTTATCTGCAAGTAAAGATTTTACTAGATCAACAGTTGAAGCTCAGAGTAAATCATTTTCACAAACGGTTGAAACTTTAAATCCAATAAACACATCACTTGGAGGTGCCGATCTTGGGTCTACATCATCGCCTTTAAGTTCAAAAAGATTTTCAACCAAAAAAAACCTAAGAACTCCAGATAGTATATTTTCAAATTCAAGTAAAAGGCAATCGAAATCTTTAACAGTTCAAAGTAATTCTGTTCGTTTGACTAGGTCATTATCAAAAAAAATTAAAAATCAAGCAACAATTTCATATTTGTCAAATATTTCATTAAACAATGTTTCGGGTAATATTAAATCAAGAAAAAATTTGACACAAAATAGTTCTTTTCGCAAATCTACTAGACGTACTAATGCTGAAAATGAGTTAGGGCCGTTTATAACAACATCAGTTTCGGTATCAGAAAAAGAAATGAGAACAGCAAGAAATACATCGTTAAATGGCAGTGTTCATTCCCAATCTGATGACTCCATGTTATGGGCAACAATAACTGATGATGATACGAGTAACATTTCTTGTGCATCTAATGTAAATGGTACTCCGGTAAATGTTAATAAAACCATTGCAGAACATATAAATAACGCCATTGGACTTATGTCGGCAAGGAAACGTTCTTCTGTGCATCCAGCAGTTTTTGAACTGGAAGATCTGTTGACTAGATCGTTCAGAAGAGTTTCATCTAACGGTAGTCCTTCAATTCTGACTAGAGCATTAGGTAGGAACTTCTCGAATGATTCATTATGCTCGTCTATGACGCTCTCTGATAGTATTGACCAGCAAACATGTGTCGAAGATAACGTAACAATGCATTTTAAATCTTTGTATAACAAAGAACCGTGGATTACAAAACGGCTGTATAATTTTCTGGTAAGCAAACTGGAGCCGAAATATAATATTTACTCAATGAAACATGCTGAGAAGTTTGTCAAATATTTAGCATCTGTACTGAAAGAAGTACGAAAAGAAAATGTAGATTTGCAATTGTATACAAACATGTTGAGATATCATATGGCTAGGTATGGAATGATCATAGATACAGCCGATTATATCGGATTTTTGTGTGATTATATACCAAAGCTAGAGTTTGATAAATTATTACCTGGTTGGGATCTTGCAACATCAGAAGTTAAATTCGATCCATATAAAACGCATGTGCCTCTTATGGAAGATAAGGACTTTTTGAACGAAGTCTTCAAACACCTTAACTGTTAATATCAAACTTTTGCTAATGCTTTACAGTACTATGTGAAGTTTGTTACTTGTTTAAATGATTATTAATTATATTTTTTTAAATAATTTTTTAGTTTTTATTATAATAATTATGATATACTGTTTTTATTTTTAACTAAATTTTTAATAAGATACAATTGTTCAGTTGATATAAATCAGAATTAAATTATGTAATAGTGATTTATTGAAAATAAAATACTGATATTGTCCTCATTTTTTGTTTGGTATAATTAATTATATATATTATATAATGTAAAATATGTTACTGGACTTAAAAATATAACTTATGGTGAATTTTTGTGTGTAACATGAAAACTTTTAACCAATTATGTTTGGAACAAGATTTAGTATAGTAGAATTGATATTAGAATAATTTGGAAACAAATAGTTTTATTGAAATATGATTTTTTTAGTTTTTCCAAAAATACAGTTTTTATGAACAAAAAAGAGGTTATAATTAATGTTACAGTATTAATATAAATATGGCCTTATGATTATCATTTCCTTTTTTTACTAATGGTGTAAGTTTTCCCTGTTGAGTTTTAAAAGTAATTTCTACACAAATGTAACAAAACTTGTCAGGGTCATTTTTACACTTTCTTGACATTATTCAAGAATCACTTAACTCGACAAACATAAAACAAAAACTTTGCTGGAAACAAAATATCTTGAATCAAAAAAGTTTTAAATCTTGATTTTATAAAATAAAAACTGATTTAATTTCATAAAAATTGTGTGTGTATCAACAGTTTTTAATTATTTCAACTAACGCAAATACTACTTTGGTCATATTACTCGAGTTATACGCAGTTTTGACAGCATTATTTATCTGTAATAATACATGTTGAAAACTATACTGGAAATTTCAAAAATCAAATGTTTTGCACTTCTAGTAGCTAGTTACTGTAAGTAAATGTGGCAAGTTACGACCCATTGTAAGATCTAGAAACAATGAATAAAAAAAAAAATCACATGTAGTTATGAACAATTTATTATTATAAATATTGATTAAAAGAATCATATAAGACATACCAATATATAAAAAAAAAGTGTTTGGTACAAGTTTAAAAAATGTATTCAATGATAAAATGGATTTAAATATTAATAATATAATTTACCTTAAAACTATTACACTAAATTAAATGAACACAATTATTTCTTCTTACAATCTTAATCATAATTGTAATTATATATTAAAGCAAATATGTACTTCAATTTCAAAAATTAAATTCGATTCATGTAAGTCGCAAGTGCCTCTATGGAAGATAGGATATTTTTTATTAAATTTTAAAAAACCTTAATTATTATAAAACCCATTTATTTATTTAACATAAAAAAAATATTATTATTTCATTATTATCATATTGAAGTATACTCTATGATCTATATTTTTTTTACTCTTCTCAAGTTAAGAAACATACTTCATAGAAAACGCATTACTTTTGTACGCGCTTGTGCAGACAAACAGCGTACATGCATTTTGGTTTCTGAAAAGTACGATTCTCAAGTTGAATTGAGTAAAAAGACCAAACAATTATTATATTTTATAAGTTAATTATTATTACGAGATACTGTTTTATATTTTAAGTAAAATTTTAATGAGATACAATTGTTCAGTTGACAGAAATCAGGATAAGATTATGTAATAGTGATATATTTAAAAAAAATACTTAATAGTTGTAATTACAAACTAAAACATATACTTCAACATATAATCGGTCATTGTCAATATACACTCTGTACACAGACATTTAATGTTGTCTCAGCTGTGTTTGGGTAAACTCTCCATGCCTGTTTGGTGTCTTGAAGTAGAAATATTTTGCAAGTCTTGCATACTGGTTTGATACAGAGGACTCGACAATGACATTTGATTTCTGCTGTGTTGTTCCCATGAATCATGACCACCTCTGACGATTACTTGTGATGGGGCCGAAACATTAGGAGAATAACGATGTTGTTGCTGGTGTCTAGACGAGTGTGTTGCTAAACTTTGATGATATCTATGTTGCTGCTGCATTATCTGATTGTCCATTGATGGCAAATAGTTTGACCTAGGTGGCATTGTCGTTTCAATGTGACTGGAAGATGTAGCAACTGGATTTGTTCTGTTTTGAGGGATCAATGGAATCGCAAGTCGGGCATTAACTGCTAATAAATGATCACGACGTCTGGTAAAAGTAGCTAGTTCTTTTTCTAACCCAATATTTTCATTTTTGAGTTGATACAAACATGAAAGCAAAGATGCCACATCAAAATGTTGGGCCTGTTCCATTAACAATGAACCTCCTTGCTCCCATTGACGTTCAAGTAAATCTTCAAGACTTTGTGCACTGCTTCCAATCCCATTGGTAAACCATTCTGAACTTGAAGAATTTGACTGAAAAGTCTCTGTTGGTTTGTGGCGATTTAAGTGAGGGCCTGTTAATGTCTGCCTTGCTACTGGTCCATTAATTTCACTAAATTGATTATGTGTTTGAATTTCTTCATTCAATGTGTCAGTCATTTGTTGAGCCATAGTAGAATTAGGATTTAAAGAGTTCCCCAACATGTGTGGAGCATCAGCAATGGGCTCAAAAAACTTTTGGTCAGACGTTGCTTTAACAACATTGGGAGTAGACTGAGTGCTAATAACATTGGTAATACTTGGTTCTTTAATCCAAGTATTTGTCAATGTGACGGCAGGCAAATTTGAGTTGATATTTGACAAATTAGGTTCTTCGATTATTTTTAAAGTATCAGAGGCATCATTATTTATGTTAACTTCCATTGAGCTATTAGTATTTTCACATTTTATTGTTTTGTCCGATTTTGTTTCATCAGTATACTGTTTAATACTACCAACAGATACATTCTCTGTTTTACTTTGATACTGGCGATTTGATACAGTTTGCTGGTTCGGATGACCATTAATACTTGGAGGTTTCTCTTTGGAATCATCGTAATTTCCATACTTCCTTTTCGATTTTATTTGTCCATCACTATCTACATTCGATGTTAATTTTTCTTGAGAAAACTCATCTAAAGTTATTTCTGAAGCATTTTGAGGACGATACGGAGCAATGTGTTTTATTTTTATATTGTTGCTCTTCTTCAGTTTGGAATAATGGTGTTTACAATAACCGACATATTGAACATTGCGGCCATAATTACCAGCTTCTTCACATAACAATCCTACGTTCTGTGCACATGTCACATGGAATCCTAACTTACAACCACTCTTTTTACAAGTCATGCAAGCTCCATAGCTAGAAACTTTAGGTTCTCTATTCTTTTCTTCACAGATGTAGCAAACTTTTTTGTATCTATCGACTGGTATTTCATTCAATTTGATCGGTTCCATAGTATCAACATCCAAAAATGTTACTTCGGGAATGAACAAGGCACATACAACGTGGGCCCAATGTCCGCTTTCTGTGGGTTTTAGGGCACCATCTTTTGATGGGCAAAGCTCACATATCACTTTGGCTCCAGGATTTTTTTTAATAGCCACACATTTACTACAGTACCATGATCCTTTTGGAACTACACGAATGCCATAACATGCTTTATGTACAGCAACATTGCAGTTTCGGCCATCACAATACACCAACGGATTACCATCGTAAGCTTTGTCTTCACTACAAACACTACAATTGCCAAGCATTTCTTTCATTTTTTTTCTACCCTGAAAAAGTATAAAAATAAGAGGTATTTATGCTTGTTAATTATATTTTATACATTATGTTTGTAAAAAAATCAGGGTTTTATAAAATACAGTGTGAAGAAAGTGATAAATGTTATGTAGATTAGACAAAACAAAGTATTAGGGTTAGGTTTAAAGAACACATTAGGAACATAAAAAAACCTAGAATCATACAAATCTCCTGTAGTGGAACATTTATTGAATACTAATAATAGCATAAAATGAGTTAAATGACTTAAAAAATGGAAATAATTCTAAAGAACTTAATAATAAAACATTTTGAAAAATGTAAAAATTTGTTAAACTGGAACTTGAGACCATTACAAAATATTTGATTAAAATTAATTTAAAAAAAAAACATGTTAACAGTGATCATTTACTGTATGACTACGCTGTATAGAAGGTGTTTGCCTGGAATTGGTCTCGGGCTGCCGAAATATATATACGGTATAGAGTATTATTTGTATAGTTAAGGGTGTTGAAATAAATAATTTATATTGTATTCTTCATAGAATTGTAAATTTGCATTATTATTGTTAAAAGGAGAAAAACTTGTTCTTGATAACTTGTCTTGATAAGCATAATATTATAACGTGATCAATATTAACCAATGAACAAATTTTCTTTTTAATACAATTTTATTTCCAACTAAATAAGCTGAGTATGTGAGAAAGGGAGCGGTTAACGTTGGTATTGAAGTATTATAGAATTCAAACCCGATAACTCTAGTACCGAGTTCGTTGGCTTGAATTACACTCTCACAAACATTGATTAAGTATAAAATGGTTTTAGTTAAAACAAAGGTTAGAATTTAACCAAAGTAACACGTAAAAATAATAAAAACTAACCAGTTTTGTAAAAAATAATTTAATGTTTACAAAAAATGTTTTACCTGGAAAAATGTTCAAAATACGCAGCTGAAAACTTACCGTGTTATAGATTAACCAAACGTGTCCAACGGGTTAGGTGAATACTTGTGGGTATATAATACAAATTGAAAGCACCGAGTCCTGTTAAATTATAATCAAATCATTATTAACAATAAGAGTTGCGTCAACGACTAGCGATTGAACATAGTTTAGTATAAACTATAAATAACACGTTTGACGCTATTAAGTAATGATATTAATTTAATTTAACGAATATAACTGGAACCGTAGTGTAAAATAAAAACATGAGATCGATTGTTAGACCGCGAAGTACGGTCAACCCTAAACAATAATTTTCAAAAACTCCAGTTCGACGACAGCGGACAGACGCCGAACTTAGGTAAACACTTAACACTTAAACAGATTATTGATTGAACACTTATATAATCTCATAACCTGCTGGCTACTATTACTACTACAGCAGTACGGTTTACCTATAGTGTAGAGCTGGTACCTATGCTGGTGAGGTATTCTAATGTGGTATGTTAGCAAAACTGATTTGTTATCAGGAGGATATTCAAAACGATTTTATGATAACCAACTGCATACCTCATACTCGGTATATGGTGTATGATGATAACACATGGTTTTGTAGTTTCTTCCATGCACAATCGGTGGCCATCCCGTAATCGGCTGTTGTGAAGTTGCATAAAATGGGGATAAAGAAAAAAAAAACAATATCATTGGTCGTCTCGTTTAATTTTAATTTATTTAATTTTTTTTTTCATAATTAATTTAAGTTGATAATTGTTTTGATCGGCGTACGCTGTTATTTATGCAACTAGTGAACTCCGGCCGAACCGTTGTAACTCGTAAAGGAAATAAAATCGTATTGAAACGTGAGCTTTGCAGCCGATTCATCTTTGTTAATGAACAGCATACATCGTAAAACGACGGAGGTGATTGAGACGAAACTCGTGAAATGTCACGTCATGAAGGTAACCCTCACAAAGATGGTCTCATCTTAAAATTTCCTTTTTCTCAGTCACGGCCATTTGATATATAACATGTGTACTTAAAATGTATTCCTGCGCGAACACAAGTCGTGTAGGGTGATCTACCTTGTTGGTTCGCAACCTGCTTTGATCCAGTCTCGGCCAGTGATAGTGCACTTGCGATCTGTTACTAGTTGCGAGTTCTACGATAATTTATTAATTCTTTATGAACTGTTAAACGAAAAATTATTTTTATTCTATACCCCCGATTGTAATTTACATGAAAAAAAACCGTCATTTTGTATAGACACTATGAATATGATAGCACAAATACAATTTTTATTCTATCTTTTTATTGCATTTTCCCTCGATGGTACTGATAATTTAAAAAAACATACTGCTATTTCATCAACTATTACCTTTACGATTATGTATCTGAATGTGAATAACGTCGGAATGTTTTAGAAATAGATAAACAAAACTGTATGTTAAGATGTAAAAGGGAATTTTGATATTTAAGAGACCACTTAATGTATAAAAATCCACATGATCCAACATAATTCATGTTTCATTTATCGTCATGTTAGTTTTAAAACCATCTAATTCAGTTTTTGCCGAAAATTAATTAGGTGTACCCTACCTATTGTATTTTTTTGTGGCCAATCAAATAATCACCATGCCTTGGCGATGGACCACTGAAAATGGGAGAAAAACCAACACAAACACAAAATATTTACTAATGAAATAAATCAGTTTTTTGTGCCTCCTGTAATGTTGAAAATGGAGTTAGAACTCGCATGATGATATGTTATTTTATTTAACATTTACCTATAATATGTTGAGAAGATAAGATTTAAAGGGGTGGTTTTGACACGTTGAAAGAAGGGAGGAATTCGCAACATATATAAGAGATTGTAGATAGAAGTAAACGTGGGTAGATTATGTTATAAATAAACACATGTTTGTTTGGAATAGATAATGAAATAATGTAGGATAAACCTAATTAAACTCACTTGTAGGGGATAAGGCGTAGAGAGAAAGTTAAATAAAGTTCTCTGAAGAGTGAGATATTTAGTTATAATATTGAAATATCCCAAAATAATTTTTAGTATCTAAAACTATATTGTTCATTGGGTTACTTGTTATTAGTTAAATTACAGACAAATTTTGATTCTGATGTTTTCTAAAAAATTGTGCTTGAAAATAACATACTACAAATGTAGTTATGAATTTTTGTCATGTCCTCATAAACTTAATATTAGGGGTTTAAATTAGTATAAATTGACAGAATTAAAATTATTAAAAAAAAATTATTTATTTATGTCAACGCAGTGTATTTGTGAAAGAGGTTTTTAAGTTGATAACCTTTAAGTGTACATTTTCATTGGTTTTAAAGTAAAAAAAAATATCTTATCATATTAAAATTGAATAATTAAATAATTGTTATTGGATTATATTAAAAATGTTTGTACTAACATTGTATAATTTATATAATGTTTAACTATACAATGTTTATTAAATCTATTTTTGTAAATATTTTACTAATTAAAAAATAAACTATTATTCCCAATGTTCAATTTTAATTGTCTTGGGTGCACCATAAGTCACACATAAAGTATAGGTTGATAAACTATAACATAATGACTGCCTAAATTACAATGATAACCACCTAATCTAAAATTTATATTGTATAAATTATTTTATGCAAAAAAATATAATTATCTTTAATTGGCCTAATTATTTTAAGGAGGGATTTGTTCTGCTATTTGTGGAAAAAATATGTTAAACTGTTTCAGACGTTAGGTATTAGATAGTGTGTGTGTTATTAAACTAAAATGAAAATTCAGACTTGATGTCAATACTAGTTAGGGTTTTTATTTTATGTAAAAGTGCAGACAGAGAAGTTATGAGTTATGTAATTATACTTACTAATTATTCCTTGATGATTAATTACCTTGATAGGTACTTGATTATACTTTGATGGTTTTAGCAATTTCAGAAACTATAATAAGTATGCATATGTTTATTAATCATTTTTATACTTAAACACATAATGATTTATTTGATAACAAATCTTACTAAGTGCTTATAAGTTTAGTATGTAATAATTGTAAACGTTTTGCTTTGTATTTTGCAGGAGTGAGCTGCGATGCTTGTATGAGAGGCAACTTCAAAGGACGTCGTTTTAAGTGTTTAAAATGTTATGACTATGATTTATGTGCTAACTGTTTTGAAGCGGGTGCAACTACACCACGCCATTCTGTCGATCATCCTATGCAGTGTATTTTAACACGTGCTGATTTTGAGCTGTATTATGGTGGTGAGTCATTGGCGTCTGATCAGCCTCAAGCATTCACGTGTCCATTTTGTGGACGCATGGGTCTTACTGAACAAGTGCTTACTGAGCACGTTAGTGCTGAGCATCCAGATTCAACAACAGAAGTTGTTAGTATAAATTCAATTAGTTAATTTCTATTATGATAAAAATATTTTGTGTTGGTATAATAAAAATAATATTGTAACATTATTATTAAGTAATTCTTACTATGATTATTAATTTTTTTTTTAGGTTTGTCCAGTTTGTGCTGCCCATCCTGGAGGTGATCCGAATTTGTTAACCGATGATTTTTCTGTACATTTACAAATGCAACACCGAGCAAGTCCAAGTGTTCCAAGAGATTTAATTTCATTTTTAATATCCTTTTACACGCTAAATACTTTATTTTTAAAGACTACATTATTTTTTAAATTATTTTCAACTGCTTAATTTAATATACAAATGTTATATTTGTTTTAAGTATTGGTGGGTGTTATTTTTGATAAATTAAAATGTTTTGGATTAAGAATACAATTGGCTGCGATTCTATCTGGAGAATGGGTGTATGTTTGGGAAAAACAGTAATTCAGTTTTTTTATTGCTATAACTTTATTAATAAAAAAAAATTAATTAAAAAAAAATCCTTGCTTACATTGATAAGTTATCAATGATAACTGTGTTATTATATTATGAAAATAAATAAATTGTTAATCTTCATTAATATCAGAAAAGAGTCTTGTGACAATGGCGTTTGATAACTTTGAATGGGTAGGGGGAAGAATGTAGGTAAAAATTAAATTATTTTACATGTACATGACACATAAGTTAATGCATACTCATTGCAGACTTGCATCTGCAATGAATACATTTTCTAAAAGCTAAATTATTACTAACTATTAATTTATAAAATATACAATTATAATGTGTCTTTAACTTAGAACTCGTACGATGAACCAACAGTAGCTAGACATTCAGTTAGGCGCATACCACAATCATCGCGTGGCATGGGAAGTACAAGGGTTCGAAGAGCAATCAATTTCAGGTACCGGGCTACAAAGTACGGACAATTTAACTATATTTTATTTATACAAACGTAGTCTGATGGATTGAAATTTGTTGATAAAAGTAACGTCGTTAGTAATGTTTCTGCGGTTGCCATAGATATTTTTTATTTTGTTACTTATAATCATTCTTCTCAATAAAATATTTAGCAAAACTAAGCATTTTTTTATGCTAAATTGATTAAAAATTTGAAATTTAAAGTTAACTGTAATTTTTTTTTTTTGCTATAATTTTATTTTAAATGCAATATTTTATTTTAAATATTAATTATAAAAATAAAAAAATGAATTACAGTGGTGGAGTAAGAGAAGGTTCAGATCCAATAGCAGAACTTCTATCACAGTTAAGTGGAGTTCGAAGAGCTCAATCTAATAGCGTGCCTGGGTCTTCAGGAAGCAGTTCTCAAGGAGGTCATTCTGCTAACAATGTATCATCACAGTTACAACAGCTGCAGATGCAGCTGCAACTTGAAAGACAACAAGTCAGGGTATTGTAATATAGTTAAAAAAAAAAAAAAACAATGAAAAAACAAAAATAAGATAGTTTTTTTTTTTTACAAGTTTGTTTTATTTATTTATAACAGTTTCTTATAAAGTGATAATTGTATTTTTATTAGGCAGCAAGACAGCAATTAGAACGTTTACCTCGTCGTCAAGGTCATACTTCATCTGCCGCTGCTGCTGCATCTTTGGCTAATAATAACATTGTTGGTTCGGGAGTACCGACACAAGCAGCTGGTACTTCTTCAAATCTACTCAACATCCAAGTAGTAGACTCAAACTCTAATCAAAATCAGTCTACCCGTAATAGCTCATCACAGTTTTTAATTAAGTAAGTACTGTTATTATGCAGTGAAATTGTTTGAGCCATTCCTTATAACTAGTTAAGTTTTAATTTGGGGCGACATGGCCAATGCGGCAAAGTTTTTACACTGAAGTTGTTGTTTGAAACTGAGTCGCTGAAGAAATAACCACCCCTCTGGTACGGAATGTAACGGAAAACTATTACACTATTACTACTATACAACTAAATTGATGATTTATATTTTACCAAAATGAAACCATCTATTGGTTATAAAAAAAAATATCAGGGAATATTTTTCAACAACGTTTATCTGTATATAGGTACATTGATGCTCCTCTTACCGAACCAGAACAACAAAAGTTGGATGTGGACCGTGCAGATCGCAGTTTCTTTATGCAAGAATTATTATTATCTATGTTAACGCCAAACGATAGTGCCCCAACATCGATACACACCAAAAAAGATCAAACGTCTTCACCCACCTCGGCTCAACCTCAGGTACCACAACAAGTTTTAGCTAGGTCAATTGTACCAGATGCTAAACATCGACAAACTAATAGTAGACCATCACCACCGCCTCCTTCACACCAGCAGCAGCAACAGCAACAGTTTATGGGCGTGTCTCACAGATTTGCTTCGCCTCCAAGTCGCAATAGGCAGTCTTTAATGCAATCGCAAATACCGCAGCCAGCAGCTAGTGTTCGAAAACAACCCAAAGTCACTGATATCCCGCCCTCGCACTAAATGCACTGGAATTTCTTGGTTGTTGCACAACAAACTCGATATGAAACGTCTAGTCGTGTACTGATGTTACAACACTTATTTTGATATTAAAGTAATGTATTTAGATTGGTTTTTCTAGATTTCAGTTTAGTCATAAATATATATATATAATTAAAAGAAACAATAATAATGGTAATAAATTAATAACAAAACCACTATTTTTCGTATGTAAAATTATATATGTGTATAATATATAAATAATAATACATACTATATATATATATATTTATATATTATCTTTTTTGTGTACTGATAAATTTATTACTGGTGTTTATATAATTTAACATTGAGTTATCGCCTTATTTGTTTACTAATCGCTTGAATACATATGTTTGGAGTTTCAAACGCGATATTATCTATTGTGATATTGGAATTTATCATTGAATTTTGTTAAGAACAAAATAATAAAAAGTTGAGGTTTTTAGAAAATAATTATGTATGTATGCTATATCTGTTGTTAAATTTTTTGTTTTAGGAATTGGTACTAATATTCAGTTGTTTTTTATGTTTCAATTATTAATTAACCGACGTCTCTAAATTAAATATCATCATTGCTTTATCTGATACTCGTAAACAGATACACATTATTATGCTTGTCAATTAATAATTTAAATAAATAAACTAATAAAACTACTGAATATATTTCAATAGAAAATAATATAAAGATTGTTTGGTAATTTTTAAATTACTTTAACCAACTATTATTAGTAAAATTATAATGTTTTTGTTTGTTTTTGTATTTTCTTCTAAAATATGTATATATAATTTATAAAATAATACCTTATATTTTAGTTTTTGGAATTACGTTTTTTGTTACGTTAATTGGCTAATACTCATATTTTACTTATAACATTGAAAGTAAAACACACTTTTTATTTAATATTCTAATTTATAAATATGCCAATGCCAACATATTATTTGTATAAAAATATTAGTAGTACATGTAATAAAGTATTATCAACTTTTGACTAGTGAAAATAAAAAAGAAGTATCACCATTTTATTAAGATATTATATTATCTGTTATTAATGGACAACTACAACATACTATACACATGTAATATTATAGCAGTTGTTTATCATGGTCAATGAAATATGAGAAGTGGAGTCGAAAGCATAATATCTGAATTTTTGTTGTGATATAAAGTTATCATTAATTTTTCAGACTTTATATCCGTAATATTTTTTATGTTTACTTTTTAATAGCTTAAATATTATTATCATGTTTACTCAATACTCAATTGTAATGTGTATATAATTATGTATAGAAAAAACTGAAGACAAAAATAAACAAATTAAACAGTTTTATGATTTGTTAAAATTTTTATTCTGTATTTACGATACTGTTCCATTTCTTGAATAATATAACGTCTTTATTTAGTGGCAATAGTAATCTTATAATCATGTTTATTTTAATTTACTAATAAGTTATAACCTTAACAAGCTTAATGAAAAAATAAAACTATATTTTAACTTTTTAAGACTTACTTATTTTCGATTTGAAAATAGTCTTAATATTTTGTGATAACATTTTTTTTTTAAGCAAGTTATCAGTGATATCAGTTGTAATGGGCTGTAACCTATTACAAACAATTTTTATGGTAAAATATTAAGTGGACGCCACACCGGTTATTTCTAAGGAGTAGAGTATAGGCAATTTTTCGAAAAATCTTAATTTGGAGTTTGAACTATATTGCATACTTATTAATACAGTAATGAGGGTACTTTGTTGATTGCTATTTTTTTTTTTGTCAGACTATCACAGTCACTTCTATAGGATAAATTAAAATTTTTTCCCTTCAAAACTGCTTTGCGCAAATTAATTTTTCTCAGGCTTCAAATATAGTTAAGGGAAGAAATTCATACATATCATTTATGACAAAATTATCTGTGTTCCATCATCCGTATTTTTTCGATATACCTAATATAACTAACGCTGTATCATTTTTAAAAAAGTCATTTCTTAATTAATTAATTATTCATTAACTGGTTGAAATATTAAAAAAGGCCTACACAGGGTCAAATGTGGGGGTCATTTCACTAAAATTACATTTTTTTCCATATCTTCCAAAATGTATTTAGTAATCTATTCAGCAATTATTAAATACCTTTAATAGGTCTAAAAAGTAAAGAAATAAAAAAAAACTTTATTAAAAACATGCTTTTCTAAAAAAAAAATAGTAAAAAGAGAACTAAAAAGTAAAAAATAATTTTATTACAAGAACAATTTACCAATCAATTGTAGCATATTTTATTAAAAATGTCAATTACTTTGAAGACAACGGAAAATTAACTGCAATTGTATATAATGTTAAACATCTTTGATTGTTGATTAAAAAGAAAAACGTGGGCCCTGTTCAACAAAGTCCAAATTCATTGAGTTAAGTATTATGAAGTGTTTATTTCACACACAAATATTGAACCAGATTTAAATTACAAAAGAATTTACAATATAAAACATTATCTGGTAAATTTATTAGGGACTTTGTTAAAGAGGGCCTGTTTAACAAAGTCCCTAAAATATCCTGTAGTCCTGTAAAATATGATTACAGGATATTGTATTGTCATCCGAGATGATTGTCTATGCCAAGGTTTCAGCCCTCTACGACATTGGGTTAAATTAATTTTGTAAGATTTGAAAAATACCCGTACAAACGTACGTACGTGTTAGCGAGTTAAAGAAAGGCACGTAAAAATTTAAATGATTTCTTATTACTACAAAAAATGTTGAAAGGAAACGAGTAATAATTGTATGTGATATTCTGATACCAAGCTTAACTGAGTTTGAGCTTTTGAAATTAAATTTATTAAGAACATATTGAAGTTATCTTAGGCCTCTTGGGACTATATAAACAGTTCGGGTCTGAAATAATATTATTTTATATAGACTTATCTTAACTTTGACATGTTTTTAATTGAGTTTTATTTGGCAATATCAAAATTAGTTGAGCCTAAGTCATCAGAACGTTACACATCTGTTTTTTTTTAATACGGTGTATTTGTACATGAGTAATCTACATATTTTTCTAATTTAATACGAAAACACGTCATTGTTTGAACAATACACGTGCAAGATATTTTTCTGCTTATGTACTAAAACTTAAAATGTACTTAGACTAAGAGGATTATTGCCCCTCGGAATTTTCAATCTCAATTCACTCCAAACGTGTTCCATCAATACGCCGAATTGACATTATCATGTTGCAGTATATTATCTTCAAGGGAAAGAATAAATACGACACTTGTTTTTCTATCTTGTACTTACTACTATTAAAGTCTATTTTAAATTTACTTTGAGTTCTTAAGTTACAAGAATTACTACACATAACTTGATTAATGTAAGCAAACAAAATCCACCTTGGCCAGAGTCCTCCGCTCTCCATGCCTGTGTAATTATTATTATTTACAATACCTATTACCGCTCTATTTCGTTGCGATTTTTAATAATACCTAATAACAAATGTACGCACCTCTGTAATATTTAAGCTAATTATTAATTTAAAACAAAATGTAAACATTGAAATTAGCTTTAAAAATACTACAACAAGAAAAACTTTGTAAGAAAATTTGTTTTAAAAGTATAAGTTTTTGAATTTGGTATTATAAAACATTAAACTATATAACCTTGTAGTTGATAAGGTTATTTAGTCAGAAGGTAGAGCTCATGTTTATTAATAACATATTTAACAGGGGAAAAAATCACCACTACAATTTTTTTTTAATTGCCAAAAAAATGTGTTTTTTGAGAATTTTGTGAATTTTAATACAAGCACGTTATAGCTTCGAAAAAATGTATCAATTCAAGTCAATAATTTTATAGATACCTATTTAAAGTGATCTTATTTAGTTATTTTAATTTTAATTTATTTTAATAAACATTTTATTTTTGGCGGTTAGTCCACTAATCTGATTTTTTCATGTAGAATGTTAAGAAATCAGATCTTACTTGAAAAAAACTTTGTTAGGTAAAAAATGTAAGCATTTCACCCCTTTCCCATTTCAAAATCGAAAACTTTTAAACTTAAAATTACGGTGAGCTATAACTTTTCATTAATAATAGTTTAATTAGTTGGGCTAAAGCCTAAGTCTGACTAAATAGACTGAAGGTACATTTAGAGTAGAACTTAACAATAAACATATACACAATAACAATACATAAACCACTTAAATATGTACATACTCCCTTCGCCTACAAAATAAGACAAACATATCTCTACATATAATGTAAGCAATTGTACTGTTGATCTAGTATAGTATTCAAATTCTTTGTAGTTTAATAATAATACCTACTTGAAAAAATGAATTTGAAAAGTATAATTTTTTTTGTAGCCTCCATACTTTGCATAATGATGTCAACGTATGCGGGTAAAGAACCAGGTCCAGAAGGTATAAAAAAACGTTTTGTTTATTACACATGTGGTTAACTTAACCTAATCAGGCAAAGCATCAAGGTTAAATCAAGAGCATAAAGAATATAAATAGTAAATAATCAAAATTAATTATATATTGTATATTTATATTTGTTATAACTTATAAAGTTAAACAATTGACACTGTTTACCGCATTTCCATAGACATTTTATTATAAAGAATTACAAATAAGAGGAGGAAGCAGAAGTAAAAACAAATTGTTGGAAAAGATTAGACAATAAAACACAAATTTATTTATTCGGTGATTATTCTTTTTATTAGTAGAGAGGTGTATAAGACATAATATAATTTATATGATAGGTAACAAAATATATGTTATTTGGAATAAATTGTTATTAGAAAAATCTGAAGGTCGAAACATAATTATGATAAACATTCAGCATTAATTCAGTCATTTGAAAAACCAAATGATAAAATTACATATTGAATTATACTTTTATGGTGGTGGTGCTGCTGGTGGTGGTGGTGGTGGTGGTGGATTTTGTGGTTGTCCTACTTTAGGTCCTAGTGTTACTTCGTGTACTGAAAAATCAAAAAAGAATTATTTAAATGTTTTATTTTATTCTAGTGCATCACGTCTAAATTATTTATATTTATTTTGATACAAAACCATTTAATTTTCTTATAGCCACATGTAATATTCTTAAAATAATATTATAACTAGATATGCAAAATTATACAATATGTTTATGAACATGGCAAACGTATTCTTATTTTCCACAATTTAAGGCATTTGTAGCATTTTATTTATACTTCAAGCTTTATTGAAAATAAGTTTAAAACTGCTAGTAAATTTGTAAAGCACATTAACAGATATTATCCATTAACTTACGAACTGGCCTCGGTGCACCTGAAAAATTAAAAAAAAAAAATGTATTAAATACATTTTTTTTTATCCTTGCGTATAAACTATATATTTTAATTTAATCTAAAATCGTTTAATTTTATTATAGGCACATGTAATATTCTTAATATAATATTATAACTGGATATACAAAATTATACAATACAAGTTTATGAACTTGGCAAACGTATTCTTATTTTCGAAAATTTAAGGCATTTGTAGCATTTTATACACATTTTAAGCTTTATTGAAAACATATATAAAACTGCTAGTATATTTGTAAAGTACAAAAAAAAAAATTAAAAAAATTATATACTAAAAATGTTTTTTATACCTTCTGGAGCTGTTACACTCGACATCATTATGAATAATATGGTGGCTATAATACAAATTATGCTTTTCAAATTCATTTTTACAAGCAGTTATTATTATTAAACTACAAAGAAGTTGAATACTATACGAGAGCAACAGTACAATTGCTTACATTATATGTAGAGATATGTTTGTCTTATTTTGTAGGCGAAGTGAGTATGTACATATTTAAGTGGTTTATGTATTGTTATTGTGTATGTGTTTATTGTTTGTTAAATATGTTTGGCCGAATGAAGTATGGGCTGCATAAAGTTAAAAAATACTTGTCTTATTTGGTTAAAAAAAAAAAATAAAAACCCAAACAACCATTGAGAAACTTACATATTTTTATAACCTTGCACATATTATAAGTATTATATATTTTTTGGCTTCCACAGCTTCTGGACGCTTTATCGGACACACTATTGGAATAGAAAATAAACCAACTTGGTTTCTTGACCCAAGCCAGAGAAATATTTTTAATAATTTCCAAGTCGGAGTACTTCTCATTTGATTAAAACGTCCATTAACCCGGCAAAACGAGACAACAGTAATACGGAGAGGGTAGTTTTAATTGTTCTTAAATCTCAATGATTGATTCCTCGAGCGTTCTGGTAATAGCCTTAGGATAGTTTTGAGGAACCCGTCGATGGCATTGTGTGCGTCGAATATTTGAAAAGGATATTTCGCTTATTGAAAAGGCATTGTCCGTTTCTGGGAAGCTTTACTTTTAATTTATTGAACTCTACGCTGTATACATACACGCGAGCAAACATCTTTTCGCTTCTGAGCTCGTTTGAGAATTCCCATCAACCGCTACGGGAATGGAACTTTTACAATATTTATGATGAAGGTTAACAATATACCAAATAGAATTGTACTTAGACGTTTATTCGCGTCTAAGCATATGACTGTTTTGTGGAAATCTTGTTCCAAAGGAAGGTTAGATTATATCCCTAGTTATAAAAAAAAAAAAAAATACAGATTGTATAACATTTCGATTCATACCTGAAGATATAACATAATCATAAATTATTAACATAATCATAAATCATTGTCGAAAATATGCATAAAATTGTATTGTTAGTATTAGGGTAGATACGATTATGGTTGGTCGTCTGTGTATAAAAATGTGTTGCTGTTGATACACATTTATCGTAAATCAACTTAATGAAAATATTTGTTGGATACCTGTTGATTTGTTGAGCCACTCACACAAAAAAACGTAGAAATAGACTACGGTCGAGTGTAGTTTTCTTTTTGTTTGGGGGTGGGGGGGAGGGTTGTTCTTTAATAAAAAAAATGTTTGACTATAGATCTACCTTAGGTTTAATTTTCAAACCTCAAGCCCTAAAACTTCACCTAAAAAGCATAATAAAAAAAAAGTTGCCACTCCTTCTAAGGGAAAGGGTTTATGATATGTGTTTGGTTAGCGTGAGAAGTAAACTTCTTAAATTTGTCATCCAATATAGAACCTTTCACGGACGATTTCTGATCTATAGGATTGCAACATGGAGAAACCGGTTCAGTGGTTAAAAAGATATATTCTACATTTACCTTCGATGTATTATAAAGGTATTATTATTCTAGTTAAAATTTCTGTTCTGTAATAACCAAAATTGTGTTTACATTAAGAGAAGGGTTGTATTTTATAAATACTATTTCTTTAGTTTTACTATTTTTATTTTATGCAAATTTAGTTGCTTTAGGCAATAGGCTGTTATATGATGACCACGTCATCATATAACATTCAAACATTTGAATAGGTACCTAGACAAGACGGCAAACAAATACTTAAAAAAATACACTTGTTTTCGACAATAACAAGTTCAGTTAAGAAACTTTTTGAACAGCTGTGGCCTAGATGTATACTATTTTTAATAAAATAATAACGTACAAAAAACAACTGAATATATTACTTTGAAATATACATATATTTTAAACTAAGCGATAAGCTTATACGAAAAAACCAAAATGTGTTTTTCACACCCGTAATATAAAAAAATCAGTACATATGGGTCGGGGAATAGGTGGGACGGAGAGTAGAAAAAACTAAAAATATTGATGTTACAATTATTATGGCAAACACCCATAAATGTCTAATAATCATTAATATCTTATGTATTCAACTTGTATTTTTGGTTAAAATATCTTTATTAAATAATGTTGTTTCACCACTTATAATTACATGCAGACAGAGGTAGAAATGAAAAATAGAGGGCTAGAAAAAAAAATCACTTTAAATATACATGATAAGCAATAGCCACATAGTTACAATGTTTACATTGTCAAAACAATACATATCCGAATATATTATACTAAAAAATACGTATTCATAAAAATACAGTTTTATTTTACACAATTTAAGTACGTAAGAGAAGTGTTTTAGATCCCATAACCCCCCGTCTTTAATCGTTTACTTACAATTAAGTTGAAATTAAAATTTTTGGTAAATTAATATTTGTGTTGAACAAAACCCATCTATACGTTACCGTACATAAAATACCATAATTTTCGCAATGACTGTTGCAAATTGCAATGTAAACAAATGAATAATACATGTCGGTGTTATACAACATAAATTTTAACATAATATGAGCAGCCATATTTTACATTAACATCTTTGATAAATAAAGATAATTAAAAAAACAAGTGCTTTTGATCGTGCATTATGTGATATAAGATAATAAGGGAATCTGAACGTATAAACACAATGACGATAAATGTATTAAACTAGGATATTATAGTATAAGTTATCCAGTAATATACAAAATATGAATAATAATTATTTTTATAATATAACTAATAGTACAAAAAATACTAACTCGAGGCCAATGTTTAACTAACAGACAAATAAAAATATTTAAATGTCCATGTAAATGGATAGGAGGGACTTTAAAATTATTTGTGTATAAGACCAGCTTACAACGAACTCTGCATGCAATGTTGATTTTAGAAAATCCACTCTCTAGGTGATTAGGCATGAAATTACACAATAACAATACTTTCTATGGAGTATAGATAGTAAATAATCAAAATAAATTAAATGTTCATATTTGTAAATTTATTATAACTTATAAAGTTAACTCGGAAGTAAAAATTAATAGTTTGAATAGATTATCTAATCTATAAAATACAATTTTACTTATTCAGTGAATATTATTTTTATTGAGAAAAGGTATATGTTATGGACATATTATAATATGTTTGATGGATAACAAAATGTGTTTTTTGGAATAAATTGTTATTAGAAAAATCTAAAGGTTCAAACACAGTTATGATAAACAAATGAAGATGAAAATTGTACAATTTACATTTAAATATAACAAATTAGTTAGCATCTTCATTTTCAGAATGTGACACGAATCTTGGATATTGTAGTTTAGTTGGTTTAGATTTAATTTGTTGTTTACCGAAAACAAGTTGTTTTTTGAAACATATTCTGTTTTATTAACATATTAAAATAACTAAATACATTTTTAAATTTTAATTGTAAAATGGAATAACTTTTTACCTTTTAAAAGGAATTCTATAACTATATACTGGATCTGGGAACCACTAATTTCTGTCTACGTTACTAAGAATACTAAGAATTGTTTATATTTTATGAATTTAAACAATAAATCCTATAAAAGATATACATTGTCTGTACCATTTATTGTAATCAACTAATGTATGATTAAAATATTATTCAGATAAACGATGAATGTGGATTTATTCACACATAGCGACTTGGAAATTTCATCCGTAAAAGTCTAAATTTCTCCAATTTTTTTTGTAGTTTTTCCTTAGTAGAAAAAAATTGACTAGAGATTATTAAGGCGATATGTGTTATATGGTTACAGTGAACTACTACTTACTGTACTAACGAGAAAAATTTAATTTCCCATGTTAACTATATGCAAAAATAGATTTACAAAGAAGTACTTTTTAAGACTAAAGTTAAGCAAGAGATCTGAAAATTTTATGGAATTCTTTTTTGAATAGGTTGCTATTGATTCGAGGGTAAGTAAAAACAAACGTTTTTAGTAAAAACACAAACGTGGCGGGCTTTGTGAGTAAAAAAAGAATGTGTGAGAATTGTAAGAATGTAGATAACATTTATTTAAATATTTATAACAAATTAAATATAATTAATAATATAATTGTAAATATATAAAAAAATTAAAACAATGTCATTATTTTATATAAAGAACATAGTTAAAATTGTCTTGATTATGTAGCTCTTATGTTTTAGGTGAGTATATTACCATTGATTATAAATATTGATAACCAATGATATTACTTATAATTAATAATATTTTTATGGTCCATAACTTTTTCAAGAGATTTTAGGTTTTCCCACCAATTGGTCAGTTCATTTTGTACAATTAAATTAAACCAAGGCGTAATGGGATACTTTAAATTGTTCAAAAAATTAAAAATTTTGGTTTTGGGCACGTATAGGGTTGTTTTTACCTCATCTGGGTTAGGGTCTAATGTCACATCTTTTTGCATAAGAAATATATAGTCAATTTCGTGTTCGCCCCAAGTTCCATCGCCTTCCGACATGTATCTACGTAGAAATATAGCAAATAAAAATTATTAAAATAAAATTCCTGAGCAAATTACATTCATTATAATATGCAAATTTACCTTATTCTCGTAATGTATTGTAAGTCATCAGGTTTACATTGGTTTTTGGGAATACCTAATTCAAATGACAGTCGTCGACAGGCTGCAGCTTTGGCACCATTTAATGTATCGCGCTCATTTTCAATTTCATACAAAGGATGGCTGCAACATGAGTTAGTGAAATGATCAGGGAATGTAATTTTTGTCGATGAGCGTTGCTGCAGCAAAAGTTCTTCCCGAGTGTTGAAAAGGAAAACACTGAATGCTCGATGCAAAGGAATATGACCGTTAACTAGTCGATGACAATCTCTTTTGCTGGCACTACCACACTCGTGATCATTTTCATCAACTAGAATACAGCGTTCTTCAAGTGCGGCTTCTTGTACAGGATTTAATGGTTTGGCAACAGTAGCTAAATACCGCCGTAGAGGTAAAAGTCCAAACAATTTTACTAGTGGTTTCATTTTTTTGAACCTGTAAAATAAAAATAAAATAATAATTAGATGCTAAACTGAATGATTTAAACTCGAATGGAAAAAACTACTAAGAACATACATTACTAAATGAAAGTTGAAACACAAATGATAAAGTTAAATAAAAAATAATTTATTTTAAGTTGTGACGTACATAAATGCATGCATTTATATTTATATTTTGAAAATAAACATAGTATTTTCTATTATATACTTCAATAATGATATTCAATTATTCAGAAATCTCAAACAAAAGTATTTTTTTTTGTTACACAAAACCATTTTTAACGCCAAGAATGTGTTATTTATCATTTACATTACAATGATAGAAGTCATAACATGACTATTATGAACCATAAACTTTAACTGTATATAATAATTAAAAATATGTATAATTATTAGCAGAATCATACATTTACTTTAAAAAAATCTAGTTCCGTGAAACCTGCCTATAAGGGATACTCACGAGACCATCAAAAGTGTCCGTTGTAGACAGGGTTAACGTCTTAATAAGATGGAACTTATTAAGTTTGAATAAAAATATATTTTTGTTATTTCATCATCAATATTTTTACTAAATTAAAATAGCATTTTAACATTATGACTGATGTTTAATATTAACTAATTAATTCAAAATATTCATGCTATTTTTTTTTTTTTTGAGATTACTTATGTTTATTAACTATAAAGCGTGACAATGTTGGAGTAAGGGTAGATATTTAATAAATAATAATAATAACTTAAAATTTCACACAATATTATAAAATGTTAAAATGATGTGAAGATGCTGAGACTAAATGACTAAATTCTAAACTCCAAGAGCTGCTCTCAAGGGCTCTTATAAAATCAAATGGAGGGAGAAGCTTTATTTGTATGCCATAGGGCATATTTCGATTGACTGATCTTTTATTAAAGCTAAAACTTTTGCCTATAATTCTATATTGTTTTGAATGATGGATGTTTTGCTAAACATCTGTCCATCTGTGACGTGTTTCTAACGTCAGTAATATAATAAAAGTATTCATAATTATTATTACTATATTAGCAATAAAAATCTTACTTTAATAAAGTATTATGAAATTAATATAGGTAATAGAGTATACAATAATTATATAACAACATTAATAACATAATAACTTATTATCACCTATAATGATTTAACCTTAAATGAACTATTAAGAAATTTATAGATAAGCATTTCATAAATACTTTACAGCTCACAATTCATATGTATATTAGGTATATATATTTTTGATATTTATACACACTGTTAAAATAGCAATAAATAATTATATTGTTATAATTCCTCCTAGAATTGTAAGTATGCATTATTATTGGTAAAAGGAGAAGAACATTTTGTCAATGTAATCAATCAAAGTAATTTTTAATGTTATACGTTATGGTTAATTTTTTTAATCTTACATAATATTTAACAAATATGATTACTTGAATCATAATTGTTGGTTGTTAATTAGATTACAATTTGTCCAACAATACAGGTGGAAAGTCTGTTAGTGATGTTTACCTGGATGAAAATATATGGTCAACTATTGGTACTCAAAAGTGTTCGCAACTAATTGTCACTGAGATATAAATATAAATATTCAAAAAAAATTTGATATTTTAATTTTACTGTAATATCAGTTAATAATTCACTGAAAAGTGAAATCTCACGTGAAGTGTGAACTGAAGCGAACAGCAAACTGAAGCTAGCTGAAAGTAACTGATGAGTGATGAGTAATATCATCAAAATGTGATAATAAAAATACCTGATAAGAAACTGGTCGTTGGGAAAAAGTGTACAATGGATAAAATGGTCATTGGTATCGTACCTGTGCAATTTGAAAAAAGGATCACTACTTTTTGTTCCACAAACTTTTTATTCCATGAGACATTTGTTTCAAAAACATTATTTTCCAAGATTATGGCTTGTTCCAATGGACATATTTTGTTCCAATCACATTTTTTTTTCGCCAAACAGTTATGCCAACGAACGTTTTGTCTAAATTGTAATTATTGTTCCAATTAATCAAAAAATCAAAAAAATTGTCTGAACATTTATTTTCACTCATTATTTAATGTTTATTTTATTATATATATTTTTTTTTTTGAGCTGCTGTTGATGTAGCTTGAACTAAATAAGACATTTATTAATATTGACTATTTTGATTTTTTTATGTGGTGGGATTTCAAACATTGGGCATTTTTAAAACATAAAAATAAAATATTAATTACAAATCATTTTTATTGAAACTAAGTTTTCATTTAAAGAAATGATTAATATTTTAAAAATTATTTATAAGTATGACAAAGAAAATATATTGTTACCATAACGGGTACATAATACATAAACACTGTTTTTGTTGTATTTATTACACTAGCAATTCTTTAAAATAAAAAGTGTCTTCTATATTATAATTATGTCTAATTAACGTACAATTTATTTTGAATTATTAAAATTGTATCTAACTTCTAAAAACTATTTGCAGGACGTTTTACAAATAAAACTTCGTTATTAGATATTAAACTGTCGCGTTTAATACACGTAGAAAATACCGGTTAAAAAAAAATGATAAATCAATGTTCGAATGAACACGAATAATTTTAATCAGTATTTATAGACATCCAACTAACATTTAAATTATATTTAAAAATTCTGTATTGTACAAAATCCATACGTTTTGTATTATTTAGAAAAAACAAAAATACATTTAACATTAAAATGTTTGAATTTAAAACTAAACATAAAAACTAAAATTTACAATGTATTATTATTTTAATTTAGCTCAGCTTGTGGCAAGGTAAATGAGTTGATAGTTTATAATATAGCCTATATGGTGCTATATGCTTTAATAGTTTAACTGATAGTTTATCAAAACCAGCCGAGGTTTTATTTTTGAAATTGCTTGTTATTTTAAGAAAATGTTCTTTCTATATTTTTAAGAAAAGTTGATTAAAATAAAAATTTGAAACCTTGTCATCGTTATGCGAATACTTCTTCCATAATACCTAAGAAAAATTAGTTAAAACTATTTTGTATGTTTAAAGGGACTTCCTGAGAGTTAATTATTTGACCATTATTTTCGATATTGAATACACGAAAGTCACATTATTTAAGTTATTTGTAGTTCCTGTTAATTTTTTTTTAACATACAAGTGAAATTTGGGTTAGTAATTGTATTAGAAAATTTTGATTGATAGAAAATTTTTCTTGCTCTTAGAATTGACGTAAAATTATTGCGATATTTATTATAACAAGCACGTTATTTAAGAGGGCGTCGCACCGGCGATTTTCAGTGGTAAAAACATGTTTAAGCAGACTGAAAATAACTCGCTTAATTTTGGTTTTAGAGTAAAAGCATCCATTATAAAATTAAAAGAAAACAATATTCCGGAGGGCAAGATGGTGCGTTTTTTAAAAAAAAATTATTTTTTTGAAAAGTTACAGTCGTTTAAAAATGTTAAAATAGTCGATATTTCTAAACTTTGTATTGAGCGTTATACTTAGAATAATGAAAAAAGCGCACCGTCTTGCCCTCCAAAATATTGTTTTCTTTTAATTTTATAATGTGTGTTTTTACTCTAAAACCAAAATTAAGCGAGTTATTTTCAGTCTGCTTAAACATTTAGAGATGAAAAAACATTTTTAAATCGCTTTCAAGGATGCTGTGATAGTCCGAAAAATAAATTAACTACCAAAATAGAGTCTTAGTTATTGAACTAATAGTTACACATCACAGTTTAACCTTTAAATTAAGATTTTGTGAAAAATTGCCTTTACTTTACTTCTTAAAAATAGGCGGTGCGACGCCCTCCTAAGTTTTTAAGTAATTTAAGTACAATAATCGTTTCTGTAAAAAAAAGACATTTTTTTATGTTTAATAGTATAATATATAACCCCTATATACTTTCAAGACTCCGAAAAAACATTTATTAGTAGACTAAATTGAGTATGTTTTTGTATAAAAAGTTATTTTAAATAATAATATTGATAAAGAAAAAGATAAATAACAATACAACCGATTTATAATCCATGATGCTAGGTTTGTATGATTAAGTATGCGTAATAATATTTATCATACATTTTATTATTAATCAATATTCATAAGTCATAGCTTTGGATACATTAAAATTTAAGATTGAATAAAGTGGGGAAAGTTTTCAAAAGTAATAATTCCAATTCTGTGTGCAATACTACAATTTCTTTGTGTAATTCTTGTATTTTAGACATCATTTTCGTCCGTTTAACTATACTTTTCATCCTAAAATTCAAACGTCATAAAAAATATTTAAAAAAAAGTTTTATAATATTGCTATAAGCTTGAATTTAACCTTGCGTCGTTGGCGGACTTCAGTTTATCATTAAAATTGTGACTAATTTTCTTTTTTAATTCTAATAATAGCGCGTTCATTTGACTTATTCTTTCTTCTATAACAGCGTTATCCTTTTTAACGACTTTTATTTTAGCATTTATTTTTTGAACATTACTAATGATTCCGTCGATTTGCTTTTTGTAAGTCTAAATAAAATATAATTTCAGAAAGATCATAACACGACAAATAAATTCCGTTACCATTTTCATTCCAGCTATTTGCTTTTCAACTTTTTGTTGAGCGTGTTCAGCAATGTCTACTCCCTTTGCTTTAAACTTGAGGTAGTGCAATATATTGCCGGTAGTTTTCAAAGCCTTAATTATATGAAGCCGGTGTTCGCACAATTTTATCTTGACGTTTTTTAATATAACGTGGTCCCATTCCAGCTTAGTGCATTTACGTTTGTATTTGAGTAAGTTAGTCAACATGTGTACCTTTCGTTTGCCCAGTTCCTAAAACATTAGGTACAGATTATGTTGTAATTACAATATTCTATTTAATAATTGAATAGTTTTTTTATTTACTTTGACAGCGTTATTTATTGTTTCTATTTCATCAAAGTCTACTAATGCCGTATTATCGAAATCATTTAAGTGTCCAGTCAATTCAACTTCAATAAAACTATTTTTCGTTACGAATTGAATCTAACAACAAAAATGGAATTATTCAATTATGTGTAGGTTTTATATTTTACAAATTACAACAAGACTTAAATCACTGTTGCCTGTCAGTGTATCAATCAAATAATTAAACAAATTCAGTGGAGCAAACTGTATAATTTTCATATAAATGTCCAAATAAGTTTATGTTAACTACAATACTCCGGCCCACCAGAGAAGAAACCAGCGCAATAACTAAAACGCGTTACTTGTCTCGTGGACCGGATTAAAAAATAATCTCACTTGCGGATTTTGTTCATAAAGGTTTCTATCGTCTTCTAGATCTAATATAGTTGCTTTAAGTTTATCGATCGTATATGTCTTATCTTCTTTATCTCGCTCTAAACACACAAGTAAATTAGCTTTGTCTGATGCGTCCAATTGAAACGTTTTGATTTTAAACTCCGATTCAATTTTCATCCGTCTAAGGTTGCAAACTTTATGCCACGTGTCTTTGTCCATGTTCAGCTTATAGTCTTCCACATACTTGTAGTCGTCATATGCTCTAAGCGTGTCCAAATACTGAACGAATTCCGACGATAACATGTCTATAAGTTTGCTGTTGTTCGGGGTCATTATAGCGTTTATAAATTGATAACCGATCAAAGGCGAATAAGTTGTATTAGCTTGCAGTATCTTTGGTCGTCGGCTAAAAATCAAATACTTGTTAGTGTCGTCTTTATGACAACATGCAATTCTTAGTGATAATTATATGGCATACTTGTAAGCAACTAACGCTTGTTCGTATATCAGTTTCGACGGAAACTCTGATTTAAAACGCTTTTTAAGGACGTTGTCTTTATGTTTCAACGTTTCAATAGTGTTCAGCAACGAGCTTTGCATCGCATCGGTTTTCATAATTCTTCTGCTCGTTTCGTCGATCATTTTGATAACGTTTTCCTGGTCGTTCCTAATAATAATAAAAACAAAACTCAATAATTATTATGAATTTTATCATTTTTTTTTTGGTACAAACTTGTATCGTTCGATTTGTTCAATGTGATGTATGTCCTCGCTTAGCATCTTTCTGAGTCTGCTTATTTTCAGTTGCTCTTGTTTTATAGCCGACTCGTATTTCAGTTTAGTCTTAAACAGTTCGAACACGCGACTATCAAACGTTTCGATGCTCTCTTGCATTTTTTGGATCAACTTGGTCTGTTCGTCTTGCAGTAAATTTCTGTACTTTGCTCTTTCTTCGTCCCACGCCACCACGGCCTTCTCGTATTCGTTCACGGCACGGATATCTTCTTCGACGTATTCCTCTGGTTCCTTTGTCAACTACGAACATGGCAAGAAAACTTTTAAATATCCTAGTGTCATGCTGAAAAATTAGCAACGGGACAGCATACCATGCATTTTGGCTTCGGCACGTCTTTCTTCAACTCATCTTCCCAACGTTTTTCTAACACTCCGTCCATCATCTCCATTATGGCCAGTTGCCTAAAATTGTCGGCGGCCAACAGTCGTCTGATACGTTCTTCTTCTGCCAACTCGGCGTCAATCAACATCTGTTGACTTGGAGAAATGTATGGCAATGCCGAAACCTCGTAGTCCTCGACAGTTACAAGCCGATCGGTGCGTTCACGTTGACGCCATTTGTAATCCTTGGGAGGCTCTCCGGTAGGCTCGACTAAATTAGAAAACAAACGATCCGTGAGAAATGAAGATCTAATTCGTTTTTAGTAAAGACATTCAACAAAACACATTTAGTACATTTGCAAGCCAATCGGAGTTCGTCGTTTATTACCCACAGCCGTTCGTTACTTTTTTCCAGATAATCTAATTGAAGTTGTTTTGCTTCGAAAGTGTCATCGAATAGTTTATTGAATTGGCGTTTTAACTTGTTGATGACGTGCTACACAATACAATAAAACAATTTTAAGATATTTCAGGTGTTGCTAACAGGTATAACTAATTATAAGATTAGTCAGCTGTTTTTATCGAGTAACAAAACCTAACAGTAGGTAATCCTCAATAATCATTCGTTACATCTTGATATAAGTGATTTGTAGAGTGATTGGGCAATTATTATATATAATTGGGAGACTCAGTAAGTAAATAAAGTTAATGGGTAGTAAAAGCTCAAACTTATTATAAAGCTGTGTGATGTTTTTATATCTGTATTTTTAATTTATGATATCAGATAAATGCCTCTAGTAAAATAATTTCATCTTCAGCCTTCTCCAAATCGTAGTATCCGTGTTGAGTGTTCAGCGGTTCAGAGACGTCGACAAACCGATGACTAATAGATCCTAATAACACAATATCATTGGAGTCTTTAGATACTTTGATACTATGATGTTCGGAAAGTGATTGTTCTTCTAACGCAAACTCCAGATTAGTGGTTAATTTATCAGAATATTTGCTCCTGAAAAATACCGCAATTTTACAATGTGCATAGCAAGCAAGCATAATAATAATAAATAGTGTTTATACTTTAAAGACCGAAAATTGGACGAGTTTTGTCTATGATATCCGCTTTCATTAGCTCGTTTGTTTATTATGAAATTGGCCTTTTCGACTATTTTCTGATCTTCGGCACTAATCGAATAGTTCTTTACTCGGTAAATTTTTTCCAAACACTGCGTTTCACAGAAAATAGTTATTTTTCCATTCATGTCGGAACTGTTAACTATTCTCACTTGTATAGATCTAGGTTTGACGACAAACGAATCCCAGAATTGCTCTAAAATTGCATCTCTCTCGGTTTTGAACTGAACAATATCGTCGAGTACATTTATTTGGTATTTTTCTCGTTCTATTACGGATTGTTCTAGGAACATTTTTCTGTATTCTTCGTTTAGATCGAATTCTTCTATGGTTAATTTCTCATCCTCCGGCCCGTTAATGTTGTTTTCTAACAACTTTGACAGCTATAAAAAAAACACAAATAATATATAAATTTGACGCGCCTCGATTAATCGCATTTGCTGTTATACTTCTATTTTAATGGTTTCAAATTCTTGTTTTATTAAATTTATCGTCTTTTTGTGCACTATTTTACTAGTTTCCAATTGATTTTGTTTATTTATCATATCCCATGTCATTCGATTTGGATCTTAACGAATAAATTAAAACCAAGTTTACTGTTAGGTCACTAGAGAGTAAAATAACATTATAGTATGGCTTTCAAAACAGAATAACTTACTATCATCGGTTACTTCGTTACCGATGCCAACAGTTTTTTTGTTGTCCACGTTAATCGGTGTGTCTACAAGATGGCGTACCCTGCCGTGTGTACAGCCTTCTCTAAAATCAATGTAAATAAATTAAAATCAACACTTTAAGGACTCTAGCGTCATGTGATATTATAATTACATAAAACTAATACACAACACGTCCCCATTTTTAGTTAGCACCAGCATGTTTCGAGCGCTGGCATCGACTTCGACGGTTTTCAATCCGCCAGTTTGCCAATCGCTACATGATGCCCTGACAATTTTGATCCATTGACCGTTGTCATCAAAATCATACAGATTGTATGTGCCATCCCAGCTATAAGTGACGCAGTGCTTTTTCCACACGGACAAGTGGACGTCGTTTAGGTCGTGATCCAACGGTAAAATTTCTTCCTCCAGTATTTTCCACTTAAGTAAAATATCACACAAGTAATACACTATATTAACTGTTTGTCTTGGGTTATTATCGGCTTACCTTGATCACGTTTATAATCATCAAATGTATGTGCTTCCCAAGGTATGCGGTGAAGGCAATCCGCAGTAAATTAGGTGTCTTTAGCGGTGGCCAATTTGAAACTGATGTTAAGTAATTTTCATTATTTTTCAATTGAAAGACACTTTTGAATTCAGAATTATATATTACAACGTTGTTCCCGGCGATTTTATCGTCATCTTTTGTCTTATATAACACCACTATATATGGTGTTTTATCGTTAGTCACTGTTTCTATATCGATAACTTGTTTATTTAAGTGAAATTCTTTAATTACAGTACAGCTTTGACCCAAAATTACCTAACAGAACACAATATATTCTGTTTTATTAGATAATAAATTATGTGTTAACAGCGGATATTGTTATTTTTAATTTAAATTAAATGTATTTATTAAATTTTAGTCGTTACTTGAATATGAAAAAACCAGCCTGTAGAGTAAACTACTGCTATGCAATTTTGACCATTGGGGAAAAATTTAATAGCAGATAGCTCTTCATCGCATAACACCATTTTTGCAATAAGGTTTAAACTGTCGTCTGTAGAATCGGCATTTCTTAATTCTATTTTACCATTATTAAACGTGACGGCGACATAATGATAAAGTGGATTGGCGTTTATACTCGTTGAATGGCTGTCCAAATCGATTTCAGCTATCTATTAAGCATAATGTAAGCAACAACTGTAGTACTACTTATACATATAGTGTAATATCTCTTGAGGCTTAGGGTAGAATATGCTTACAGTAGCTCATGCTTATTGTAAGATGCGATTAAAAGGAGATAGCAGAATAAAGCAATACCCCCTGAATATTGACTATTGGCCATTTCATTAGAGGAAATAATGACAATCAAAAGATTCATTGATGGCAGTTTGTAGATCTATCAACTTCGACGAGGAAAGCAAAGGGAAGATTATCTCATTAGCTTTATGTAAATGCGAAGAAGCATAAACGAGTAGAATTTCGCAGCGGCAAGGCGCATCCTTTAGAAAAGAAAAAGTATATTACTTACTAAATTTCCTGTAGATGTATCCCAAATTCTCATTACATCAAATTCGTTAATGGTAGTAAAAGTTTGGTCGGTTGGTTTGACGAAAGTAAACATCCGAATTTTTGATCCGCAATTTTTCAACACTTTTTGGGTCTTTTGCGTTACCTCAATTAAAGTGCCCTAATCAAAGTGAAATAACTAAATGTATCACAAATGACTGTATTGAGTTATCCGTTTGAATTACGTAATACCCTGTTCGACCAGCAGTGAACTTCGTTTTCTCTGGCTAAAATACTTTCATATATGCTATTGGTTGTAACCGTCCACATTTTGGCGAAACTACCGTTTTGAACTTCTCTGAACCTCTAAAATTGTAAAAATGGTATAGTTTTTTTAGGAGGGTTTTCATATATATAAATATATATATATCCTGAAAATATTTTCTTAAAAACTCACAGTAAGACCGGTTGGATTGTACACGACGAACCCTTTGAAAAATGAACTCAGCAGAGGTTGAAAATTCTCGTTGCTATCACCGTGATATTCGACGCAAATTTCCGGGTCTGTAGCGCCTCCGCCGTCCGGTCGAACGCGGTAAACGTTCATGGAACCGTCGCAAAACAAGAACCATCCACTAGTTGTCCAACAGCTTGTCAACACGTCCGTGTCGTCCGACGGTAAACGAACAACCGCCTTATCAGCGTACACAGTTTTAGAGCTGATCATTAACGTCCACAGTTGAAGATTGCATCGTACTTGTCCACGTTCAGTTTGGTTGAGGTATACGTTATGGCAGGACATCGTAATGAGACTGCACGAAGTATGAAAATGTTATTTTCTCTATCCCCGAAGAAACCACAAGTTTATCAAGAAATTTAAAAGTTACACTGGTACACACATCATGTAGAACAAAAGTATGATTTGGTTTGGATAATAAATACGTACTAAATTTGAAGACTGATGTACACGATTCTTTGATCAAAAAACTCACCAGGTACTCGCACAGGTTTTCAGTGATAAAATGCTAGTAAAATAGACTTGAGCCGAGCGATATGAACTTACCCCAAAGTCTGATTTGGCTGGACGCACCCGGTATTGATGGAGAAGAGTTTCTCTCTGGATCTCCAAGCCCATATGACTAGATCGAACAGCGGGTAATCCAGCAATCCGATAATATAAGTAGTTTTCAGAAACAACAAAGCTTTGTAGGCAACGAGAACGTCTTCGTCTATGCGATAATACAATCATAGGAACTAGTAGTGTATAAAAAATGTAATGCAGTGTTTACATCTAGACCACTTACCTTCGAGGGTAGACAAAACTTTCATGTCTGGATACCTGAACACGATTACTTTGCGCATAGGGGGCTTGTCGGCCACAGCCACGACATCAACGTCTTCGGAACAGCAGTCCAAGCATCCTATACTATTTATAGGTAAACCGTTCTTAACGCCTACCGTCACCAATTCTTGTTTGTGAGTTTTCAAATCGTAAAACATAAACGTTTTACCAATAGTCATCACAAATACATCTTTAGACACAAACTTGAGTTCAGTAATGTTTACCGGCTTAACGAAACTGGAAAAAATGCGCAAAATCAAGAAAACGATAAACTGAATTGACTATCTTTAATTTAATTCTGTGCACTGTATCAACGTGTGAATTTATATTGTAAAAAGTTCTATGCGCTAAGTCACATAAAAGATTTTTAAAATTAACATTTTTTTTTTAAGTCTTAAGATAAGATGAAACGATATGTACCTTGTCGAAAAACAAGTTCCAAAAGTACATCCATATTCAACTTCGTCTTCTTCAATATACTCTCCCTCCTCCAGAATTTCCTCGCCTTCTAATTCCATGGTGACACTGTCTTTAAAGCTGGACATTTCTTGGATGAATAAATTTAACGATCCGCGTGTAATAAAAGAGAAGTCAACTTACGAATAAGACAAATATACTGTACAACGGGAACTTACTATCTATATTATATATCTCCACTGGTTTCCCTTAGTGACGAATCTAACAAAAGTATTTATTGGCTTTATTCCGTGGTTACATTAAACCAACAACAAAACTAGATTACCTAATGTTCACCGATATATATATAACGTATTTATTAAACTTATAATATGAATCGTTTATTTATGAAACGTGGTAAGTCACAATTTTTTGGAAAATTACTTTTTTTAATTAATATGTTCTATAGACGGAACGTTTACTTTCGAAAGGAGTCAAAAGTTCCTATTAATGATTTATATATTTTTATAAACATTTGTTTAAGTCATAATAAAATATATTAGTAAAGTAGTTTTGGTTTACATCACTCTATTGCGCATAATCTCGTTTATGATTTAGTAGTTTTATTTATGAAAAGAGTTAAGTAACTCATTTTTTTATGAATAGGATCGAATTCGTTAATTTAAACTCTTACTGATGGTAAAAAAATAAATTTGAAAAATTGGTATTTACAAATTTAAAAAAGTATTGTGCATAAGAATTAAAAATATTTTTTGTAATTTTTTCCAAGTAAAATTGTATGTGAAAAACAGTTATTTATAATTTTCCAAAATTTCGATTTTTTGGACTAAAACTCTTTCATAAATAAACGATTAATATTTCATATAACGTACACATGTACAACAGTAAATCTAATATTTTATGCTTTTGTTGAAAGAACAATTCGTGATTTCATTGTTTTGTTATGGTCGTACATAAAACTAGGCTATTGTTTGCTTTGTCCATTATAATATCATCATGTATTAGTTTTCACGAAGCGATACCGACACCTAATTGTTGTGCAGGATACCGTTTATTCGTAGTTTTGGTTTTCACTGTCAGCTTATAAAGTGTTAGCGATATTAATTTATTAAAAAACCGTTAAATTTCACTGTTTATTTATCATGCATATCTACACTTTAAACGTTGCACAGCGATTGTTTTTCCTTAAAAAACATTTAAATCATTCCATAAAATATAAAAACAAATTTACTAGGTCACTACTATAATTTACGATGCATACTAAATAATGCATTTTCTGAAGAAACTATTTACAGCATATAAGCTGACAACGTGCCACTATTTACCATTAGAAAAACTTATTATAATATATTTGTGCTAAAACAAGTTTCCGGGTTTATTACCCTATAATTTCGTAAATTGTGGAACAACAAAAAAAAACCTATAATTAAGCGCGTTAATTCATATTTTATAGATTGGAAAAGATTAATTTCAGTGAAACACAGTTGAAGGTTAAAGTGAAGCATTTTTTATTTCAACTTGACCATAGTACTCCAATGTACTATTGATTTGTTATAATAAAATAAGTAAAAAAATTACCAATAGGCCGAATAATTGATTAAATTTGTCGTTTCTTTCAAAGCTATCTTGTATTATTTTTACGGTTATTAGAATTTCCTTCAATATAATGAAAATTTGACATATTTTAATTATTGTCTGAATTATGTATAAGCATAATGTTAGTTATTCTATTACAATATTCATAATATATTAATGAGTTCATCAACTATGACAGTTTACTCTTAAAAAAGTCATACTTTACAATAATATAAACACTATTTTGTTATAAAAAATGTACATTAATTGCGCATTACATTATAATACACAACGTGGCTATAACATGTAATTTCGTAATTACAATTATGGGCGTATTTGTGTGTTGTTCGTAAAAATGCTAGTTTTTTGTATCTTTAAGGACTTGGTCGTATCGTCCAAACCATTTTTAATTCCACAGACATTGTTTGCGGTCTTCTCTGTACGATTCTTAATTAGTGTAGACTTTTAACCAATCTTTACTTTGTTTATAAAAAATAATAATATAAGTGTGCGCTAATTATAATAAGTTACCTATTATTATATGTGTCATAACAAAAACTTATTACGTTTTAAAATGCAAAGAAACTGTCTAATAGCTAAATCCAAACCAATTACAGTATACTGTATAAACCAGCACAGTAAGAAAGTATTATACGTGATTAGTAGACAGTAGTAGTAGTAGTAAGTAAGGGAGGTTCAATATTCACAGATAAAAATACCAATATCGATACTAATATAATGAACACATTTTCATTACCTGGTGGCTGTTGGTTGACTCACAAATAACAACCTGAAAATTGACTACGACTATAATGTAATTTCCCTTTTTTATTCGTATTTTCTTGATTAAAAAAAAATTTGTTACAGATTTTTGATAAAAATTGTATATATTTTAGTTCCATTCTAGATCTACTTTCGGTCTAATTTTCAGACTTAAACCTCTAAAACGTTGGTTGAAAAAGTAAAATAAAGAAACATTAATGTAATAAAGAAATAAAAGGATTAAATATTTAAATATTTAATTTATTTTTACATATAAATTTTTTTAACGTTTTTTCTACGTCATTTTTTTTTGATTTCTGGTACCTAAATGTTTTATAGAATAAATAAAAATTGTATATTAAAATTATTTGTGAATTGTTTGATAACCTGTCAAAAAAAAAAAAACTTATTTGTTTATAAAAAAGTATTTATTTTTATCAACATTTTCAAGTTTTATTCTATTATGATATGACAAGTGGCAACTGCTTAAAAATGTCATTAGGAAAGTATATTTTACAGTGTAACAACTTTGCAAAGACCATATTTTCTAAACAAGTTTGGCATAATATTTAGTTGTAATAAATTCATTAACCCCTTCATAACCAACATAATGGAAGGAAGAATCAATGGACGCAAAGGAAGAGGAAGACCGAGGAGACATTAATAGGAGAGGTGATTGGAATGGCTGGATGCAACGGGTATTCACATATGAAGACTCTAGCATTAAAGAGAGAAGAGTGGAAGTCTATTTTTTCGCTATGACAAGGCTTAGCCTTTAGGAAAAAAGAAGAAGAAATTCATTATATTCAAGTTATAGTTTGGCCCGTTTACAATCTACATTTGTTTATTGTCATCATGTTAGCCAGAATGTCATGCTTGCTGCTCTGGTTGTTTCGATGACCGTAAACTGTATATTAACTATAATTTATAGTAATTACTGGGTTAGGTTGTTCATCAGTTTGATTGCGCCGTAGTTTTTAAGGGTGTTGTTCCGTGCTAGTCATCGATGAATCCGTACAATATCATAACAATTATAATATAATTTTCCGAGATTTCTCTTTGTTGTTTCATTTTTTTTTTTCCACGCTCGGCCGATCTACTTGCACCAAATCGTATGGCCCCCTCGCATTTCGCATGCACGCATAATATACGGGCGTGTGCTGACAGGAACTACGGTGGACTAGACCGCGGTGTTATCGAAACGACCGTGTGTGACTCATCCAGCTGTATTGTATATTTTTCCAGCCACAGGACGCGGTCATCGTACGATTCTCTCGAAGGGGAACCGATTGTGTTTCCACACCGTCAACGGGCAACGCAACTCTGGCGTCGGCGTACCTACTTTGTTTTACTTATACTAAACCCGTGGTTGGAGCGCGAGGATCAACAAGGCCATTTCGTGGTCGGCGGCCCGTGACCGTTCTTAACACGGACACCAAGTAGGAAAACAAAGAAAATCCTTTCGATACACGAGTGAGAAAGATTCTCGTCCGATTGGGAGTAGATACTAGCGTTAAATCCACTTATTCCGTCTTACCTAACCTGCAGCTGGTGCTGCGTACTGCTCTGCTGTTATTGTCATTGGGAGATGGTAAACTAAAGAAAAAAAAAAAACTAAAAAATTGTGGTGCCGATTCCGTAAAATAAATAGCTATCATAAATTATCAATAAAGTTGCTATCAAACCGAAATACATGTTGTCATCAAGATGGACATGACTTGGGAAATGTTAGTACCATAACGAGCAATCACGGTTTTACAAATAATATTATTATGCAAATGTATTTAAAGCAGGGGTTGGGACTCAGCTAAAAAGAAAATCTATCCTCTAAGAAAATGATACTCTTAATGTATCTAATATTGAAAATCGATTTTGCTTCGATGCGAAGCTGTTAAGGTTTGATTTTACCATGACATGTTTTAATTTTGTGTCTTGGCCTACGATACATTTTAACCACCCGACTGATTTCTTCATTTAGCAAGTCTGTAGATCAGGAATCGTACCCGAAAAGTACTTTTGTGCATTTTGTGAGGCCAAATATCGAAGAAGTTTATCAGTTCTACCCATTTAAAATTGAGAAAATTACTCTAAGAATTTACATACTTTTCAACTTGAAAATAAGGTACGCTATACATTTCTGAGATTACTTCTAAATAATACGCGTGAAATATTGTTTATAGATATCACAACCTATTTACAGTGAAAATCCGAGAAAGAACGCTTTCCCTCAGAAGGGGTGGTCAATCTTTTTTTTTTTTTCATAGTATTTGAATCTAGAGTGAAAATTTAACTGGAGCTATAACAATAACTATTGAATGCTTGTGACCTACCCTATTAAATAATTGTTGGTATTGACATTAAGAATAAATATTCTTATAAACATTTGCACTCGTGTTATACATTAAACGCAGGGGATTATAAACATGTACAGTGCAGACGCGAGAGAGCGCTAATGTCGACGAACGGTTCAGGACTATGTAGCACGTGCAAAAGGAATCGCTGCCACCGGTACGACACATGCCGGTGGGATATCGGTCGTGTCCTAGTGTCCTCCGTTTGTTATTTGTTACAATTACTGGAAGGTTTTTTTTTCCGAAGAAAACAGTTCTGGTATATACGATATGATGCGTCTTAATTATTGTTAAACGGCCGACACATCGAGTGACCAAAGTGCGCGCGACAATGGCAGAAGTGATACATCCTCTGCAAGAGAACAACTGCAGGAAAAAAATGAAGACCACCAAACAAAAGGCAATTAAATTCGGTCGTAGTTTGGCGAGCAAAAAAGCGTTGCTCACCAAAGCCATCGTAGATAGATGGCATAAAAGAAGAGTGCGCAAAATCAAACCGTAAGTACCTGTAGTGGCGATCCTCGACCCTTAATTATTACCCTGGTAACAGGATACATAAGCAGTGATTTATCTGGTATACAAATAATATTAAGTATATTTTGTACTCCAATCTTTTTAATTTTCGTTTCATAAATATAAAAACATAAGGACATATCATTGTATTTGTGGGGGAAAACAGTGTAAATAGAAAAATAGTGGGGAATATAGGGCTCGATAACTATATTAAAACGTTACTATGACGAACATATCCATTGTGTCTACCAAACAAAGAGTACCGCATTTTTTTTAAATCGATATTTTTGTCTAAAAATATAGTTAATTAATATTGTAACGCTAATGACAATACGGAATTACTGGAACATAAACGATTTCATTATAATATTCTTACAAGACTGAGAAAAATTCTATCCCGTACATTTTAGATTGTGGTTTCCTACAACAGTCAACACTACCCAGTATTTGTTTGCTTTTCGAATACTTCTGGGAAGGATTTCAGTGTCAGTCTCAGAAAAAAACATTTACCGTTCTTACCGTTTCTACACAATTATTATCTTTATTTATACAGAACAAAATATTTGTCAAAGATCAACTTGTTTCTATTAATTTTTATTTTTATTTAAATATACATCCTAATTATATATTATATCAATAATCATCTACAATCATTTGTTTGCTTTTCATAGAGAAACAATTTTTAGTAGGTGTATCGTTATCATATCCCTCCTTAACGAACACTCATATTATGTTTTTAACGTTAAAGTATATCTACGTTTACCCCATAAAATTAGCGACCACCTGAATTTTCAATGATTCAATTATAATATATCGTATAGCAACACAAGTAACTGTGAACTCATAGTATAAAATATATTATGTGTTATGTAAAATAAAAAATAATTAATTTATATTGTATTCAAATGCGGTACCTTGCAGTAGCTAGCACGGATCGTGCTGCACGGTGCGGTACCTGCACGTGCGTACCTGGGGCTGACCGTTGTAATAGCAGTTGTGCAGGTGTGTCTCAGCCCTTATGTACCTTTGGTCGGTTGTAATACATATTATTGCATTTTAACACGAGCACACAATGTACCTGCGATAGAACTGAGATAAATAATTGAGATTGTGTGGAATTGAAGTAGGTAGACTTATTACTGGTCACAATATTACGAATGATCTATCTTTTATCCGTATTACTACATGTATATTGTGTATTGTATAGAAAACGCAACTGCATTGTTGTTCGCAGACAACGACCGCTGGTTATCTAAATGCATAATTAACAAGTCGTTTGCAACGTAGTAGGTAGTTGGTCAAGTACAGTAATAGTGAGAACCGTTGTATAATAAACGTAGTCTTGTTCGAATAACGGTAAAATGGTACCTAATAAATAGTAATAATAATGTTTTTTTTTTTATGTAGGCTCCTAGCCGCAACCCATAGTAATATATTATAAATGCGCTTATTAATTTAACATCCCCATAAAAATTATTGAAATAGATCGACTTTTAAAATAATACCAAAAGGATTTTTATAGTATACAATTTAAATAGAACAATTATTGGTTAAATTTGTAAGCAATTATTTTCCACAAAGTAAAACAGTTTTAGAAATAAATACAAAGAATACTCTGTCTTATAATGATAATTTATTTGATTATAGACAATAATTTACTGGTTTTGAAAAACCAGTATAATGCTAAAAAAATTGAACATGATTCGACCGATTATTTTATTCACTCTGTTTCGTTTTCAAAATAATACACTCGCCAAATTTTGTATTAGATATTTCTTTTAGAAATGTTATAGTTATATTATAGTGAAAAAAAAATAGGCTGAGGAACACTTTTAAATATATTTGTAGCCCCCTTCAAATTGTTTTAACATATTAATTGTGAAAAAGGTTTTTTATATAAAAAAAAATGTTAAATTAAAATGTTTTTTGTCCGCTAAGGAAATTGTTTACCTTTACTTATGTTGGATAATATAATATTGTAGTGAATTCTGGCTATGATCAGGTACGATGACTGTAAACAAATGAGGCAAATACAGTTTTCTTTTATAGAAATAAACAACAAAATTTGTATAAATTGGATTAATTTAAGTAGATAGAAAGTATAAGCCATTATTCGAGTACATACTTAAACCTCATTTAAATTATTATACATATATTATGTAATAAATGCTTGTTGTTTTTGGTAAAGTGTAGTGATTATTCATTAAAACTATTTATTCTTTTGAGCACATTACAATATTGTAAATGCTCATGGACCTGTAATCTGTTGAGATTTCCAGTTTATATCTGTAATTACCATTGGACAAATGTTTCCTGTCTTGTCAACACAACTATTATTATAATGTACATTAAGAAATTATTTGAACACTAACATTTTTTTAATCTATATTGCTCGGAAATTGTGCCTTGTTCTTATTTACGTGTAGACGTGTACATAATACTTACCTAATACATCATAATAAACACTAAAAAATATTGTTCAAGACTAAGATGTCTAACGGATAACAAAATAAAAAAGTGACATAATCTTCCGAATTACCAAAATAAAACCCATTTGCCGGATTTGTTCCATAAATTCAACACAGTAGTTAGCAATCTGTGGTCGAGGCTGCCTATTTGTATAGACCTTGGTAGTAGTATATGAAACACTTTTGGAAAAACATTTTAATATGGTTTTGTGGATAACAACTCTAACCGTCTAAGGTGTTGCCTGTTGGTTTTTACTGTGCTTACTGTTGTATCGTTGTATTGTATTGATCAGAAACTAGAAAAGGAGATAATATGTTTCATCAGTCTATCTAATTTAATATTTTATATCGAAGCTAAATGGGCTTTTATTTCTTTGTTTGTTTACTTTGACGGTTGACCTGAATGTACATACTATATGTGTAAGTTCTTAAAGATCTTCCCAGAAACTAATCCAATGTAATATTTTAGGATTTTCTAACGAACTGTCAGCAGGACTCGTAATATGTTTAACAATTAATAATAAAACTTAAAATATGAGCTTATTTATTCAATTATAATCATCTAGATTATTATAATAACTATATTTTCAATATTTTAGTTTTATTTCAAATACATAAATTTAATGATTATACTGATTTGGTTCGTATTTAACGTGTATAATTTAATTTATGTTTGTTGTTATTTTTTTAGATAATAATTATTGTAGAAGGCTCTTTCGAATAAAATATTTTGTTCGGTAATTTCAATCCCAAACCTAATAAACTCAAAATCTTAGCCGGTAAATACGTTTATTGTATTCTTGTGAGATTATTTATATTTTGAATAACTTGTTTGACAAATAAAATATATGTATTTTTAATACATTTTCAATGAAAACTTCATAGTTAATTTTAAATATAGGTAATAATATACTTAAAAACAAGACTAAGTAACTACATAGTATAAAAATACGCCTGTAACACCGCAACACATTAGACACTAATGTGTACTACCCATTGATTTCTTAAACTGTATAATTCAAGGCGATCCTTTCTTTAGTTTACACTATCTGATATCGCTGGTTAATTATTAGTAAACTCGTTGCAAGAATACCAATCGTACTTCCTTTTGTTTTTATACAAAAAATGTAGTTTGCATCCAATTTTTATGAAGCTAAATTTACTTTTTGAGTTATGATGGTTTAAAAATGTATTCATTCTTTATTCAAGTTGATTATCAATTAAAACGTTGTTACATTCGCGTTTTTCCAATTTCCAACTTTATAAGATATTTAAAATGTTTTAATGTTCTTACTGAGCCTTTGAGAAGCAAGACGAAATAATGTTTTATTTAAAAAGACAAACGAATCGATTACAACGCTGTTGTTACTTAGCATTAAAGCGCCACTCTAGTCTATATAAATCTAGAATTTTAAATTTTAATTTAATTAATTTCAAATCTATTATTTTTTTTTAAACAAAAATATATGTTTGATAAAAAAGAAAAACGTTAAAAAATGTATCATCGGTCATAAAACATAGGTATGAAATTGGTTTTTAAAAATTGTTTATAGATTAAAAGTTAATTTGTAAATAGTATATTGACTTGAACAACTTTTACAATACATACAATTTGAACATTGGTTTAATTATTTAAAATATATAATATAGTAGCGAGGTGCTTAAAGTGCTTAAAGGAAGAGATAGGGATATTTAGCAAACCCCTCCGTTAGAAATGTAAAATAAATAATACCCAACTAGCTTAAAATTATTAGAAATAATTTCATCCTTCCTAAGTGCACTATTTTATAACTTGAAGCGTCGTTTTTTATAAGTATACCACTAGAAAATAAAATTACTTTTTAGTCAGATTCTTACAAGATTAACTCGCTAAAAAAACTATTCATCTCGCACTGAAGCGAACTACACAGTTGGTGGGTTGGGTACTGACGGTCGGTAACTGGTGTGCAACCATACTATTATTTGCATTATCCTTCAAAATCATTCAAGGCCGTTTATTTTTTTAGCAAGCCTAAAAATAAAAATGAGATGACAAATTACTTGCTAAAATAACAATTGTATCAGTGCGTGAAAATCTAATCTAAACAAAAAAAATTGAGGCATTTACTATGCGTATAAAAAAACAATTCAATATTCGTCCCTAATGACCGTCCTTTATAATAGTACATATTATATTTGGTTAGTGTAAAAAAGACAATAAAAAACACTCACGATAGTCATATTTTCTTTTAAACAAAAAAGCAAGTGTGAAATTATTATTCGTACAACTGTTTTTCTAGATGCTCAAAAGTCTAATCACTCAAAGTTCACCTCTCTCCAAATTTTAACAAATTGTTTTTTATTTGTAATATACTTATTCAAAACTAACTTGATCAGTATTTATTTTAGGTGTAACGTATTTATATAATATTATGAAAATTTTAAAATTGAACAATTTTGCGTTACTTTATGGTCCAAAAGTTAATCCAGGTTCGAACCAGTGTTTTTTTAAGAGTTTCCCAACCTTACTATCACCGT